TAATACTCTTTATTTTACTTCTTAAAAAGAAATAATTTAATAATAAAGATAATAATTCTAGACTTATTAATTTATATATCTTATAAATTCTAAGCTAGAAATATTTATATAATATTAATTTATATATTTTAATTATTTAGAAATATCTAATAGTAGGGCTTTTATAATAAAGTCTTAATATTTTAATTTTTATCTTATTATAATTAGGTATATAAAATTAATCTTAATATCTTAAGTATAGACTAGTATATTTATAGTTAGCTAGTATAATATTAGGGTATTTTAGTAGACTATTCTTTAAGATATTTAAAATAGATTAGAGCTTCTTATTTTAAGAATAAGCTTTATTAAATAGTAGTTATAGTATTAGTAATAGGGAGATTAATTTATTAATAGTAAGTTATTTAGTAAAATATATTTAATATTAATTATTAATATTTAGCCTTAGATTAGTAGTAATCTTAAGTAATAAATTTTTTAGATTTTAGAATAATTTAATTTAAATAAAGAAAATTATTTATTCTCTCTTTAAATAATTCTCTAACCTCCTAATTAATATATCAGCTTAATATTTAGAATAATAATATATTTAGAAATTAAATTTTAATAAAAATTTAGGCTAGTAAGCTTATTAATAATTTAATAGCTTAATTAATATAAAATATTCTAAATTTTAGTAATTTATAATAATCTTTATAAGTAATAAAATCTCTTCTAATTTAGAATATTATTTTTTAAAATAAATATAAATAAACTAGTAATTCTTTATTATAAATCTTATAATTATATTTTATTTATAGAAATATTTTTTAAAGAAAAATATAATAAAAATATAAAATATAAAATTATTTATTTATATATATTATAATAAATATTCTAGTAAATATAAATAATTAGAAATATTAAATTTCTAGAATTATACTTTTTTATTTAATTAAAAAATTTTAATATTAGAATAATTTATAAAAGTAGTCTTTTAATTACTTAAATATTTTTTAATAAGTATCTAATTAAAGTTAATACTTTTTTTAATTAGATTAATTAATAGTCTAATAATTTTTAAAAAATTATAAATAAATTAATAGTAAAAGTTTCTAAAATTAATAAAAATTAAATATTATTAGATAAATTAATATTTCTTAATAATTATTTTTATTTTATTAAAATTTATTTAAAATTATCTTTATTTATAATTAATTCTAGAAACTTTATCTTATATATAAAAAATTTATATTTATTAAATTTAATATAAAGTTCTATTATTTATAGATATTCTAATATTTATTAAATATAATAAATATACTTAATATAGATTTAGCTATAAATTAGAATATTATCTAGATATATAATATAAAAAATATCTAAATAATTATATAAACTTTCTTAATAAATCTTTAGAATAATATTAAAATTCTAGTAAATTAAATAATATTATTAAAAATTTAAATAAGTCTAATTAAGTTTAAAAAATAATAAAATATTTTTATTCTTTCTTAATTTATAGATTATTAAAAGTAAAGATAATATTAATTTTTAAGAAATATTTTATTTCTTTTAAATTATTTAGTATCTCTTTTATTAATAATAGTAGATAATAATCTTTTATAGTAATTATAATTTAAGACTTAATAATTTATATAAAATTATAAGCTTCTCTAGGTCCTTTTTATAAATAAGATAGGGAATATAATAAAAAAAAAACTAGAATAAATAAAATCTTTTCTTAAATTTTTTTTAATTTATTTTTTTAAAATTTTTAATTTATTTAGGATTATTATATAGCTTCTAAATAATAAGATTTTTCTAGATAGTAATTTAATCTTATAATTATTAAATTAGTAAAGTAGTAGATACTTAGCCTCCTTTAGTAAGAATATATTATAGAATTTAGTAAACTTAAGGAGTAATTATTCTTATAATTTAGATTTAATAATAGTAATAGGATTTAGAGTAACTTTAATATCTATAATAATAATAGTAAATATTTAATATCTATAGCAGGTATATAATAGTACAGGCAGTAACCAAGACTCTAGTAATATCTTGGTTCTTCAGAGGTTTAGGGTAGGGATCAAGGTATTAGGGAGAAGCTTTTAGTAGTATATCATATAATACTAAAATATTTATAAGCTTTAGAGGTATATTACAGTACTTCCTATAATAGTGGAAAATAAGTAATATGGCCAGACTTTACTAGAGTACTGTTAACTCCCCTTAATAGGATAGGGTTTCTTAATAGTAATATCTCTAATTAGTTATCTATAGCCTAATCATAGTCTATAAAATATTTACCCTTAGCTCTAGAATTAATTATAGTAAAGGTTAGTAGGATCTTATTAGAGGTTTCTAGGTTAATAGGCAGGATTATTAATTTAGATTAGTAACTTTCTTCCTTTATTATTATTCTTATTATTATAGCTTTTAATAGGTAGAGAGAGTGCCAAGGATATTCCTAATTATAATTTAGGTTAGAGATACTCTATTTTCTAATTTAGGGAATAGAGAGTATTTAGTAGGTAAGGTTCTAATTAGTAGGGGTATAGATCTAGATTAGTAGCAGATATAGAGGTATGGCTAGTTAGTTTTTAATTAAGGTATAGGTAGCTACCTACTAGGTAGTTAATACTACTATAGTAGTAATATAAGTATTAGATTTAATAATTAAAGTAATAAGTAATAGATAGGTCTATTAGGTCTTTAGTAAGAGTAGTAATAATAATAGGATTAATAGAAACTACAGGAATTTAAATAGTAGGAGTTAATTTTAAGATAGATTAGAAAGGCTAGGAATTTTTTATAAATAGGGGCAGGGCAGTACTTATATAATAATAATAATAATTTTCTAGATTTTATAGGTAATTAATAAAATTATAATATTATAATAAGGTTTTAGAATATATTAATATTTTTTAAAATTCTTAATTAATAGCTTATTTTAAAATTATAAATAAGATATTTTTATTTATATTCTCTTTTAATATAAGATATTAGAATTTAATAAAAAAGATACTAAATTTATAATAAATTTATTAGAGATAAAATAAATTAATATAAGTATTAATTTCTAGATTTAGGTTTTTAAAAACTTTTTCTAAGATTTTTAAAATCTTAATATAATTACTTAATTTATAGATTTTATCTTAAATATATAATAAGATTTAAATATATAAGATTTCTTTAAAATAACTAGTTATATAAATTATTTTATTATTTAGAATTAGAAAATAATTAAGGTTTATAATTATCTTTTAATAGATTTAAGAAGTAAAGTATCTTAGATTATTTTATTAGCTATTAAATTTATTAGGATCAGGAAGTTATTTAGAGATTTAAGTAATAAAAATAAGTATAATAAGAATAATAGTAATAATAAGAAGGGTAGTAATATTAGTATCTCTTTTAAAAGAAGATAGTAATTAAGAAAGTATATTATTTTAAATAAATACTTTAAATAACTCTTATTAAGTTTCTTTAGCTTATATTTTCTAGTACTTAATTATACTATCTTTCTATTAAATATAGTTAAGAAGGTTAGTAATAATAAAATATAAGATAAATAATTTATAAAATTCTTCTATAATAGTAATAAAGAACTAGTATATCTTAATAATATATTATTTTAATTTATTAAGAGTATTATATAGGAAAGTTTCTATATCTTTAAATAATATAAATAATAAAGTAAGTATAATAGTAATAATTAATTTCTAGTAGAGAGGAGCTATATAATATTAGGGGGTAGAATTAGATTTAAATATTTATTAACTAGGAGCTAACTAGATAGAATAGTAGAATAGTAAGTATTAGATAATAGATAGGATATAGCTTGAAGAGCTATAACAGGATCAAGGGCAATATGGCTTAAATATAGGAATAAGGGCGGACAGTCAAGGCAGAATCTAACTAGATAGGTACTACAGCTTCGCGCCGTGACAAGATAAGTGTTCTTGGAGGTACTAACTACTGCCATAATTAACAGGTTCTTGACTATGAGGTGCATGAAAAATAAGAATCAGTCTGTCCCATGGAGCGGATAAAAAGGATGTATATATATATATATATATAGACAGAGAGAGATATATACATGCATTAGGATTAAGGGAAGGAAGTAAGTAAAAAGAACAAAAAATATGACAAGGGTGGGATTCGAACCCACGCCAAATTAATGACGCGGAAACTTGTGATACAAGAGGAGGGATCCGAATGGGAAACCTTAACCGCGCGCCTTAGACCGCTCGGCCACCTTGCCTGTTTGATGAAGAGCCGGAGCTAATTTCCATACTTTACTGTGTTATACAGAGTTAGCTATGCGGGGGTTTTGACCTGACTACTACCTTCCTGGACACCAGCATGTGAAGCAAAAAAACGATCATACGAAACACCACGGATGAGGCCCAAAACACAAGGAAATATCAAGTGGCTGTATCCGCTGCCGGGTCACAGGTAGTGTCAAGAATATATATATATGTATGTTCAAGTAGTGCTTCCTTGCCCGGTCTGACCCGGAGCCTGGCGCATCCCTTACTCCGCCATCGTCTATCACGGTGCTCCTTCCATATCCGAACGCCTCTAATAATTCCCAAGTTAAGCAAGGAAGTCACCCCAGGCATACGAAAGGATTTACCCTCTCTTGAACCGATATGATCCCTCGGATTTGACATGTAGGCAATAAAACTAGAATATATCATGGATCAAATGATACCCGGTATTATTGTTGTAGAGAGAAATTATGAAGTAGTTATACAACGAGTATAAGTAAGCAAGCTGCTGGAAAGGGGTGTGGAAATAAGAAAAACAAGCCCCGGACTATGTATTAAACTTATCATCGTTCCTCCATCACAGCATCATTGGTCTAGTGGTAGAATTCATCGTTGCCATCGATGAGGCCCGCGTTCGATTCGCGGATGATGCATTCTTTTTTATTTTTTTCAAGTCGGACACACTATAATAACACTCGCCTTGTATTTCGGCTTTAATCATGTATGGATTTCTACTCAAACATGCCCTGGTACTATAATATCTTGGTTTCTAGCGGTGAGCCTGGGCCGAGGAATATCACCGTGAATACGGAGTACCTAGGTAAGGATCTCGCCTGGCCTTTCCCTTCAAAACTGGCCAATGGAATTATTGAGATTCCGGAGACTGACGAAGGGAAACCCATATCAGCGGCTGTTCGTGCAAAACCTATGCATAGACATCACATCCTACCAAGGGACTAAGTTGACGGGTCTAGTTCCCCGTGTGGATGATTATTGAGTCCGAAGCAACTAACTATGTACTCCGTAAGCATGAATAATGGCCCTAGTTAAACGAAGACTAGCTGCAGGGCCAAGGGCGTGATACGACGTCTGGGCTGGGCTGCGCGGCCCTATCAAATGGGGATGGTGCATCGTGCATCTCAGCTCAGGTCTACGCACCCTTTGGCCTTATCTCGGCGGCGTATATATGCTGTGGCAATGGTTGGTTGTCTTGGCTGGACGCTTTGAAGCAAACCGACAGCAGATGATGACAAGGGGGGGGGGGTCAGGAAAAGAAGGCTGGGAAGAAGACTGCGTCGGTCAGCTATGATGCACGTTTTGACCGAAAGTGTTTTCCTTCCTCTAAGCTATATAGAAAATTCATATCATCATCAATCATGGCTTCGGCAACGGCCATTTCCATCACCACATATACTCCACAGCCCGGCAGCTCCGCGCTCCAAGGGTATTATGATGAGAGGTCGTCAAACTATAACAGTAGAAAGTTAACTGAAATGGATTTAATTAGTCTAACTAGGAAATAGAGAGATGCTTGGAGGAAGCATGAAGATCTAGAAGGAAATAGTGGCCTTAAATATATAAAGTAGTCATGTGTTACTATCTTCTTCTTTATAGTAATGCTGCTTTATGGTGGTGCTAGTTATATTTACTAAGTATAGTATTCTAATATACCCCCTTTAGTAATATATCTATTACATGAAGCTATTTAGAGTCTATCTCTAACCTGCTAAAACCTAACTTCTTAATAAATTTATTAAATTTTGCAGTTAGTAGTACCTTAATTAGCCTATTAGTAATATTATCCTCTCTACTAACTATTTATAGCTAAATTCTACTATTTTTAATTATTTCTTTAACAAAGAAATAATAAATATCTATCTAGTAGAGTATAGATATATAATTTAGTTTCTTTACTAAAGTAATAGTATTAGTAAAATTAGTATATAAAGATATAGTATTTTTTATAAATTATTCTAGTTTAATAATTATATATAACTTTTATAATTATATAGCTAGCTTTATTATTATATCCTATATAATAAATTTAGTAATAGTTAAACTTAGAATAATTAGTAATTACTTTACTAATCTCTATATAATTAGTACTCTAAATATAAAAAATATAAAGCCTTTTATTAATTTCTTATCTTTATAATCTATATAGGAGGCATTAATATATATATATAATAGATTATTTAAATAATTTAAAATTATTATATAGTCTAAGGTCTTCTTTAAATATTAGAAAACTTGTTTAATTATATTATAGTCTAACTTGCTAGAATTATAATTTCTCTATAGTAATTATATTATTACATATTAAATATCTAGTCAGGTCTAAATAATAATCTAATTTAATAATCTAATTAGCTCCTAGTAATAAGTAATATTATCTTTATCTATAGAGATATATATAGTATTTAAAATAATATTACTAGTATCTAGTATCTCTCTAGTTAATTTCTATTCTAGAGTTATTAATATATAATATAGCTAAAGACTATAGAAATTCTATTTATAGAGTAACTTTTGGATATATATATGTTAGGATATTAATATTAAACTACTAAATAGTCTATAAATATTATATCTTAAGAACTATACAGGTTTATTTAGTTACTTTAATTTAAAATATCTTTCTAGCTTATCTATAAATTATTAAATATTTACTTTATTAGGGCTAGTAACTATTATATTATTAATATAAATAATAAGTATTAGCTACTAGTCTAGATTATAGTAGAAGCATGGGTCTTTATTAATTACCCTTATACTAATTTTTACTAGAATATTATAAAATTCCTTATATTAAAGAAATACTAACTATTATAATCTATATAGGGCTTGAAGTAGTAGATATACTATACTATCTTACTTATTAAAACTAGTTAGTTAGTATATATAGATCTTTTAATCCTTAATTATTATATTAAGATAAATAATTACTATGTTAAATTATATTTATTTTAAATTAAAATAAGTAACTATACTTAAAAATAGCTTTACTAAAGTATTTACTACTACTAGGGAGTAGACTTAGTTAAAGTCTATATTTAATTTTTAGAAGTTTCTATACATAACCTATCTTATATAGAATTATAATATATTATTATTTATATTTAACTTTAAATTATATACTTATTTTCCTAGTAAGATCTTTATATCTTTTAGTAATAATATAAATTTATAAGTCTAAATAACTTTAAGCTTGCTAATTTGATTCTATATTACTTATATCTAGTAATCCTTTTATAGTAACTTTATTATTTGAGTATAGGTCTATAGGATTCTGATTTTATAAGTCTTTATAGGCTTGATCTCTAGTATAAAACTACTAGAATCTAGTAATATTATAGTAATTATATTAAGTAATTCTCCTAGCTTTAAATAAGATCCTAGTAGATAAGGTATTTCTAAAAGTATTTTTAGAGGTAATATAGACTAGGATTAAGATTATTATTCCTATTTTACCTTCTCTTCCTATAATTACTTTGCCTGCTCATCTTTAAAGTAAATACTTTAGTATTAATTCTTTATAAATCTTAAAGATCTCTATAGAGTAGTAATACTATTATTAATATTATTATTAGTAGGATTCTATGCCTTTACTAGGTTAATTATTTCTATATTCCTAATATTAAATTTAATCTATTTTCTAGTCTTTAAATACTTCCTTTTTAATATATCTAGAATTATTAAAGTATAGTTATCTTTAAAAGATTCTAAAACTAGTAAGATCTTCCTATATTAGATAAATAATTCTAGAAGCCTTTATATTAGTTATAATACTAGTATTCTTTTAAAAATAAGTTAACTAATATATAAATTATCTATAGTAAAATAGTTAATTATCCTTTTATATCTATCTTGCCTAGATTATTCCTCTATACTAGGTCTTACTATCTCCTCTACATCCTTACTAATCACTTGATTATTTCACTTGGCAATGGTTTCGAAAACAGCCCTGGAGGCTGGTATCTGCTCTGGTATAATAAGCTCAGTAGTTTTGGAGATAGCCCTAGGGGTAGCCCCAGAGGTAGGTGGCTGCTTGGATATGATAAGTTTAATACCTGCCTCTGGGTTAGATAGGGTGGTTTTAGAGATAGCCCCAGAGGCAGGTAGGCATAGATATATCAAGTCAGCACCTGCCTCTGGGTTGGATAGACTTGGTTCGGGTAGGGCTAGATTAGGTATTAATATTTGAATTCTTCCTATAATAACTTTATTATTATTTACTAATAGTAAGGTTTAGGAAATAGTATTATTTTAAGATATACTATTATAGGTTATTCTTCCTCTTTTAATATTAATAGATATAGTTACTCTAGATAGACTATTATTATTTAGTTTTAGTCTATTAGGAAGTTATAGTTATATTCTATTTATTTTATTAGTATTATCTTTATTAAATATTATATTCCTTGACTAAATTATCTTCTCTATATCTAGATACTATATCTTATAGATATAATCTCTATTATATCTAACTAGTTAACTAATTTTTACTTTAAGTAATATTTTTATATTTTTAATCCTATTTTTATATAGGATATTTATAAATACCTTATATTTTTATATATAAATATATTATAGATTAATATCTCTAATTAAGATATTTAATTCTTTATAAAAAAGTTATATAAATAGCTTTCTTTTATTATTACTTTCTCTAACTAACCTATTTAAAATATAAATTACTATATTTATACTATATAGCTATATAGTTAGTTCTATTTTTACTTAAATATATATTATGCGGGTAGTTTAAATTATATAGTTATTAAATTATTTAATAGTACTATTTTTCTTAGGAGTTTGTGGTAGTATTAGTTTATATATAGTACCAAAATCCTTACTCTATCTAGTATACTTATTAAATTTAGGAGTAAAGTTAAATCTGATCCTTCTAATATAGATACTAGTTATATTTAGTTAATTATTATATATTTCCTTTAATACCTTTAAAGATTTACTTTTTGCCTTTAAATATTATGTAAAAAGGTATCTAGAATAGTTATTTAGAACTAGTAAGATATACCTAATACTATCTCTTCTAATTAGTTTGATTTCTTGGAGATCTATATATATGAATTATAATAATTTTATTGCATATAATTATAGTTTTTAGGATATCCTTTTCTTTAATTTTAATAATTAATATGCTTTATAGTATGGCTCAGTATTCTAATTAGTAGTAAGTAAGTTATTAGTAGCTAAATTATTACTTTTATTATAAAGTATTACCTTGTTACACTTTAATTATTTAATAAATAGATAATCTAGTTATTAATATAATAAGTCTATTAGTATAGTAGGTATAATTACTACCTTATTTAGAATTAAAAATAGGATATTATTATCTAAGATAGTATATTTAATTACCTTATCTATTATTATCTTACAAATATATTAATTTTTTAAGTTAAAATAGATTCCTAATTCTACCTTTATTCTTTCTACTAGTATCAGGTTATATAATATATTTAGATTCTAAAGATATTTTATTTAGTATAATATTAAAGTACTATTATCTAATTTAAATTAAATTATTACTTTTCTATAACTTTAGGGATATACTACCTTATTATTAGAGATAATAAAACTATAATTCTTAAAGTTATTTAGATCTTTAATTAGATTATTAAAGAGATTATAATTATTATATATTATATAGCCTGCTCTAGAGTTATATAGCTATCTATTCTTAAAAGTAATTAATATTAAAGCTATTAGTATATTAACTCTAGATAGTATAAAATTATTAATATCTAGAATAATATTAGTTTATATAGCTAGAGTAATAGCTTAATTTTAGATTAAATTATTTCTATTCTTTAACTTATATAGCTTAAAATATTAAAATATTAAAATTAGTCTTTACCCTTCCTTTTACTTATTAATTACTAAATATAGATAGTCCTTAATATTATATTTTTCCTCCTTATAAAATAGGTATAGTATTCTAGGCTTCCTAGATTACTTTAACTAATAATTAATATAGCTAGTAACTATTATATTCTATAATAATATATATTTCTATTATTACTATTACTTCCTTCTATTATTTATTATTAGTTAAGAATTTAGTATATTTATAGCTAGTATTATAATATTAAATATAATATTAAATAATAAATTCTCCTAAATCTTATTCTTTACTATATTATATATAGTATAAAAATACTTTTATATAGTTATTTTAATAAGATTATTACTTAAGTTATTTAAGATTAAATTTATAAAGCTTATATTATTTCTTTTAAGCTTTTAAAATATTATAGTAATTACTTAATAAGATATAATAATTATTTTTAACTTATTAAAAATATTTATTTTCTAGATAAAATTTAATATAAACTTATTAATAATTATATAATTCTTATACTTAATCTTAATAATTTTTCTCTATATCTAATATATATATTTTTAATTACTACTAATAATTATTCTTTATAACTTTTATATAAAATTATTTATAAAGATATATAAAATAATATTTATTAATAATTCTTTTACTAGTTTCTTACTTATTAAATATAATATTTAACTAGCTACTATTTATAAAAGAAGTTCCTATAATTTATACTTAAGATTATTAAATTATAATTTAAGAATATTACTTTTAAGAAGCTTATCTATTTTATAAAGCCTTAACTTTATTTATATAAATAAAGCCTAAATTTTAAATTTTAAATTATTTTCTAATACTATTATCAGGCTTAAGTTAAATATACTATTCTTTAGCTTTATTACTTGATTTCAGCTATTAGTAAATAGGGTAGTAGCTATCAAAGGTAGGTGTAGTAAATTAGGGATATCAGGATATCTACTAGGGGTAGGTTTAGTTACTATTTTGGTTAAATTATAGAAATTTTCCACACACTATTACCCAGGTAGAGTAACACAACAGTAGTAGGTAATATTTCTGCCAGGATCTCTATCTAATTAGGTAGCAGATCTCTGTACAGGGGTACAGGGATATAATAAGAGTTTTAGAGATCTATAAAGCATAAAATAGAACCTCAAGGAGGGCTCATAACCTGATAAGAGGTCATCAAACTATAATAGTAGAAAGTTGACTAAAATAGATTTAATTAGTCTAACTAGGAAATAGAGAGATGCTTAGAGGAAGCATGGAGATCTAGAAGGAAATAGTGGCCTTAAATACACAAAGTAGTCACGTGTCGCTATCTTCTTCTTTATGGTGATGCTGCTTTATGGTGGTGCTGGTTGCATTCACTGAGTGCAGCACTCCAACATATTACATTCGAGCTGGCAGTGAGTCCGATTCTTTTCCCCCTGCCTGGGCGTCCCAAAAACCGTGGACTCATATGTAGTATAAAATTGCAGCGGTCACGTCTATGACCTGTGGTGAGAACGAGGAGCTGATCACGACTGATCACTTTCCCTTTTGTTGCGAGATCACTTCTCATGCGCAATGTTACCAGCCGACAACATGTCTGGGCAGCAGCACCATGCACGATCCCGATAATGACACCTGGGTGTGGTAAGTCTCCGTTCCCTGTGCATTCGGTCGTCGTCTGTTGAATCCTAACGGGCTTCTTATTGCTTCAGTGAAGCGGGCACCGAGTGCAGACCAATGACCATCTATGAGTCCTACGTTGACTCGACCGAGGCATCGTCGGGGATACAGTTTTCGTGCTTCCAGTCATGGGTGCCGAATGCCGTCTTTCGCGTTCTACCCTTTACAGAAACCTTGACCAGTACGTTACGTTGTCATTCGGGTTCTCCTTTTATTCATGTATAGAATAATGTACTGAATGATTTCTCAGTCTCCACGACAACAACCCGGGATTCAACCACAACGTTCGAATCCATCTCTCCCTCCACTGCAGGCGCGCCAACTATGCCCACATCCACACAGACTGACACAGTATCCCCCGAAGCGGCGTCGGCACTATCAGGGTCATCGAATAACACGGGAGCGATTGCAGGTGGCGTCGTAGGAGGCGTGGCCGGCGTAATTGCACTGGTTGCGGCAGCAGCATTTTTTCTGCTGCGGCGCCGGGGGACGAAGAGCCCGGAGATGAATGAGATTGGGGCAGAGTATGTCGCGGCACGAGGGGGGTAAAACTACTGTATTGTCTGCAGTGGTTCATCTTTATGTAAATAGGGTAGTGATTTAGCACGGCTTGTTTTTGGGTTTCGTATGGAACTGCAACCGCAGCAAATATATTGACTATGACCTTGGGGTGTGCTGAACAAGTTTACTACTCAGAGCATGACTTTCAGCCTACATAAAGATCAATATAGCCATGTCCCTCCGACTACAAGAGGGTTAATGAATCTGATTGATTCCCCGCGAGTAAAACAACCACAGTTAATATATATTTATATCAGGGCTTGCCAAGTGGACATGAGGCATACTTACTGGCCGGCCGGCCGTCTCTCTCTCTCTCTCTCTCTGGATCTGCATGTCCAAGACCCCCAGCAAAGGCAAGGGCGCATCGAGTTTCTCCATAAACACCTCCACCATCCGTACTCCCTTCCCATTCAACATCTTCTCATCTGTCAGGGCCTTTTCGAGATCCCCCCATGTTCGGACCTGCCATGTATGGGCGGCATATTCACCTTCTGTCGGGGCGCCGTAGAACTCGGGTGCCTTCAGATACCGCCAGGGGGTGATGTCGTTATAAACTTGGTTCCGGCCGTGAATGCACCGCTCAATAGTGTAGCCATCATTATTCAGAAGGAAGATGATCACATTGAGTTTCTTATGGATGATTGTAGCTAGTTCCTGTGTCGTCAGCTGGAAGCTTCCGTCGCCAATAAACAGGATGGTTCGAGCTTCGAGGAGGTCGTAGTATTCGGAACGCGCAATAAGGTCCCGCTGTGCCAGACTGGCACCCAGCGTGGCTGGAAGCATGTATCCGATCGATAACCAAGTGACAGGCTTAAAGAGACGCGCTTTAGGGGGAAGGAAGAACTCATTGGCGCCGTACCCTGCGGTTCCGGTCTCGGCAAGGATGATGTCGCCTTCGCGGAAGAAGGAGGAGATCCTGGACCAGAAGCCAGAATTATGAGTTACAAGATCCGTGTTTGATCCTGTTGGTCGTTCCACAGACTTGGGGTGAACGAGCTTGGGGGTGGGTTTGGCTATCTTCGACAGATCAACTTGCCCGATGAGCTGTGGAAGGAAGTAGTTAGCTGGCAGGTCGCGGAAGATCTCACCCCCAACCTGAACAGAAGCGTGATTGATCAAGACGGTGGCTTCCGGATCAGTAGGGAGGGTCTGAAAGATGAATGTGTTCGTGTTGCTGAAGTGTGGGCCGAAGCAGAGAACCAGGTCGCAAGAATCGACGAACTCTTTGCGCTGGGGCGTAAAGACACCGTATACATTCGGCAGGGACTCATCAATCAAGCTCTTGCCAAACCCCGAGGTGAAGGTAGGCCATTCTGTCGATTTGACCAGATAATCAACCTCGTCAAGGATTCTAGCCGATCTGCTTTCCCCATCAACGAGGATCATAGGGCTCTTCGCATTATAGATCCGATCAAGAACCGCACGCAGAGCCTTCTCTTCGATCTGGGGTTGGTGCACCGGCAAGGGAACACGGAGTTTTGTTTCGAGGGTAATGGTAGGTACACGCAGGGCGACCATATCATCTGGAATAGTGATGCGCACCGGTCGGCTGTGAAGGAGACATTCCCGCAAGACCCGGTCGATCTCCGCAGGGGCGGTGCGATGATCCGTCAGAATGGACTGCGCGACAGTGATATGTTCCTGCATGCGATCAAATCTGCCATACTCCCCGTCGCTGAAGGTGTGGTGAATGAGAGCGCGCGACTCCTGGGACTCGCGTAGGGGGGTTCCGACAATGTGTACGACGGGCGCTCTTTCCGCGTAGGCGCCGGCGATGGCGTTCACAGCCGACAATTCTCCCACTCCAAAGGTGGTGACAAGGGCACCGATGCCTAGCGAGGTTTAGAGTGCATCTCCGATTGAATTAAGAAATCTCACCCTTGATTCGGGAATATCCATCGGCTGCATACCCCGCATTCAGCTCGTTGCAATTGCCAACCCAGTGGAGACGTGAGGGAGCGACATAATCCAGCAAGCGGAGGTTATAGTCCCCTGGTAATCCGAAGATTGAGTCAACCCCGAGCTGATGCAGCCGAGTGAACAGGTATTCCGCGAGAGTGGTGGTGTTGGTTTCCATATTGGCAGTTGTCGATGCAGAGACGGGGGAAAGGGGAATCTCCGCAATGGCGCGCCTTTTTATATGTATGGAACCCGAAGGAAGATCCGTGTGAATAGGCCGGTTACCATCGGGAGTGCCGTGGGTGTAAAAACCTTGCATACTCTAGCAAAGAAAGTAGTACAATAGGCAAGAGGTGGCTTCAAGGTATATATGGAATGAAAGTGACCGAAACTGGGTGAATGTTTAGATTATCAACATTAATCTATATCTATGCTATACTATGTTTTCAGCTAAATATATGCTTTAGACATTATCGTAAGTCTGTATGAGAACGCCGCTTCAGAATAAACAAGAAATGCGAAAAAATTATATAAAATTAGCAGGGAGTTTGAGCGCCGGATGAAGATGCATGACGGGAATCACGTTGAGCTCGCCACGACGTCGGCGGCATGAGATCCTCCACAGAATTCGGGGTATTAGGGAGATTGATGTAAATCTGGCTGCCGGTTTTCTTTTCCTTGACCAGCACGCCGCTGGAGTTGCTCGAGGCCACGGCACTGCGCGCGATATAGCTGTGGCTTTGGTACTTGCCGAGCCACAGCATCTGTTCGTGCTCGCGCAGGTAGCGGTGACTGGAGAAGCTGTTCAGCACGTTGGATCGACCCAACATACCGAAGCGACGACGCTGCTCGGCCTTGTCGTACATCCGCTGGGAGATGGCCTGGACTTGTTCCGGGGTTGGACGGAACTCCAATTTCGGGACTACCTCGCCTTCCTTGTCCTCGGCGAAGGGGCTCCAGTTCTCTAGCAGCGCGAGGACGCGAAGCTGGGCTCGGGCCAGTGAGTCGTAGTCGTTGGGGGCCACGACTTCACTGAATTTCTTACCGGTGGCGCGATCTGTCACGACACAGAAAGAAGCACCGACGTCTGTGCAGACCACGGGGGCACCGGTCAGGGCGGCTTCACCCATAGCCAGCGGGAGACCCTCCGAGATAGACGAGTTCATGAACAGCCACTGAAGCGGTTGGTTAGAATGTGATCGCAGTTGACGGGGGGGGGGGGGGGTTGGGGTTCGCAGGTGGGAACTTACAGCATCCTGAAGCACAACAGATGGGTTACCCAGACCCTTGAGCACGACATGTTCGCGGAGACCCTTGGAGGCAATAACTTCCTGGCACTCGGACGCGTAGGCCGGTGCACGCTCCATATCTCCGTAGATGTGGAGGCGGTAATCGGTGAAACCCCATTTGTTAACAATGAGATCCGTGGCCATGATGGCGGTCTTGATATCCTTGACGTAACTGCTGGAAGGTTAGCTTGAGGAATGGGGGACTCGGGAGACTTTGGTGCACTGACCGGATATGGGACAACATGACCACAGTGGGGGTCTTTGTCTTAATGGCCTCGATGGGCTTGTACTTCTCCATATTGGTGATTCCGTTGACCACGGGATCGATCTTGCGGCTGAAGGCCCGACGGTGCTGGAGGGCTCCTTCGGCAGTTCCCAATTCGACTTCCCAGCCAGGGTTGAAGTACTCCGCACAGGGGAGCACCACGTCCGCATGATGCTCGATCAGAACACATGCCAAATGGCCCAGGGATATTAGAGTGGTATTGACGAATGTGGAATCGAAGGACACAGCGGAAGACAAGAACACCGTCATCTCACGGAAACTGACACAGTGATCCCAGACGTGAAGTGCACACTTGCGCTTGGCTTTGCAGAGCACACCGTAAGTCGCACCAGTGAAGTGATGGGAGACCTGGAAGACATCGGGGATTCTTTCGGGAACAGGGATAGAGAAAATAAAGAGATCTAGAGCAAGTTAGTACATCAGCTACAAAAAAAAAAAAAAGGGGGGGGGAAAGTGAACATACAGCGATGCCACATATCCAGGGCTGTGTCGAGTTGCAATAGAGTTGGATGCTCTACGTCCCACCATTCGGAAACGGGGGCAGCATCCTCGACGTTCTCACTCAGCCAGAGCTCTCGCCAGGTCCGCTTGACGGTGTCGCTCATCCAGACATCATTCCAGCTGCGACCGGACACGAAGTAAGTGTTCAGATCAACCAGCGCGTTGGTGGCTTCCTCGATGTGCTGGCGGGTTAGGTTGGTTGTGCGGGCACATCGGACCAACTTGGTAAGAATAGGAAGAAAATGCTTCTCAATATCTTCGTCGCGGGTATCGTAGGATCGCTCCACAACAGCCGAGTCGAGAGAGTTCTGGAACACACCGTGCGTTGGGTTGAGGAAGTCTAGACCCCACTGGGGGAGGACGGTCAGGGACTGGACATTCCGTTCGATCTGGAACTTAGGCACGCCGTAGTCGTTGGCGTTCTCGGAAATGATATGCCATCTGATGCCCTTGAGATCATTAACCATGTCACGACGACAAGCAGAGACACCACCAGGTTCGTTGGGCCAGGTAGCGGTGTCCATGGCGAGAACGTGGAGCTGGGTATCGGTATCCTGGAGTTGAGTGGAGAGAGTTCGAGTATTGATTCTCGCGTCACCTCCGATTCCAAAGCTGTACAAGTCACTGATCTTGAAGGCCGAGGGCGTCCAGGAGCTGACCTCGGGATCAATATCGACCCGGGCCAGAATGGTATCAACTTGGGCGTCCAGGTAATCGCCGGCAGCATCCAATCGACCAAAATCACGATTGAGCCAGTAGGGACGAAGAAGTCGCTCAGACCGCAACAGGAGCTCATCCAGCCAGGTGGTAGTGACCGCATCGAATTCTTTGCTCCCCTTCCAGGTCTTCCACAGGTGTGTGCGAGCACGCGACGTGGGGATCGGACGGCATTTGACGTTCAACCCCAGGAAGCGGGTGATGAAGTTGGTTTTGATTGACCTGAAGAAGAAAAGAGGGTTGTCGTGCAAGAAACTGCCCTTGGTTGGCTTGTCCAGGACGTGGAACCAGTCCTCGTGGATCATAGCAGGAGTAGGAACCGGCTCGCCATTGAGCGTGGTCGCAATATCCGGGTGAAACTTGTGGTCGTATGTCCATTTGGCATGGTGTACATCGGAATCCTGAATGAATGTTGCCTCACTGACTCTGGGATACGGAATCCACTTGTCTAGACGCTCGGGACGGGTGGGAGGAGGCATGCACCAGGCGACCTTGATCTGAATATGGGGGAAGACATACTCGGCACGGAGGAGTTCATCATCAAATTTGGCGTTCTTCCGGAACCCGTACTTGAAGTGCACAGGATTGACACCCTGCATTGCAGACCCGGAGATGATATAACCGCTGTCATCATATTGGACGACCTGACCCTCCAGCTCACCAGCAGTGCATTGTCTCTGAATGGGGAGCTTCTTGCCGCGGAACCTTTTGCCACCTTCAGCGTACTCGTAGGTGTAATCATTGACAAGCTTCTGTCCCTTGTACTCTTCACGTCGGCGAAGTACGATTTTGTCAGTATACGTGTTAATGGCAATAAGCTGCGCCTGATCCGTAGGCTCTTGCTTGTGGTTACCCAAGTACTGGTAGAGTCGGGGGCTACCGTCGGGCTGTGGCCGGAAGAAACAGGTAGTGACGCCACTGAGGCTGTCAATGACAATCCTGTCCTTCTCGATCACAGTCTTCCAGCCCTTTGTGTTCTTGTAAAGTTCCGAGACATTTTTGCGGCCGTGAAGCTGGACCAAGGTCAGTACGCCTGTAAATAGTTCAAGGGGGGTTTTGGTGGGCTACGCGTACCAAGACAAACGGGAAGATGATCCGTTGGAGAAACTTGACGTACGACCATATGGTGTTAAGCAATATGGTCACCGGCCAGGCGAAGAACAGGGGCTGGCCGCGCATGATGTAGTTCAGCTCTCGTTGGTATTCTGGGTCAGCAACAAGCGAGATAACGACAAACTTGAGACAGGTCTTCAGCGTCTGGATGACGCGAGTGAAAGACAGTCTCAGGGCCTCGCTGAAACTCAGATTTGTGCTGATGGGAGGTGGCAGGAGACTGTGGATAGGCTTCTCATAGGTTGAATCCATGAAGACAGGGTAATCCGGATAATCGTCATGCTCCATCCAGCGCTGCGCAAAGTAATTGACCGAGGTGGACATGGCAACGCCGAGATTGTATCGCGCGACATACTCGCCCACGTCCTGGAGGTCCTGGGCACCAACTCTGTCCTGGAGCCAGCGGAGCTCCTCGGCTGTGACGCGACCCGGTTTTCCAGAGCAGCGGCGCACCAAGAATGATCGTGCAGTCTCGGGAAGGTTATCCCACTCAAGATCGCAATCAATACCAAGTAAGAGATGTCGGAGGAACGTCCTTCGTCCGTGGTTAGCGACTCTGGCACATTCTGCCGGGGACCGCTCAAGCTGATACTTGATACCCTCGGGGACAGCGAGCTCGAAATCATTGCGATGCTCAGCAACAAGGAGCTCAGCCATCATGGAATGGTCCTGTGAGTATCCGAGTCTGGCCTCAGCGGTGGCTTGAATGATGGCCTCGGCGATTGTTCTGCAGTTACGACGGATGTTGGTCGTCCAATCCTGGCCGACAAGCCCCGGTCCAATGATGACAAAGATGAGCAGCTGGTCTCCAGTTCGACGGCTAACAGCTCGAATTCTCTGCTCCTTGTGAAGCAAGTGTTCAGCGGAGACGAATTCGATGACTGTTTGGCCAGATTGCCAGAGTCTAACTACATCATGCAGCAGCTTCTCTGCCTCCGGGAAAGCAGCTCGAACCAGGGCGGATTTCTTAGAGCCACAATTGGAGAGGAGGATTTCCTTCACCTCAGAGCCAGGGTGGCTCGAGGGATCAAGACGATATCGCAAATCCTCAGCCAGGGCGTCGATGTTGTCAAATGTCTGCGTCAGAGTTGTCTGCGAGAGATCCAAGTAAGGCTCGAGGGAACTGCTAGTGTACGAGACCTGGGGATCCACAGTCAGGTCATTAGACAGCTTGTCGGCGGCGGCGGCCTTGCGCTTAAACTGGGGCAGACCGACGTTCGCCATGATTAGCGAGTAAATAGCGGCAGTCCATGTTCCAGCAGACAATCCAATGACACTGCTCCAAGTGAACGGAGGAATTGCCACATGAAGGACGATTCCGGTGATTAAACCAACGATTGAGCCTAGCGCAAGACATCTGGCAGCCTCGGGTCCGGTGAAGATGCGGTTGTACTGGTACCATAGAAGACCACTGTAGGCTCCGATATAGGCGAGGTACATGATTGTTGCCTTTCGCGAATCCTCGAACGTCCACATCAGGGCCAGAGTCACAGCTGTACCCCAGATATGGAGGAAGAAAAACTTGGTCAGGTTCTTGAAATACAACGCCTTCCTCATTTTATAGTTGTTGGTAGTAACAACGCGCAGCGAGTCCAGGGAAGAGACGGCCTCACTGGTCCGTTTGTGGGCAGCTGTCCAGAGAGGCTGAGAGACGGCATCAAGGATGACAGCACCGGCCAGATAGTAGCCCAACCCGAAACCGACTGACAATCGGAATTCAGAGCTTGATGCGGTCGACAAGCCGACGAGAGCCTCTCCCGTGAAAAGAGCAGTCCATTTATCCATCAGCGCGATAACGAAGTAGAGAATACCACACCACACATCCGCACCAGTGTGACGCCAGTGCAGGAACGCGCTGTGGAGCTTCAAACCCTTCTGCATGTCTCCCATCGTGTCGACAGCCGCCTTGAGCTGGAGATTCCAGGTTGGGCTATATGGCAGAGGCATTTTAGTGCGCGAGTACCTGCAATACCAAACAAGAAGGAACATGGTGGCCGAATATCCTTCTGCCATCTTGCGGACAAATGGGTCAGCCGTTGCCTTGGACCAGAATGGACGCTTTCGTTCCTTCTGCACGCTCTCAACAAGAGCCTTGCGGGGGACGGACGAAGTTGCGACATCCTTTGCCTCGGCAGAGTCGGGAGAAATCTTGTTATTGATATACCAATTCACAACCTCCCCGTCCGTCACACGAGGAATGTGAAGATACCATGTGTTCCATTGTGCAATGACACGTCGAGCTCCGAGAAGCAAGGAGGTCAGGAAGACTCCCAGGACGCAGAGGTAAATGACAGAGTCGTGATTAACCCACAGCGTTACGATGGGAGAAATAAACAGAATGGGGATACAGGTAATGATAACAGTTCGTCCCTAGAGTGCATGTTAGCTTTCTTTGCGCGTAGAAGAGGGAAGAAGACCAAAAAAAAAAAAAAAAAAAAAAAAAAAAAATCTTTTCATACCGATTGGAACTCAAATCCTGGCAGCTGGTAGATAGAAAGGACCGAGAGAACCATGAGATAGGTCGACAGGAAGAAAAAGTAGAGGAAGAAGAGCACACCGGCTGCAAATCCCTTGACGCAGCCAATAGCAATCATCGCGATAATGCCGGCGGCAAAGGCAACAGCCAACCCGGCAATGAAGCGAGTCATGACAAACATGCCCATCGCAGGGAAGGCCATGGCATAGAGATAATAAGTTCCTCCTGAACTGATCCAGCTGCCGAAACCGCCACAAACGAGAAGGGCAATCATGAGAGCGGTGGTAGCCAGTGTCTTGTCAATATCGCTCATGAACGTGGTAAGATACAGACCACGGCCGACGGTTGTGAGCATTGTAATATCAATCAGAGCAGGAAAAGCGAAGATTCCGAGGAATGTAATGCGGTAGTAGAATGGCACTTTGAACTGATCCCCCTTAGGATCCAGATCAATATCCATAGAAGCATACGCGGTTGGCAATTCGGTGAAGATTTCCTCACGTCGTGGTGGCTGGTGGACTTTGTAGTATGCCTGATACCGGGCAGCGATAATCTTGCCCAATAGCTTAGGGGTCATGTCGAAGAACATATCACAGCGTGCACCTAGAGCGTACATCTCGGCGAAACAGGCCGCCTGAACAGTGTGGCGGTTGGGGAGCGGGTTGCGATCAAGAACCTCCAGATAGATTTCATCCAGGGCCAGTCGGCGGAATGCACAGAAGACTGCCAGAGCGAGCATATCTGCTGATGCATCAATTTTCCCCGGTTGCATAACCTTGTACATAACCTTTTCAAGCTGTCCTAGGGTCGTTGCGTCCGATGAAATGAGGATCTGGGGCAGACGAGCATCAATTTCCATGAAGAGGGCTTTGGAAGCAGCCTCATCGGGAGCCCAGCAGCCTTGATCGCGATACCAGGCTAGACGAGAAGAGACTATCTCCTCGGGAGAGATCTTGCCACTAAGGTATTCACTGGAGCTCAAAGTACGGAACTGCGCGAGGGACTGGACTTGCATGAGTTGGTACTCGCAGCAAGCACGGACTTTGGCAGTCAAGTCGGCGCATTCCTGGCAGAGAGTAAGAGAGAGACGTCGCAGCCAGAGCAGAGCCTCTGTTGGCGTGAGTTGCTGCAGGTCATTCACAATACGCTCAGGCAACTGCCATTTCTCCGATAGAGTTCCGTTGGCAGTGGCCAGGGAAACTTCAGCCATGAAGCATTGGAAGCGAGAGTATCCCCTGCTTGACATGTACGTATGAAGAATGGTGCCAGTGCGATCCTCAGCCTTTCCGGAGAGATAGATATTGAGAACGCCAACCCCAGGTTGCTGCTCGGCCATGCCCCAAATCTGAGTTTCCATGCCAGTGCGGAAGCCGGAGTGTAGTCCTGAATAGACTCGCACCGGGTCATTGTCGGTTCCGTCACAGATGAAGAGGAGATCGCAGAGCTCCTGGGCAGCCTTCGCACCTTCGAGGCCTGGCAGCTGCGAGTCCCGTAATTCTTTCAGCTGTTTAGCAATGCGGCGGAGCTCCTCAACCTTCAGTTTATCGGACAGTTCCAGATCCCGAATATGGCGCTGGGCCTGGAGAAGATCGGCGATGTCCTTTGCAGTGCAGTCCAACCCGATTTGAAAGCAGCCGAATCCCGTGTATTCATCGCCGTCAGGAGAACGGGAAAAGGGATTGGCAACGAGAGGTTCATTGAGTGATGGCCACTGAAGCTCATCGACGACAAATACTTGCCCATCGGCGGCGGGTTTCTCCTGAGGAGGATATAGGGCCAACTTTTGCTTGAGGTTTGGAACCAGGTACTGCAAAGAATCATACAAGTTGTCATTTCCATGGGAGGAAGTTGGCGACACCTAAAGCCCGTTATTAGCTTGACCATGGTATTGCTTTGAATAGGGCGTGATATGTGCGTACCTTTTCATTTTTTCTCCAGATATCATGCGCCTCCAGGGCGTCGGCGCCCTTCAACCACATCATCGCTCCGATGGGTTCCTGGACAATGGTTTTCCCAGATGCTATGCGCGCGTCGGTCAAGGCGGCCTGAGGTGCAATCCAGCTCATGGCGCTGTTGTAATTGCACCACTTGGAGCTTCTGTGAAGGACATCGTGCGTTATTTCAACAGAGTCATCAACGGCGTCCCACATGGCGAGAGTAGAGCCGCCAATGGGCTTCTGGGCCGCCACGACTCTCATCACGGTCCGCATCGCAGCCATCTGGAAGTAATTGCGCCTATCCCCGTTGGGCAAGATTGTGCCATTGCGGTAGACAACCCCTCGAATGCGCGCCATGTCGATATCGCGACTTTGGCGCTCACTGATGTAGTTTGGTGGAGAGAGTTCCAGCCAGACGTCGAGACCCAGGGCATTGATGAACTGCACCACCTCGTTCAAGACAACCGGTTGAAAATGATCATGGCAGTCTGCCAGCAGCACCCCGGTGAAGGGGGATTGCCTATCCTCGGGACGTTTGAGATATGTCACCAACGTCTCGGTTAGGGTACAGATCGCGCGGATTACATCTTCATTATGGGAGCTGGGCTCGGAGGAAATAACCTGGCGCACATCCAATCTGGCGAGAACATGGGTTGCCGTGTAGGACCGGGCGAGCGCATCCAACACGCCATACTGTAAAGGATCAAGAACCACGGTATCCCACTGCGAAAGGAGACGAGCTTGGTCTTCTGTGGGAGGATTGGAGAAGCTTCCAAGATAGACGCCGAAAGTCTTGGGTTCCGTCAATTCAGGCCTCTCCGGGGAAAGTTTCTGTGTCTCTGCCTTTAACCGTTCAATATACCGTACGATTGCCGTGGGCACTTCCGAAAGCTCATGTCGAGTCTGTCATAATCCATTGCACGTCAGTTGGCTGATCGCAAACGCAAGGGGTGTGCCGAACGGGTATATATGTACTTACCCGCCAATGTTGATATACTGTGCGTCCGATTAGATATAACATATATAAAGAACCAATTATAATTGTAGCAAGTAAACAAGCTGCTAACACCTATTCTCAATGTTAGGAAGATCGAAATACTAGGGCAATTGAGTAGAATTTACCCTATCCCACCAGGTCGACACCATGCGATTCCATCCCGTCGCCTCTAAACCGAGGTATGTGACCCCCATGGTGTCAACGAGAACCAGCAAAGAAACGAATGAACAAGGAAAATGGCTTAACAGCCGTAGCGAGTGAAATCCCTAGTCCCCAAGAACAGTGGGAGGGGGTGGATATGTATATACTGACCAGCACAGCCGCCACCTACGGACCCGCCTACGAGCCTCAGCGCCTGGAGAAAAGTTGGTTTTATACCGGATACATGACCCGGGTCCAGGAAATAAACCTTTCAGCAGATTTCTGAGGCGCCCGATGTTCTGGTATTGGGCTAGTTACGGTGTATCTGTACGGAGTATCTCATTATTCATGTAAAAACCACAGTAGGCCCAAAATAGATCCATTAACCGGGGGCTGAACCAGAGCTTTCCTTGGCTCGGTAACTTGGACTGGTCTCACTTGCAGTTGTCCGGAATATGCAGGCTAGGGCTGACCGATAAGACCTCTGTTTGTGCGTAAGCCAGTGCTTTCTTTATGGATTGTTTCCTCCGGCGTGGTTCGCTAGGTGTCAAAGAGTCGAAGACGCCGCCGAAGTCAAAATAGGAAAGCCTAGGACTAATTTTTTTTTTTTCTTTCCGTGCCATTGTTGTGACTCTTTTTGATCCAGAGCGACCCAGACTCGCTCATACTCTCTCTATCCTGATCTCGGGGTTCCGGTGCTGGGGTGGTTTTTTGGGTCATCTACCAACTTGTTATAATATCCATTTCTACAGCCTTATCCCCTCCGTTGCACGATCACTACTGCTCGACCTCTGATCCGCCTCTATTTTTGATTTCTTTTTTCTTTTTTTCGTTTTATTTATTTATTTATTTTATTTTCCTCTCTGGCAGGGTATGTTCACTGTGCCCCAGGATGGAGTCCCTTAAGCATACTACAGAGGGTGGTACCCGATCACTGCGCCAGAAATTCAAGTTGCGCCGGCCCTGGTGCATCTCCCTCGTGGTTGCTGTCATTATTGTGGTGATTGTCGTAATTGTTGTCCCGCTAGCTGTTCTTCTGCCCCGGCGCAATCATCGAGGAAAGCCATCCACAGTGCTGTTTCCACTGTATATCTATCCCAAGTCCAACGCAACATGGGGCCCTTTGTATGAGGCGTAAGTACCCCCCCCTAACCCTACCCCTCCCTCTTCCCCTCACACTCCCCCTTCCCATCCCATAATTTTACTACGTTTGATTATGAGACATTGATCCGGATCTAAATATAATCTCAGCGCTCTTGCACACCCCGAACTGGATTTTGTGGTGGTGGTGAACCCACAAAGCGGGCCAGGCTCGTCTTCGTCTCCGAGTAGCGAGTACGCGGCTGCGGTGCGTCAACTTAGCACTTACTCTAATGTGCAAAAGGTGGGATATGTGCGCACCTCATACGCCACTAGAAACATCACCGAGGTGCTAGACGATGTGGAAACATATTCCGACTGGGATTCGCAGTCCTCTGCCCTGGCCATGGATGGCATCTTCTTCGATGAAGCGCCCCATCAGTACACTTCCGCCGCGGCCGAGTACATGAACCGGATCAACCTGGCGGTTAAGAATGCTACCGGGATTCAGGGAGATCGAATGGTAAGTTGTGCACAAGATCAAAAAAAAAAAAACCAAAAAAAAAAAAAAAAAAACAAATGAAACAAATCGGCGTGAGAGAAAAAGGCTTCATGAATGGGTCCGACGATCTTTGGGCGAGGGTGGATCCTAGATCTTTCCTTCGCTTCGTTGGCGAACTGTTGTTTCTCCTCTTGCCACTACCGCGTTCCTACATCATGGGCTGGCTGACGGACTGACGAATCCACAGGTCATCCATAATCCAGGCACCGTCCCTGATACACGTCTGGCCGACTCCAACACCGATGTCACCGTTGTTTTCGAGCAGGCATACGACCTTTATCAATCCAACACTCAGCAGAAAGCACTCCGGGCCTTGACCCAGCCGCGAAGTGACCACGCGTATATCCTTCATTCGGTGCCCACGATGAGCGTCAGCAGCCTCCAAAGCTTCATCAACGGACTCAGCCAGCGAGCCGCCTACCTATTTGTGACGACGCTAAATGAAAGCTATTATGAGTCCTTCGACCCGCAATTGGAAGAATTTTGCAATGTAGTCCCGACCTGACTGACCTATTGGGATTCGTACTAATGTTTTCCTGCCCAAATTTTAAGTCTGGCATCCGCCAGCCAGCTCTGGGGAGGGAGAGAGAGGTTGTTGAGGGGGGTTTCGGTGAGACAACGCTCCTCTCCAGACCATGGGGAGCATTTCCTTGGTTCGATTGCGCCTTACCCTGGTGGATATCCACCTGTTAAATGCGTGGCTGATGCGAGTTACGGGGGTATATGTGATTGGTCATGTTTATAGCGTGCATGGAATTTTTTTTGGAATTTTTTTTTTTTGTACCTTATCTTGAGATAATATTAATAAATCTGGGCCGAAAGCGTGGCGCCGGGGCTTTTTTAGTCTGCGGCACCATCACAATGAATCTGATTTAGTTTACTATTTAGGGAATTCCCTTGACGCCAGTATACCTCCAGGTAAGCACTAGTATTGTCAGTTACATAGTAGCTCTGGTTAGTTGCTAGGCAAAAAGCCCTTACTGTGTACCTATAAATTGGCTGCGTTCAAGGACACGAAACAAGCCAGAAAATCTCACCATCCCCTCTAGTTAATGAAAGCTATTGGCTGGTTCTTGCATTTACTCAAAAAAGGAAGAAGCAGAAGAAAGGGAAACTCGTTGCAGGGACCTCCAAAGATGCTTCCTAAATCTGCAGTCGTGGTCCCTTTGTATATCTATCCTTTGACTCCTGAATCATGGGCTCCACTCTATGAAGCGTAAGTGCCTGGACGAATAAAGGAAAAAAGCAAAAAAAGGGGAATCAATCAAAGGAAAAAGAAACGAATGGTGCAGTGGGATTCATAAATAATACCAACTTACTACTGCATAGGATTGAAGCCAATCCCACCCTCGACTTCCTGGTTATCGTCAACCCCAATAGCGGACCAGGCGAATTGCCCTCCCCTGACGCCCACTATGCCCGCGAAGTGCCTCGACTCAATTCCTACGCCAACGTGTACACCGTAGGTTATATCCGAATCGACTATTGCAGAAAGCCCCTCCCGGAAGCCTTCGCAGAGATCGAGCGGTACGCCAGTTGGGCCGAGAAATACGAGGACACTCGGCTAGGCGTGCAAGGGATCTTTGTGGATGAGACCCCGAATCACTATTCGCCTGAGCGCGCGGAATATCTGACGGGGTTGTCCCAATTTATTAAGAACTCGTCCGGGATTCTGCCAGACCGATTTGTAGGTGCTGATTTTTGCTTTCTGCTGTTCTGCTTCTACCCCAGACCACCAACAACAAAAGCAAAGTCAATACAAAGTTAACAAAGTTAGATTGTCCATAATCCGGGCACTCCTCCTGACGCCACTTTGGCAGATTCAGCCGAATTGATCTTTGTCTGCGAGGAGCCCTATGAACGATACCGATCCGACGAGGTTCAAACCCGACTAAAGGAACTCCACTATGACCGGACTCGCGCGGGCTTTATGATAAATGCCGTGCCAGCGGAGGACATCCACTCTCTAGTCCATGAGCTACGGCATCGCTCCACTTATATCTTTGTAACCGAGATTCATGGAGATTTCTACGAGCGATTTGGCCCTCGCAGTTGGGGGGATTTTATGCAGGCCTTGTCGGAGTAAAACAGAAAGCGACAAAGGTCCATGGTACGATCTTTCGATTTGGGCCGCAGTGATTCCGGCCGATTTTTTCCCTGATTTTTCCCGCGTATTGTTCTTTGGATACCGATTTGACAAGTCTTAGTTGGGGTCTAGCGTTGTCGGGTATGTCTTAAACGTGGCTTTCGAGTTGGACCTTGGGATTCATCCAAATTTCGACCCGGCGGCTCCGGCGATTTTAGTGCTGATCGTAGTTCTTCTTGCTTCGGGCTTTTCTTTTGCAGAAGTTTCCTTACCGGATGCGCTTTCTAATCGACTTTCCCTTCCGGTACGGAGTTGGTAGTATCGTTTCTCGTTTTGTCCTGATGTTATACTCCGTACATATCCCATAATATAGGATTCTTCTGCAACCGGAGCCACCTCTTCTAGAAGGAAGAAGACCTTTAACCCTAAGTATAGTACTCTGTACATTTCCCCATCTTAAACATTACCAATCGCAGGGAAGGGGAAAAAAAAAAAAAAAAAAAAAAACAAAATGTGACCCGCCTTAACCAACGATTGCGGCCTCTCGATCGATATACATTTGCTAGATCCCTACCCAAGGTTCATAATGAGACACAGACCTCTCGCTAACGAACTCTGGATAGCAAACGTCCAGTAGTCCGGATCACAAAAAAACAAATACCCGACGTCAAAGTCTCACCACATGGTTTTTCTGCTCCCATGGTACAGAGTACCATCGATGCTTCCAATCTTATGATGACAGCTACTTATTCTAGGGGAATGATAGCCGACCCTGCGTCCAATATCGTACGTAGCCTTATATTAGAGTTGGTCTTGGGAGAGGAGGAGAGACAGTATAGATTACGGAATACTCACGTCAAATCAGCCAGCCAGCCACCTTGTAGACGACTAGACGACTAGACGACTAGAAGTTAAAAGTTTGCTATTTTTGACAAGAAAAGACTGCTACAGGAGCCGCATAGAACCCCTATCGAATCTGGACCAAGAGCCCAAGCACGGGACGACGGGGCTGAGTCGGGGACAACTACCCAGGATGGTATTCGGCAAGGCAGTGAACTTGCCTCAATCCCGATAAGAAGTGAGACAAGCAGAATTTTCTTGTCTCCGTCCAGTGGCTACTGGAGTAACTCTTGACTCAGAATGGACTGGAACGGTTCCCCCACTGTAGACAAGGTGAAACTTGTAAGGACCTGTAATACGGAGTACAGGGCGTAATCAATCCACAATAGCGTCAATCGGGGCCATTAGAATAGGACTTCGCTCCATCCTCCCTCTTCCTCTGGCGGGCGGACAAGGGACAAGAGAAGAGAAGAGGTCCTCAGCGTCACAGTCGGTCCTTTCCCTCCCACAGTGATTTCCCGTCATGTCATCTCCCCCCTCTTGTTTGTCGGCGGGCACGACGTCGCCGCAGTTCTGCTCAGATCCTCCTACGCCGGCGACCGAATTCGAGGACAATATCGAGGTCCCGGGCGAACACGACGAGGAATATGTGCTGGTCACCGGTGGTCTGGGGTTCATTGGGAGCCATACTTCCCTGGAATTGCTCAAGGCCGGGCACAACATCGTGATTGTGGACAATCTGAGTAACAGCTTTCGTGATGTGTTTGACCGGATCCTCTTGGCGGCCAAGGCCCACTGCGACAGGGAGCGCAGGAACTGCCCGAAAGCGCGCCTCTGTTGCGCAGACTATCGAGACACATCCGCCATGCGGCTGCTTCTGGCATCGTACGCTGTTGGGACCTGCAGAACCGAACCGAAACGAACCGGCATCAAAGGCGTTATCCACTTCGCGGCCTTCAAAGAGGTCGCGGACAGCATCCAACACCCCTTGAAGTACTACAAGAACAATGTCAAGGGCCTAATCGACTGGATCAGTCTGTTGGAGGAATACGATATCAAGTCCTTCATCTTCTCCTCCTCCGCCAGCGTGTACGGCACCTTGTCTGAAAACACCCCGCGGATTCGAGAAGAGGACTGTGTGCACGAGAAACACGAATACTCGAGCCCCGACGGCGTCCGGTTGCACGCGGAGCAAGGCTGCACCGGCATCACCAATCCTTACGGCCGGAGCAAGTTCTTTGGCGAGGCTATTCTGGCGGATGTCTGCAAATCGGATCCCTCCTGGACGGTAGTGGCCCTGCGATACTTCAACCCCATCGGCTGCGACCCCTCTGGCTTACTGGGCGAGGATCCACGCGAAAGCCCATCGAATCTGCTCCCAGCGGTCGTCAGGGTTCTCACGGGCCAGAACCCAGAACTGCGCATCTTTGGTACAGACTGGGACACGCCCGATGGTAGCGCAGTGCGAGACTTTATTCACGTCACCGATCTTGCCAAGGGACATATCGCTGCCTTGGCTGCCGCGCAGGTCGGTCGGATCCAAGGGAATTTCCGTACCTTCAACCTCGGCACAGGATCGGGACACTCTGTAATTGAAGTGGTTGAGGCTCTCGAGCGAGTGAGCCATCGATCTATCCCGGTCAAACGCGTTGGCCGCCGGCCCGGGGATGTAGGCTCGTGTGTCGCGATACCTGACCGGGCAGGTCAAGAGCTTGGATGGAGGACGGAAAAGTCTTTGCGCGATGCTTGCGAGGATCTGTGGAATTATCTCCGAATAGACCAGGCTTAATGTTTTATGTTAATAATGTCTTTAGTAATTGATAGAATGTTAGTTAATACAGTTTATACTCTTCACCTGCTCGAAGTTTGGTCATCAATATAGGCTCCTTACATCGGGCACGAAATGTCCCCTGATATCGATCAAGTGCTTCAAGTTATGTTCAATGGATTTCTCTGATATGTGATGATCTATTTGAAGGCTCCATGATATGCGAATATATATATATATATATATATATCTACTCACTATCTAATTTATCTGGAACAACCCTTTGTAGGCAACGGTTACTGAACAGCGTAACCTAACAAAACACAGTATTTATATTGATGACCCAATATTAGCTAGCGCTATACATACACTGTGGAACTACATCCCGCAAGTTACTGCTATTCTCACCTAGTTCGCCCTCTTATGTCCAGATGTATACGCAGTACGCGTACGCGTACGCGCACTTGGCCCGCTCTCGCTGAAACTGACCCGCTGGCAAGGTTCGTTTCTATCTGTGACCCAGATGGCCCTGGTAGGGTGCAGCCAGTTGAGTCTGCAAGTTGAACAGAGATAGTTATGTGCCGCCTACCAGACCCCAGAGAAAGCGCAGCGCTGGCCATTCATTTCCAGAGGCCACATCATACTACCCCACTGTCCCCGAATTTGCATACAGGAGCACAGGAGTATATCTGCATGGTGATCCTCCCGCACCTCCATCCAAGCAAAGTTATGCTCTAGCCCATGCGGACCATACTGCTGGGCCCAGGACCGTTCTCGACCTGCCATCACATAACCCACCTGCGATTCTAGAATCCCGCTGATAAGACGTATCTCATGTATTTTATCGGAACGGGCTGGCCCGAGGAGACACATGCACAAGCGCCACGAGCCAATCGCATCGCATCTCTATCTTGGGCTCCGGGGGGGGGGGGGGGGGTTGCGAATGTAGCCAGCGACTCTCGGCTCTTGGTGCTGCTGGACATCGGGAACATGCAGACTTCCCACTCGGAGAGCGTGGCAGACAGACAGGCAGGCAGGCAGGCAGGCAGGGTCGTACATTGCGGTGGATCCGGTTCCAGGCCGAAGGACCATGCACTCTGCGTTCAGGATCCGTTCCTATGGGAAAATGTGGTAAGCAAGCGGGGTCTTTGGGCAGATTTTTGGTTCATACTCCGTACCCTGTTTCATTGTTAATCCGGGGACGAGAGGATGCATGTTGGGGGCCGTATGTATGCCGAAGACTGGAGGTCCCTCGCATATATTACGGCATTGAACCTTACCGATAGGCCCACAAACGTGGACGATCTCCTTGCTCGATGATGCAGAGATGTCGGGTACCTATCTATTTAATCAGTATTCTGCAAATCTGACCGCATTAACCAGTTACACTTTGGTCGAAGCCGATTGGCAGGAAGGATGCGGATTGAGAGCAGGGATTTAGGGCAAGGAAATAGTGCAGTTATTATTCGAGTCTTTCCTCCGCCTTCCGTACATAGCACATCGCTGAGAGAGTAATTTCGGGGTACACAGTTTGGCTTAGAGGAGGAAAAGTAGAGGTGAGATTAACCTGTGTAACTTCATATTCAATGTCATCCATGTGATGCCCAGAGCAAAGATAGTCTATTGGCACATTATAGAGGACTGGTAGTATAGACAAGGAACCTGATCCCTCAACTGACTACAGAATATTCAGAGACTGTATTAGTGCCTTGTTCGGAGAGTAAGGCTAGGCTGTCAGCTGGTCAGAAAAGGAGGCTTTTCACGGCTCGGATCCCAAGAGCTGCTTCACTCTTCATCTTCATATGGCAGTGGAGGCACTTGCGCAGACTTTTATACTTGACTTTTGCCCTAATAGCTTGCGTACCATCCTATAACAATAGCTAGTTAACTATCTCATAACTGCTGATTAAAGATTAGTTATTTCATAGACTTGTGAAGGCCTGGAAAGATTTTATAAATATCTATGTTAGAAGTATTCTTCTATATTTGTTTAGGTAATTTAAGCTTATTTATACAGCCTTTGAACCATTCTCAAGCTTTTACAAAGTAGACTCATGACTCCTGTTCCATCCAGTCTTTTAGAGTATTCACATTTGAATGACTTCAGAATATGGAGGTTGAATTCATTCAAGGGGGCCTTTTCTCACCTTGTTAGATTCAGTGGTTACACAGCAGATTCGCTTCTGGACTCCCCTTTTCTCCCTTGATTAATTGTCCTCCAGGAATTTCTAATCATCGCATGCTAATACCTGGCACCCTCGAACATTTAGAAGCATTGGAGGATGGACGAACAGAAAAACAACAATTTCCCTGCTGCTGCCTTCCATGTGGATCTTCAAGATGCTCAACGGGACCATGAAAAAGAGGCTCAAAAAGTCGGCTGGCAAGTTAGCTCTAAGGAAGCTCAAGCAGCTAACATCAGTGAACATGCCATGACAGTGCGCGAAGCGTTGCGTGCTTACCCTTGGGCAGTGGTTTGGTCCCTAACCATTTCCATGTCGATTGTCATGGAGGGTTACGACACCAACCTTATTGGGAATTTCTACGCTTACCCGGAGTTCAAGGAACAGTTCGGCCAATATTATCCTAACAAGGGGTACGAGATTCCGCAGGCATGGCAGTCGGCTCTAGGAGCAGGGGGCAACGCAGGCTGTATTCTGGGGGCTTTTTTAAATGGCTACTTTGTTAAGCACTACGGCTTCAAGCGAGTATTCCTAGTAGGTTTACTATGCATGTGCGCATTCATCTTCGTCTCTTTCTTCGCGAAAAGCGTAGGACTTCAGGTTGCGGGCCAGGTTTTATGTGGGTTGGTCTCACCCTACGTTTCCCTCGAGATTGAGCTCCATTGTCTTGAGAGAAAAGGAAAGGACTAACTGAAAGAACTCAACAGTATACCATGGGGTATCTTTGCAACTCTTGGTCCTGCTTACTCTTCTGAGCTTCTACCAATGGCGCTTCGTTCCTATCTTACAGCCTACGTGAACATGTGCTTTGCCATCGGCCAGTTCATTAGCGCCGGAGTTCTCCAAGGTCTGCTTCCCCGGCCAGACGAATGGTCTTACCGAATAATCTTTGCCGTGCAGTGGCTTTGGCCTGTACCGCTATTCTTCATCGCATTTTTCATGCCCGAGTCTCCTTGGTGGCAGGTGCGCCAGGGGCAGTATGACAGCGCGGAGAAAACCGTACAGCGACTTATGGCCAAATCAGAGCAACAGAATGCGTGCCAGGTTGTTGCTATGATGATCCACACCAATGACCTGGAAGCCGAGATTCAGACAGGAAGCTCTTATCTGGATTGCTTCCGGGGAAGCAATCTCCGACGCACAGAGATTGCTTGCATGACATTCGCCGGACAAGTCCTGGCCGGAAGTCAATTCGCCTTCTCGGGAACGTATTTCTTTCAGCAAGCAGGGATGAGCTCGGATGACGCCTATAAGCTTAATTTGGGAGGAACTGCCATAGCGTTTGTTGGCACGGTTATCTCCTGGTTCATCATGAAGGCTCTTGGCCGTCGGTGTATGTACCTGGGTGGGCTAGCGTTCATGTCTGTGTATCTCTTCGTCATCGGAGTCCTGACGCTGTTCAAGCACAATAATAGCATCGAATGGACCCAGTCTATGCTATGTATTGTCTGGCTCTTCACCTTCTCGCTCACTGTCGGGCCGCTCGGGTGGGCAATCGCCCCAGAGGTCTCATCGACTCGCTTACGTTCAAAGACTATTGTGCTGGCTCGCAACACTTACTATATTGCAATTGTCGTGGCTAACGTAATTGAACCCTACATGATGAATCCGACCGCTTGGAACTGGAGAGGCAAGACTGGCTTTTTCTGGTTTGGCTTTGCATTTGCCACTCTTGTTTGGGGATATTCCCGACTTCCTGAGACCAAGGGCCGTACATTTGAAGAGCTTGATATCATGTTTGCTACCCAGGTGCCGACAAGGAAGTTCAAGGAATATCATGTTAACGCCTATGCGGAGAATCTGGATATACACGCGAGGGGTTGATAGAGAAGTAAGAGCACGTCATTTCAAGACACTCTATATAACATGATTCCTGGAAGAAAGCAACTCACACTGAGAGTTGCAACCTCAGACATCAGCTACTGACGCACCACACTTACATATAACAATGATAAATCTTACTATGCATAAACACATGATTGTACCCCATCCCTGTAGTTTGCTTTCTGCCAAAACTACCCTGCATTCGGCGGGCGGCCTTGGAGGCAAACCAATATTTCCCGAGCCCTAATCGAATGATGTTTGATCATATTATAGTTATGAGGCCACAAAGTAGTGGGTAAGCAGGAGATTTCACTACTACTTGACTGATTACTGGTAAATGCATCTTGACAATACTTGATGCAAGAGCCAGACACGCATGATAAAGATATTAGCGTATTATACTTGTTCACACGGGCCTGGGAGTGGCATGTTGTTCTCAGACAGTAAAGTTACGTCGGCGATTCCCGAAGGGTCCAGCCAGCTCGAGCTTATGTGCATAATGCAGCCATTGCATGCTACTGCAGATTTTCTGGGAAATGTTTCGGTCAGGTCTTCTCACGGGACGTCCTGGTATAGGAGGGGTTGCTACCAACACGATAGGCTCCGGTTGGATCCTGTACGGCCCAATGAATTGACTCTGAATTCGTACTCCAAGTTTAGGTGACCTACTTTGCTCTCAGTCTGGTTCTGGGATTAGAGTAGATCAAAGTGGATGTAACTCGACGAGAATAGCCACTTCTATCTAATAACCAAAGAATACTAGGTTTAACATAAGTTCAAGGGTCTGTCTATAAAGCTGGCAAACATCCTCTAGCAAATGGGAGGAATCAATCCGAGTTTGCTCCTACTTCCCGGGCTTTTTTTTTTTTGATCTATACTTAATCCCACCGCAAGAAATTCCGCTAGTATCATCAGAAGTTAAGATGAAGCTCTCTTCTAACCTTTCAGTTATTACTGCAACCTTGGCGATGAGGTCCCCTTCCCGCGGCCAGCTCTCCATGTACCCTCCTGGAGGCGCAGGCAGAATCGAGGTCACCGTGAATGGTGACCTGTCCACCTCCGGATGCCTCAATGTGGACGGAGCATGGACCGTCAATACTGGTAATTGCGCTGCCGTCTTTGGGAACGGCCAGGGAGGTATTTCTACAGAGAACGGCTGGTTAATCCTGGACGAGGATTCCAATATCACAACCACCACTACTACCTGGAGCACAGCTTGGGTTGGAACCCATACCAACCAGGATGTAAGAACAGTCGATCAAATTGAGATATCGGAAGGCTGATTGACTGGCTTCAATTTAGAGAACTGCTCACTACCTTCAAGCGAACGTCGGAAATACCGGAGGCGAGCCTTGGGGAGGGCAACTGTGGTTCTCCGATCAAGCTCCCGAAGGTGATGCAGTTGTTACTCTCAATGGAAAACATATCCACGCTCCTGTGCATGTTATCCTAACCTTTGCCTCTACTGCCGGTGATTCCTAGGCGATTGCTACTCTGCTGAGCTTGTCGCGCACTGATAGACGAGCGTCAAACGATTACCGATGCATTAGACTAGACCCGATACATGGAGTCTGGCCTTGAACCTGTATTTGCATAATCAGTTCTATGTACATTAGCGAGGAAATATGGAATGAGCGCTGAATCAAAAATATTAATTTAATATAAATTCCAGATTTCCCTGGAGGCCAGCAAAGCAGAAGCATAGCTCTTGCCGTGGTTTTGGCCAGCGAGAGCAGACCCAAGCATGCATATAGGGAAAGTGAATCGTTTTCAGCAGGAAGTAGTAGTAAAAAGTCGCTTTATATCGCACAAGGATCTCAATATCTAATTTAAAATCTATACAGGAGCCGAACACCTTTCCATTGAACGTTGCCTGGTAGAACTCTCTCTGCCTTGTGTGTTGGGCTGGCTGATGGGAATAGTACAATTTGATGTGCATACCTGACTGCGACATAGGCCGCTAAATCATGGCTCGGTTCCTATAAACCTTTTGCTAGACAGCCTCGGATTTTCTATTTTACTAGTGATATAAGGGATAGTAGTGCCTTAAACCTCTAGCAAGCAAGGCATCAATGCAAGTTTTGTTTCAAGTCAACATAACGGAGATAGAGAGTCCTAGAAGCCAGTTCAACCCTCTGTGATAACTATGCACCAACGATTTTAGAATCAGGATATACGGCCCATAGATAGCTTATAATACCATTCACGGAGTGTACATAGCTTTGGATCCACTACGTCGCAAACGTGAGTTGAGCGTCAAGTAAAGCATCTCCTGGAAGATAGCAAGAACGAGACCCGAGGAGACCAAGGCGATCATAATAAGGAGCCCAGACAGGTATCTACACCAGTTAGCGTAGGAATCCCCTCGATGGTGCTCTTCTTACTCTGGGGCGTCATTTCCACGAAATATCTGACTTCCGGCCATCATACCGGAATTGGCGAACATCACCCCTATACATACCGCAAAGATCAGATAACGCGTAGGTTGATGGGCGGATTCAATTCTTACACATCCTAAGCCAAAGGTTAGCCCCCGGGCAAGCCGGAAGATACAAGGAAGTAAATGGCATACGAAATCGTAATACTCCTCTCCACTTGGTTTTGACAGTTTAGCTGTACCCAGACATTGTGGGCAGGGTGATAACACACAGCAAATGCGTTGATCATGGTCCACATTCCAAACCGGGTCCATTTCGACGCACGGGGCAAGATAGATCTAGCTATGGCTAGGGCAACAAGATAGCATAGGATAGCGGCGATGACCGGTAGACCTCGTCTTTTAGTTCGGTCGCTCATCCAGGCGAAGAAGAACACGAGCGGCAAAGCTAATAGCGCACCGATGGCGCTGAGCGCATTGGCTTGGACTCTAGTGAAACCAAGAGACCTTGTCTGATTTCAGCCCGATGCACTTGCCCGACGTGGACGGCACAGAAGACTTACATCATGATGCTTGGAGTGTACGTGGTCAAAGGGCTCCAGGTTGAGAAGACGCAAGGCGTGGCGATAAAGTGAAGCCATCGGCGGTAGTTGAGAACGGTGTCCCGCAGAATTGTCCAAGAGATTCCAGTTTTTATGCGGCCATGATCAGAGAATGGCCCGTTATCCAACCCCAACCTTGATTTGACAATATGCCGTTCTCGATCGGACAGCCGAAGTAACCCATTTAGCAGCAGTGGTTTGGGAGATGCAGGGCTTTGCGGCAGAATAAAACATAGAAGCAATGCAACTGATAGTGTAACCAGACCCTCAACTGAGTTGTTGTTAGAATGGGGAATAGGGATGCAGGGATGGTGTTCAGGGCTCGCATACTCAGAAATATCAGTTGCCAGCCCTTCATCCCGATGGCTCCATGCAAGCGTAGGATTCCCGCACCCAGGAGAGGCGATATCGCATTTCCCCCGAACATGCCAAAGAATAGCACTGCCACTCTCTTACCCAGCTCATGGGGGGGATACCAGGTTGATAAAGTATAGAGCGAACCCGGGATGTAGCCAGACTCCACAAGCCCCAGGAGCATACGAACGGCCAGAAATCCAGCGCGGTTGCGCACAAAAAGCTGCATAATTGCTGTGAGCCCAAAAACAAATACCTGGATGGGGATCCATTTGCAAGGTCCGATCTGCATTTAGCATTAGCATTTCTGTCTGTAATTCCGTACCACATGCGTGGAGCGAAGCGCGAGACACACCCGCTGGAGTACCATATTGGAAGGGATTTCCAACACGATGATCCCAAGGAACATAAGTTGATTTCCTAGATTGATGGTATCTTGATCAATAGATATATCCTCCGCAAAGCCCCCAGTGAGTGCGCTTGCAACATTCATGCGATCCAGCTGGAACATGATCATTCCCAGGAAGAGCGGAAGCAGTACACAAAAGTCAATTCTGAAAGGGTATCAGTACTGAATATCTTTGGGGCTTGTGCGTCTTCTTTTGATCCTTACTTCCTGCGTGCCGTGCTTTCCTCTACGCGTTCCCAGGCATAGTCCGAGGAGCCCAAACTCGTCTCGTCCTTGGCCTCGGATTTGGGCAAGACTGAAGCCGTTTTCATTCTTGTACAATACGCTGTATATTGATGAGTTTTCCAATTGTAGTGGCAGATAATCAAGTGAATATGTCCAACATTTTATCGTAGTTGTGAGATTCAAGTGTGGAAGTCATGGCTTCGAGGGTACTCAGTGGAGATATTAAGGGACACAATACACAGCATGTAGCCATCAGGGTCCTTTTCATATTGAAATTAGATCGATAATTTTATGTCCCTCATCGACAGCACATATATCCACTAATTACGTATGTTAAACGGACACAAAGTTATCAATAATAAGGTGATTTTATACTTTTCGGACTGCTTCGTGATTCAATCCCTAATCGCACGAGACAAAGGTGGTGAGAATATCAAAGATTGGAAAGTTGATATGCATATATTCCATATATAATCATTTAGGCGAGGATAAACTGATCCCTTGGTGACTGGGACATTAACTTCTGCAGCGCGAATAGCGGCGGGAGTCGAATCGTGACACATGGTGGATATGACCCAATTATGCTGATTAGATACAATCTTCTGGCTTCATATTTTAGCCCTGGAATATCACACCGATAGACAGAAACCGGATAATTGTGCATCCACTTTTCCAAAGGAAATCTTTCCCAAAGTAGATGCCTGCAGGTTCCATCGCTACTGCCCTAGACCTGCACCACCAGGACTTGTTCGGCTCGAGTGCATCTTAGAAGAAGGAATTCCGGCCATCTTCGTGCACCTCTGCCGGGCGTAAAGAGAAGCCGTAAGTACTTGACGTTGTGACACAGGAACTTCGCGGTGGGCAAGAACCCGCTTATTAGGTGGAATAAGGCTCATGATGGCATGTGAGAGATGTTCAACTTGCTCATATCACGACTCTAGTCCAGTAAAGAAAACAGATGAAAGGTTTCCACATATATCTCTTTCACGGTCACCTTGTAACATACTTCAGACTGAGAGAAATATGGGTGCGGTGACGAGATCTGGTGGTGAGCATCATCAGGTATGCAGCAATATCTTTGCACCGAAAAAAGAAAAGCAACGTCAGGTGAACATCCGGCCCAGACGACCCTATTATCCAACGCGAGCGGGGCGATATCCTCTACTTTCTCATTCAACCAACTCTTCCAGAGTCGGATAGTGCCTTGCTGTTGCTCACCGGGGTGGTGGCTGCGTGGGTTTCCAGCCATGTGCGTGCGCCGACAACGAAGACAATAACACAGCTGGTAGAGTAGGTCTAAATCGTCCAAATAAATTGGGATGCTGGTGAAAGGATCCAGACAGGGCTGATCGGCATCTTCAGAGATAATTAATCTGCTGTAGCAGGGCTCTAAATCACTCGAAGAGGATCGATGCCTCATATCCTGCGGTGAGAGCACAAAGCCTCCGAAAGTAAACCCGAGCTTCTCATGCGTTTTCATGCACGCTGGGTCCGATATGATGAGACCGAGTTTGGACAGGGCGGCTGAAGAATTATGCTGAAGTATCTTGTGGTGGACGTGCTGGCTGACTAGGGTTCGGAAACAGTGTGAGACGCAACGAAGTTCGCCCAAGGAATTGGTGGCAAGGTGAGAGAGGATAGAATCCACAATCTATGGGTTCTATGAGTGTTGTGCGCTGAAGGGGGATATTGGGCGACATACCTCGGGGGCGAGATTGCAGAGTGACGAACACATGATTCAAGTAATATGTTAGAAAGAGCGGTTTGATTTTGTCGTGTAGTATAAATATTGTGCCTTCTAGAGATCTGGGATTCAGGAGCCTTAAATAGGTGCACCTGGAGCACGAAACAAGACTGCACGGCGTAATCTTGCCGGGTGTGATCAATCGCCACAACCGGAAATATTATTTCGTATTCCTAAACAGCGGACGTTAGGAGAAGAAAATCCAGACAAGTACTGTTAGCATGCGCTGCACCTAACTTGATCACGCAAGCAGCAGGGGAGGTATACTGTGCCTTGGGAACCGAGCACAGTTTTATCTTGAATCACTACAAAAAAATATGACTCTACAATCATATGATTACTCATGCTATGAAAAGTGCCTTAATACCGGTGAATAGAAGAATTCTGATTCGAAGCCTCGATCTACAGTCTGTGCTTAGCTGGTAAATTATTATTATCAGCAGGGGATCAGGATGGGCTGATTGTCTTGAGTGCAGATAAATATCACGACACCCGTCATCAGGAGAGGCATGCAAGTGTTAAAAGGTATTGCCCACTCTAGTGTTGGTAACCCTAAGAGAACTGCAGAGCTCTCTGTATCAAATGGAAAGGGGAAGCAAAGCAAAGCCATATAAGATTATTTTGGGCAACATCCTCCGATATTTGCCCCTGATTCGGGATATACTCGGCCCTAACCTTATTTTGACCGAGGAGACGAGAATATTCCGAAAGAATGCCGACCCCTGGCGGATACTTAGTTAATCCGCGGTGGATTATAGTTAATCCGCGAGGTGAGATCCTCCTCACGTCAGCCATCTCAGTCACATGACAAGATTGTCCAATTTGGGTACGAGAAACAACAAAAGAAGTCTGGATGAAGAGGACGGAGTACATTTATGCTCAAACTTGTCTAGATCATGATGAATCCCTGATCGAGCTAGTATTCTAGGAGAAAGATCTAGATCTAAATCTAGGTAGTGCTTTAAATCAATAGACTACGGAGTATACTAATACCATTCCTACCCAAGTGACATACTCCTCTACACTTTATATATAGCTACACTGATCTTACTTCGGATTCTGTATACCTCAACTTTTACCAGTTTTACCCTTCTTACCCTCTTCTGATAAGGATTTGAATCCCTCCCAGGTCACTCAATGCAAATCATTTTGTAGTTTATCAGTTTCGTAGCTCCTGTTGTACCTGTCCGGACAAATAAAGACTACGACTCAAATGCAGTCACGCAATATGAATGGCCAACTCTTGGGTTTCCCAATCATCTCGGCATCTACTCGTCTGAAACAGTATGTTTCCGCATCGTGCCACTTCCATGTGTTTTATCGACATCGGATTTGCCGAAATCCGCTAAATTGGACCCCTTAAGCCATTCACTGGCCAACAAGCCCTAGAATGGAAGAACCTGTACCTCCAGACAAGCTTGAATCCAATTTGTGGATACTTCCATTACTCCGTACATGATTGGCGTTTCCAACTTGAAAGAGAATAAAGAAACTCTCTATAAATAACTACTAGTTACTTGGCAATACACATTATTGGCTGTATATCCCTGAAGAACTCTGAGCTGCCCAGCACAATGATAGAATAAGAGCAAGAATCCCCCAGGATGCCCGGGGTAGACGGTCTGTCTCTTCCATATACGCCTTTTTTTTTTTTTTCCATGCGGACGGCGAGCTTTCAGGATACGCCAGATCTGTTGAAGCACTTGGCTGCGCGATAAGACAGACTCATTAGTAGCTGACGAGGCTGAGTCGCGGGGAATTAACCGAGCTCTTCCTGTTTTTCTGAAGATTAAAAGCTCGCGCATGTCTTGCTTCTCTTGCTGCCGCGTGTTCAAGGTGCGATCGTAGGTTTCACCTGTTGGTCGTGATGGCTCCAGACCCAGCAAATCAGTACCTTCTCCCTCCTATTTCCGAATTGCTTCCTCCCGAAACGGTCTCTTCATGGAGCCCATTTGAGACAGATGCATCTCCTGACCGTGCCCACATCCGCTACGAACCGGCACCAGCCACGGAGCTGGCGACGCCTCCTGTTGGCCTCGGCATCCACACCTCGCCAGACCGCGAAGTTCCGGCCCACTCGCGTTGCGATAGTTATACGGAGACGCTCGCCTCCGATCGTGCGGCATCTCGCTTTGCTGACTCGGAAACAACGCTCGTGGGAGAGCCCGGACGAAAATACCCGACAAGGAAAACCATTGTGCAACGCCGACTATCCTGGATCCCTCTCACGGTTCTCGTTCTGGCCATATACTCAACCATTTTCTCGGGAATCTTCCTGATAATCGCCTGCGTTAAACCTCGATATGGCCGAGTCATCGGGGTCGATGGCCGTCTGGCCCCCTCTACCGCCAACTTGCTCAGTGCCCTGTTTGCGAAGACGATTGAATTAGCATATGTCACAGTTTGCGTGGCGTTTTTGGGTCAAGTATTAACCCGACGTGCCATCACCAGGGGCTCGCGTGGGATCTCCATCTCTGACATGAGCATGCGGTCGTGGATCATGCAGCCCGGTTCGTTGATTGTGCATTGGGAGAGCTTGCGATATTCCGGCTGGACGATTCTCGGCGCTATCACATTGACGGCGACTTTGGTCGCCATGCTCTACACCACCGCGGCGGAAGCTCTCGGTAGGTTCTGGGATTCGGTTCCTTGTGGTGGTGTCAGCATTGCAGTATGCTAATCTCGAAGAATAGTCTCTCCCAAGCTGGTCATGAGCCCTGTCGAGAACAAAGTGCTAGTAGGCAACGTTTACACTCAGTTTGCCAATCCGTATTATCTTGCGGACAATTGCCAGACGCCTATTCCGCTTGAAATGGACCCGGACTATCGGAATACAACCTGTTTGGATCTGCAGCACGCGGGCCAGGCGTATCATAATTACCAGGGTTATCTTCAGACATGGAGCAGCATCGCCTCGGGGAGCAACTCCACCTCCTCGATGCTGGACTCGCGTCCACCCCCGACGGGGTCGCTGAATGATAACACAAGCGTGATCGGCAGCTGGATTGATCGCGCCAACATAACCGAACTATCGCAGCGATATAGTCGAATGGTTATCAATGTGACTGCCGCGATGCCGCACGGAGGCATCATTGCCGCGGCCATGAACGGGGCCAACGGAATAGAGCAGCCGCAGGACCTTTCGGGGGAGGGAAACTACCACCTGGATGCCTCGGTGCCGTCTCCCGCGGTCAATGTGCTTTGTGTGGGGATGAACGCCACTGAGCTGGCGCCCCTGGTATATACAGAATGGCCCAATACCAAGGGCGAATTCGACGCTGAGGAATGGGTCACGGACCCGCCGGCGGATATCCCCGTGTTTCCAAACTGGCTGAACCGGACCGTTGTCGACGAGATATTTGGCTTTGGCCCCAAGTATGGGCAGCGCCCCCCAATCTTTGGCAAGCTGCCCGACCCCTACAACACGATTCTCAATGTCACGGGGGTGCATCCCGCGAATGCGATCTATCTCCTCGGCGCGACCCCGAACAATACCACCCCGGAATATGTGATGTGCTCATTCAAAGCCAAGCAGACTCCTCTTTGCTCCACTCGCTACGAGGTAACCGGGAGTGGTGCCGCGCTCAAGGCTGTATGCGAGCACCCGGGGAATTCCCTGCAGTATAATGCACGCAACCCAGACGCGCTCGATGGGATCTGGCAGCCCGACTGGAAGAACATTGCATCGGAGTGGGCGATGTCTCTGAGTCTGGGCACGGGCATTACGGACAGTCGCGCGGCTACCGCTCGTCTGCTCATGCAGTTCGTGCCCAAGACGCTGGCCCTGGACCCGACGCTGCCCTCCATCAGCGAAGCCCTGGCCGTATTAGTCGGCAACACTCTTCTGATGAGCTCGACTGACGCGCCGTTCGTCCCGTTCTGGAACTACACCGACTCGTATTTCACGGACCCCGTTCCTCAGATATTCAACGCGACCGTGAGTTCTGTGGGCTACGCGTCCAGCGGAACCCAGCCGTGGCAGGGGGTCTTCTACCCCATTCTTGTCTTTGCCTTTCTCACCAGCGCGATCTGTTTGGCCTTTATGCTGTTGGAAGTGCGCGGTAGACAAGTCACGGATTTCACGGAGCCCCAGAACCTGTTTGCTCTAGCGATGAATAGTCCGTCGAGCGCGCGGCTGCCAGGACCCTATGGGGCCGGGATCGACGGCCATCAACTTAAAGAGCGGTGGTATGTGGCCATGGAAGAAGACGAGAATTACTATATTCGCACCAAAGCGGAGGAGAACAACACGCCTCCTGCTTCCACCAACACCATGTCACCGGTTTCGTTGGACCTCGAGGAGCCTGGCAAATCCGCTACCCCGGCGATGGATGAGTACCGGCGCCTCTCATCGCGAAAGAGCTTTCTCTCCCGGTTTTATTGATGATGATGCTGATGATGATGATGATGATGATGAAGAAGTAGCCAAGGGTGGATTGGTTGTTGGCTTGCATGACTATTTACGAATACTTCAATGTAGTATAATGATAATGAAACGAGTCAAGAGAGGAACGCGAGCCTAAACTTCATCTCCCTAATAATATATTGGATGTTCTGCACCCAGAAATACTAATGATGTTTTTTTTCATTCAACTCTGGCATCTCCTACTCCTCCACTATATCAACTTTATTCCTATCTAGCCATTCGTTAATCAAGTGTAAACAGAGTGAGAGTGGGTTGAAGCATACAAAAAGCAATGTGATCCTTGATATGCTTTGCCTTCTCGTACGGCTCCTTGTAATACCAGGCCGCATTTTCGATTATTTCCCCTGGGGCATATGTATATTAGAACCATGACCACCTTCACATTGTAGGGCTGGGATATTGACCTGACCTACCATCGACAGCCACATGCCAGTACGACGCATGCCCTTTCCAAGGGCAAAAGGTCGAGAGACCCGAGGGCTGAAGAAGGCTCTGGTCCTTGATAGCGGCAGGTGGGAACTAGTCGACATGATAGATGAGTATGCGCAGCTACAATGCAGAGATACCAAATCGACAAGGGATGGCGGCATACGTAAATGTTTCCTTCAACAGTTTCCCACGACTCGGTTTCCGCGACGACACGGTTGCCGACCTTTGCAAGAGCACGAGGCATGGTATTGGCTGCTTGGTCTGTTATACGTACATATACGGAAGTTCCTTATACAGCGATCAACCGGATCTTTCAATGCTCACTGCTACATGGAAGAAGATGCTGATTGATCGTTTTATAACTAACTAACTAGTTATAATCTCCCCATTACAAATGCGAACAGGATTAGTAATTGCGGTGGGATTTCAAACACGCCACGGACTTAGTTGCAGTAGCCTATTGAGAATTGAAAGAATCTATAGGCGTGGAACGGACTTGCTTGATTAAAGCGGATCCTAGGTTTAATCTTGAATATGATATATACCGTTACGACGTATACGTTCTATATCTCAACCATTGTAGGGTTAAACTTCATGGGTGTGGATACAGAAGGAGATCGAGAGTTTCTAGTCGGTATTCATCTAGGGCTGCTACGAACGAATCGGCCTTGTCTGATTGATCGATATTGTGATATCGTGGCGCGTAAAAGAATCAAATCCAACCCGCTCAGCTCGGCCCTGTATATGACGACTCGATGGACGTCTTCGCAATGATAGCTAACGTGTGCGTGGCCCTACCCCCGAACTTCCGTATGTGTGATGGCTCCCTTCTCGTTTTCCTCAATGGCCGTTGCATTCTGGGCTTGGAGCAGTTCTGTCACCTTGGTCGTGGCAGCGCCTCCACCCAGAATGGCAGAGTCACCGTCAAAGTACTGGACAATCTCCTCCAGCGGGGTCTCCTTGGTCTCGATGTAGAACCGCCAGACGACGAAAAACTCAAACAGAAGCCAGATGCAGTACACCAGGTAGTATTTCCAGCCAATATGCTCCAGGGCGATCGGGTTTACATACTGGTTGAACCACAGACTGAGGTCGACGCAGAAGAACATGAGGGTGAGCCCCTTGGCACGCAGACGGTATGGGAGGATCTCGGACGAGTATGAGACAAGCATGCCGCTGAAGCCAATGTTGTAGGAGATGTAGTACAGGAAAATGAACACGATGACGGCGTTGCCCGCATTGTGGTCCGCGCCTCCAGGCCCATAGGGGAAGCGAGCGAGGGCAATGGTCGTGGCGACAAAGCACAGCAACATGCCCGTGCAGGAGGACAGGAAGAGACGGCGACGACCGAATTTGTCCACGAAGAAGCAGATGCCCGTGGCAGAGACCACGTTGACGGCGCTGAGGATGAGATTGATGGTGAGAACGGTGTTGCTGTTGGTGATGCCGATGAGTTTCAACACCTGACCTTGTGAGCTTTTGAACACCATTCAAAGCTGGGGGGCTTTTTGACTAACCTGAGGCAAGAAGTACGAGACAATGCCGTTTCCAGACCATTGCGAGAAGAAGCCGATGGAGATCAAGATGATCGAGCGGTGGCGGTTCCCGGGGGTCGAGAAGAGCTCCAGCCAGGAGTTGCTTTCCAGTTCCTTCTCAAGCTGGATTGTCTGCTGGATCTCCTCGAACTCCACATTGACCAGTTCATCATCCTCATCGCCCTGGGCATGAACGTAAGCCAGGACCTTCTTGGCTTTGTCCAGTTTCCCCTTCGAGATCAGCCAGCGGGGCGATTCAGGCACCGTCCTGGATCAGGCAAGTTAGATAATATGTCCATTTCCATTCCTACAAAGGGCGGCCGCGGGGAGGAAATACCAAATCAAGAAAAGCTGGCAGACAGAAGGAATCCCCTGCAATAGACAGGGCACGCGCCATGACCAGGCACTTCCCAGGATATGATTTGTGCCTGCGGTCTCGGAGTTAGCACCTGGCCGTCCCAGGTAGCTTGGACTTGGACGAGAAACTTACCCAGGACGACACAGGCGCCAATCAAGCTTCCAACATACCAGAGCGAGTTATAGATTGTGCTGTAAACCGCTCGGTGCTGGGGGTGAACAAGCTCTGCGACAAGAAGCGGCGAGCATTCCTAAAACGGCCACTCAGTTGTTGTCGTCTATGTACTTCAAACTCAAGGTAACAGAAAGAGGGTTACCCACCTGTGCAATTCCAAGTCCAAAGCCGAGAATAATGCGGCCAACGACGAACAAGGCAATCTTGTAGCCCACAGAAACCATCGCGACACCCACAAGCATGATCACACAGCCGAGAACCACGCCAGCACGCCGGCCCAGGGTATCCGCCACATAGGGCACCACGGGGATGGAAAGCATCGAGCCGATGGACATCGCCGCTGCCAGAAGACCGAGAGTACCGCCATGCGGGTTATTGTAGGCTATCCGATCCCATTAGCTCGCGCCTGACATACTAATCTGAACGGGCGCTGTCCGAAATTCGCCCGGGTGGAAAACGACGTACATTCATTCCATGCCGTCAGCGCCTCCAACCCATTCATCAGGGACCCGTCGTAACCTAAATGCGGCGTCAGTGAGACTGGCGGAAATCCAGAACGCGTGTGGGTTCCCCCCTCACCGTTTGTGGCCGATGTGATCATAGCTGCCCAGAGGGTGAGATAGACAAAGCGCATTCCCTTCATCTTCCACCACTTGACCTTTGGCCACTCGCGGCCGGCGAGCGTGAACGTATCTTTTCCCATGCTGGACTGGAACGACTCAAACGAGATAGAACTCTTATGAATAGGCAGTGACGATTCCAAGATAGCAGTAGCCTCTTCTTGATTCCACTTGGGGGGGAAGTTTCCGGGGACGAGCAGGACAAGGCAGATATAAAGGCTCTCGAGGACCGATCCTCCGGGGCGGGGGAAGCTGAAGCGCCTGACGGCAAAATGGATGAATTCAGAACATCGGTGCTTCAGGAGTAGCGGAAAGTAAGGTTGTTAAAGGCTAGATCCATGAGGGCAGAAACGAAGGATTCTTTCTACAGAGTAGCCCTAAGGGTCCGAATCTCCTTTGAATTAGCGTCTACATGACCAGGAGAACTCTAAAGATATCACAAGCTAATCACCCATTTATCCGGGGGGGGGGGGGGGGGGGGGGGCTGCTTCCAGACCGTCTTATTCTCGTGAATGTCTGGCGATTAGGTTGAGTTGACTTGATCTTTAACTACTTGATTGAACGGAACAAATATGGGGAAATCCACAGTCTCAGCTGCAAGGGTGCAGACAGACATGTACAGCCATTGACCCCAGTCCCGCTCCCCATTCGGGACTAAACTAATCGCTCCGCATAAAGACGGCAAGCCTGGCGAGTGGCTATTGAATCGGCATTCGTGCGCCTACAAGCTTCCCGAGGTTGCCATTTCACCCCCGGAAAAGCGATTTGTAAGGCCTTACTTACACCAAGGGCCATGTGGTGTCTTAAGCTTTGTCCGGTATAGCTTGAGTGTACGGCTTCCTTTGCTGGTCTCTCTCGGACCAATAGACCCTGATTCTCTGCTCGCCAACGGAGGACCCAAAGCGCGTCCTGAGCCAGAAAGGGAAAAACACGCCGGGATCGTATCCAAATGCTTCCTTGACCTTTTAGGATATTGGTTAGTTCGAAAATATTTCATGCGGGTTGAGCACGAGGGGGGGGGGTTTTTTATTAGCAGAGGACGACTAGAGACCTGTAACTTTCGGTAGAATAGACGGCAGCATTGAAATGAGGCAGAATAGCAGTTTGCCCAAGTGGGTGGGTGGGTTGGCTCTCTTACTGTGATTGTAGCATACCATAGTCATACATGTACATAACTGATCTTAGCTTATTCGGAAAGCACGCGAGCAAAGGGCCCGAGTAGCCAGCCCCAGGTAGAGGCTACTTCAAATTGATCCGGATCAATACCTTTGTTCAGTCGGCGGTGGTTTTGGGCCCAGTGGTAGATTCGCCCGAGCCTTAAAAAACAATCGCAATGCATCCAGTCAAGACTCTAGGATAAAAGAATTATGGTTGTTGATTTAGGAAATCTTCATGATTCTATCGCTCTAAAACTGAAAATAATGTACACCATAACATGCTTCTTTCTAGTTGAGCCAGCCCTTGGTTCCAGCCCAGGTGCCCTTCACCATGGATTGATAATATACCCAAGGGAAGAAGTGCTTCTTGAGGTAGTAGAATTCGCGACGGGGATTGGCCTGGTCGATGCCGAACCAGTTACCGAATGTTTCCTTGGGCTCTCCGCCGTACTTGAACTCAGCAAGGAGGACCTTGCCGTATTCGGTGAGGAGCGGGCACGAGGTATACCCGTCGTAGGTCGCATCGAGTTCCTTGCCCTCCATGGACTGCAGCAAGTTACGAACCAGAACAGGCGCTTCGGCAGTGATGGCGGCAGTGGTCTTGGATGTGGGCAGACTGGACGCATCGCCAGCGGACCAGACATTGGCATACTTCTTGTGGCGCGTGGTAGCATCGTCCACATTGACGTAACCGGCTTCGTTGGCCAGGGCACTGTTCTTAACAAACGCAGGAGGTCCCATCTTGGGGACGGCATGCAGAAAATCGAACTGCTTAGTGACCTTCTCCTTGCCATCCGGGCGCGCAAAGGTGGCCGTGTTGCCTTCGATCGCGACGAGATCGTGCTGGAAAAGGCCCTCCACGGCCCGCTCCTTTCGCAGCTCTTCGAGTTTGGCGCTATACTTTGGCACGCCGAACATGGTGGGGAGTCCGGTGGCAAAGCTGATGTGAATGGGCGAACCGGCGGGGTTGCTGGGATCGTACAATCCAGCGCGCTTCCAGTGATCCAGTGCGAGCCACATGATCTTCTGGGGGGCGCCAGCGCATTTGATCACGCCGGCAGGCTGAGAGAAAATCGCGGTACCCTTTTGCAGTTTCTCAATTGTGGGGAAGACCTTGGCACAGGTGTCGTAGGTGTAGATAGAGGAGACCCCGGAGTCCGGAGCCTCGAGGGCCTCAGTCAATCCTTTGATGGTGCCAAAGTCGACAGTGATGCCCGGTGCAACGACCAGGTGCTCATAGCTGACCTTGTTCTCGTTGGCTAGCGTGATGTAGTTTTCTTCGGGGGCAAAGGCGCCCACACTCTCGTTGTAGAACTTGATCTTGGGATCGATCAAGCCGTGGAGGGGCTGACGCAACTCCTCGCGGGTCTTGAGACCGCCACCAACCAGCGTCCAGCCGGGTTGATAGTGATGCCATAGGGCGGGATCAATGACCGCAATGTCATTCTGGGCAAACTTGCCCGATCTCAGAAGCTGATGGCTGATGGCTAGGCCTGCTGTACCGCCGCCGATCACGACCACCTTATGGCTGGGAGACGTCGAGCTCACAGGCGCGGCGGTCGCAAAAGTGCGCACGGTCGAAAGAGACCGCGCAGCCCTCGCTGCCAGTGTTACACGGCGGCCCAACATTACTGCCAGTTATGTGAGGAGGGGAGATTTTGAAGAGACAGGAATGTGGAGTTACTGTCCAACAGAATTTTGATGGCGGCGGAAAAGCCAAAAAAAAAAAAAGGCGTGATTAAATCACGAGGAAAGGTGCTTAGTCATACATCATACGGTGTGCGCGTCGAGAAAAAAAAAAAGAAATGAGTCGGCGATTAACAGATTTTTTTTCGCCAGCAGAGAGTTGACGGAGTATAGAAGGACATTTGGCAGGTACATGCATGTATTTGATATCAACTGGCGATGCGCAAGTACAAAGTGGAGTAAGTCCTTGCATACCAGGTATGGATACAAGCTTTTATTATGGCTTGCAGCGGTTACGCAAGGGGATCCAATTCCAGACAACCGGGAAAAGAATTATTATTTAGATTCAAATTATACTATACATATCTACTAACGATATTAATATCAAGACCCGCATTCTACCGCCTACCATTCGATGCCATGCAATTTCAGTGGCAGATGAAGCATTCGATGTCCCGATTGAGTGGCCCGTGGAAGTTGCCCTGCACGAATATTCATCTGGAGGGACTGGTGTAGGAGTCTAGGCGCTGCAAGTTTGGAGTCTCGCTCCTTTCGTCGGGCTACAAAGTCTTGCTTCGTAATCCCGACCCGCAAATGCTGGTTTTGCTCCCTATGGTCCTTGACACTCAAGCAAGGCACAGGACTCCCACGTTCCTCTGGGGGATAGTCATGGCCTGTCCAAATTTTGACCGTGGCGGGTAACCCCAGTAATTTCCGCCCTGATTCATAGAGATTATCTGCGCTGCCACCGGGGAAATCGCAACGGGCGCTGCCTATATCCACGTGGAACAGAGAATCTCCACAGAAGACGTTGTCTGGAGAGAGGTTATTCCCATCCGATAGTTCTCCGGCAGGGTCGAGAGAGAGAGATGTGTTATTTCTTACCTCCTATCTTGTAGCCCAAATGATCAGGCGTGTGGCCGGGGAGGTGCATTGCCATGGCGCTGATCTCCCCGATCGCAAACACTTCATTATCGTCGAAGAGCTTCCCAAAGACACGGTGGTAATCCTCTGCGGGAACCCCGTATCTCTCGCCAAAGAGCCTCTGCACCTGTTCGATGCGCTTCCCGATTCCGATCGGGGGACGATGGCCTTGCTCCTGGGAAAGACGGCTCTGGAGATAAGAGGCTGCCGTGATGTGATCTGCATGGACATGTGTTTCGAGGATTCTGTCCACTTTGTATCCCTTTTCGCGAACCAGGGACAGTATTGAATCGGCGCTAGACGTGGTGATACTCTGAGTAGCTGGGTCATAGTCGAGAACTGGGTCGATGATAACAGCAGTCAAAGTAGATGGATCCGCAACCACGTACTGCCATGTTCCTGTGTTGTGTTCGAACATGTCGTGAATAATCGGTTCCTGGCTTCGAGTTGCTTGAGTGCTATACGGAGCATGACATTGCTGCGTGCCCACTGCATATTCAGTCGAAGCGCAGCGAATCTGGCATGCATGGCCACGATTTAACCCCGGTCGTTGGCAAACTGGGCTGCTGCGGGGGGATGATGAAGAATGATATCCCTTGTGCGGAAAGGACACAGATTGTGCCGTAGTATAGATAGGCTGACTAGCAACAGCTCGTGGACGAAAAGGACATCTTCGCCCTGCTGTTCCAACAATTGAACTTGAAGTGGCTGCGGCTGCTGCTCGGGAGATCTTGGACATCCAATCCCCGCCACTTGTCACCCGGCGGTTGCTGTGTCTGAGAAGCTCCATGTCTGACAGGTTTGATCTTTCACCGGAAATCGGGGGCATAAGAATTGCATAAAGGCTAATAGTAATCTAAAATTCCACGACAGTGGCCGGGGGTGACTTAGATTAACATGACTTAAAAAAGCCGTTGAAGAATGTTGGTGTCGTATGTAATGGAACTCCGGGCAATCGGCGAGTGGATGAAATCGCCGATTGACATGAGTCAGCCCCTGATTTACGAACAGTGTTTTTCCCTTTTTTTTTTTTTTTTTTTTTTTTTATATAGATTATAGAATGTTCTGAATTCAGTTGAACCGGCTTACATGGAGCTGAATGCATAGTTCAGACCTACGCTGGGAATATGTTGACTAAAATCATAGACCGAATATTTGTGAACCAATATAATACTGTACATATCAGCTAGAAAGCTCTGTCTTGACACCTTTTTTAGCTCAGCGGTAAAGTTCGACAATATTAAATGTGATTTGATTTCCGTAGCCACAATATCCGTGCAATACAGAAACGGTCTACAGCATACCTCCGGGAATCTGCACTGGCATCAATAAAAACGCTCCTTTGGCACCATCCGGACTAAGTGGTAGACGTCCTCCACGGATGTTGACCTGGAGCGCTGGATGCAGGAGCTTTGGCTCCCCGAGCCCGGAGTCTCGATGCCGTCGCCAGCGAACAAAGTCCTCCTGCTTGGTTCCCTGGCTGACATGCTTGTTTCCCTTCCGTTGCTCTGCGACCGTTACGTAGGGAATCGGATCTCGGCCTGAATCCGCCGGGGGGTAGTCGTGTCCCGTATAAAGCCGGCAGTGCAGCGGGAGGGAGAGTAGTTTTTGGATCGATTGGTATAGAATGATAGCATCGCCGTGAGGGAAATCACACCGGGCACTGCCCACGTCGGGATTGAAGATCGAGTCGCCCACAAACACGTTGCTGCCGATCTGGTATCCGCTATGGTCTGGAGTGTGGCCGGGGAGGTGACGAACGTGTGCAGTCAGGGACCCGATGTGAAAGACTTCGTCGTCCTGGAAAAGGTGATCAAATGCATCATCCAGTTCGTTCTGAGGCACGCGGTATTTCCGAGCAAATGTAGCTTGTACCTGCCGAATCCCCTTTCCCGTGCAGATCTTGGGGGTCCCGGGCGGATGGGCTGCAGACACTTGTTGCTGGATATAGTGGGCGGCAGTAAGATGGTCAGCATGGGCATGGGTTTCAAGAAGCCACACGACAGTATAGTTGTGATCCCTGGCAACCTTGAGAAGCTCGTCGGCAGAGGTTGTGCTAATTTTCAACGAGGCAGAGTCGAAATCCAGCACTGGGTCGATAATGGCAGCTTTCCGGGATTGGGGGCATGCAACGATATACTGCCAGGTAGAGGTCTGTTTCTCGAAGATGGAGTGTACAATGGGCTCCATAGTGGACGGACTATTAGTCTCGTAGGGTATGGTTCAGGTGTCACCTACAGATACATCTGCATTATTATTATTATTATTATATAGGGAGAATGATCCCGGAGAGAGCTGAATCGCGTCTTGGTTAGAGACTCAGGTACTGTATACTACTGTAGTACTTTCAAGGGTTGAGTGAGACAATTGCCAGTCGCCGAATGTTCGGCGACTGGCTCCATCACAGCGCAGAGTATGGAGTAGAAATTCTCCTGGACCTGATTTTCTTCAGGAATTTTTCCAGTCGAAATCTCTTATATGATGGAAGATTGATCCCTAAGCGACTCGCGGAATTCAACGTTGTTATTTGATTCATCCCCTATAACGATGGCTTTACCCTTGGAAATTCCCGGCCCTGGTGGTACTACTTGCACTCCAATATGCTCCAAGCAACCGGCGGAAAAGGGCCTCGGGATGTCAAATCATGATAGTGCCTGGCGTCAGATTGTGCTTAATTTTACTCCAGCGTAGGTCCCCGAGCGGGTTTCTTTCAATCCAGCAGCTACTGACAGTTCTTTCGCAAGCTGGTTTTCAACGAACATGGGGACGGGGATCGTCTCGATTCTCCTCAATACCCTGCCATACAACGCGAGGTGGCTCTATTGGATATCTGTGGTGATATTTGCCTTCAACGTCCTCCTATTCGCCATCTTCCTTGCTTTGACTATCACGCGCTACGTCCTGTATCCGCATGTCTTCCACATCATGGTCACTCATCCGGCCCAGTCGCTGTTTCTGGGAACTTTGCCAATGGGGTTTGCGACCATCATAAACATGTTTTGCTTTGTCTGCGTGCCTGCATGGGGGGAATGGGCTAGGTATTTCGCATGGGCAATGTGGATTGTGGACGCTGTCGTGTCTGTTCTAACTTGCTTCGGGATACCATTTGTGATGTAGGTTCTCCATTATTCCGACACAGGGTCAAAGTGACTGACTGGAAAAAAAAAAAGGATGACCAGGAAAACAGAGATCAGCTTGTCGTCAATGGCCGCGGGATGGCTGCTCCCAATTGTCGCATGTGTTGTCGCCGCTGCGTCGGGAGCTATCGTGGCCGAGGTGCTACCAGATCCACAATATGCCCTGGGGACTCTAATAGCTAGCTATGTTCTCTGGGGGGTCGGGGTCCCTCTTGCCCTCATGGTGATTACCATCTATCTGATGCGGTTATTCCTATACAAGCTACCGCCCAAGGCTGTGATTGTGAGCACCTTTCTGCCTCTTGGGCCTCTCGGGCAAGGCGGATACGGGTAAGTGTCTCCGTTATACAAGACCATATTTCAATACGCGATGATTGACATGAGGTAAAAAAAAAAATAATATAGGATCCAGAAGCTCGGAAGCGTGGCGCAGACAATCTTCCCCCAGACGAGTACGCTGTCAGCTGGGGCGGGGGAGATCTTTTATGATTTAGGGTTTCTTGTCGGCTTGATTCTCTGGTCATTTGGCCTTCTATGGCTATTCTTCGCCATCGGATCAATTATACGATGCAAGAAATTTCCTTTCAACCTCAGCTGGTGGGCGTTTACCTTCCCGCTGGGTGTTTTTACTACCTGTACTTGCCAACTGGCACGCGACATGCCCTCTAGATTCTTTAGAGTCCTGGGAACGGTATGGCCCCGGTCTGTTGAATCTTCGCGCTAAGACTAATGCAAGACAGATACTCTCCCTGTGTGTTGTCGTGTTCTGGATCGTGGTTTCGGCATTGACAGCCAAAGGCATATTTAACCGAAGCCTGTTTGTGGCGCCGTGTCTGGCAGACCTCCGTGAGAAACAACGAAGGAAAGCTCCGAATAACTAGGTGAAAAACTGGCGATTTGTAACCCATCACAGATACCTGAGCTAGATCTCTTTTGCTGGTTTTGTGTTAGGGCTAGATTTTAGACTATACATCTATAGAAAGTGCGATAGATCGGGAATTATTCTCTGAGAACTAATGAATCATGCTACGGTGTAAGGATAGCATCCATATCAATCCACCAAAATCAAGCCATCCTTGTCTGCCCTCCGTGTCCATTCCATCCAGCTTCCGTCATATAGCCTCCTCTCCATCTTATATCCAGCGACATTCAGGGCCAAGTCCAGTGCCGCCGCCGTCACACCCGAGTTACAAGTCAAGACCAATGGTTGCGCCTCGTGCACGCCAATCTTACCGAAAAGCAGTCTCAGGTCTGCAGCCGGTAATATAGTTTTATCCGGACTCAAGATCGACGCAAAAGGGACGTTGAGAGCGCAAGGCATATGCCCCGATCGTAGTGTCGGATCGATCTCCGCTTCAGCTCCCGAAAACCGGCCGGGGATTCTGGCGTCTAGGATTCGATACCCTCTCTGCTCACTCTTCCCAAGACAAAGGTCCTGCAGCTCTTCAAACGAGATGACTTGTGTTGGAGCCCGTGGCTCCCGAGTCGGATAGGCCTCCAACGCAGGAACAGGCGTTGACAACGGCCCAACCGCAACAGGGTGGCCCGCCTCCACGTAGGATGGAAAATTATTCAAAACGTGCACGGTGCCGTGTCCAAAATAGCGACACATCCAGGCCACGCGCGGAGATGAGTAGAGTCCTACTTCCAGCGTGTCATATACGACAAGGACGTCGGTTGGGTGAATGCCCAAGCCCGTCATGCAATGGGCAAAATGGGCAGGCGTTGGAAGCATTTGCGGATACTGTGAGGTAGCATCATTCATCTCATCCAGGTCAATGAATCTGAGGTCTCAGGATTAGCATTGAATACGGAGCAAGGATGGAGAGTCATACATGGACCCCGGGATATGTTGGGCCTCATAGGAGGGGATATGAGATTTCCGGCCTACTGCCAGGGGGATAATGCGGCGAGACGAGCAGGATGAATTGGTTAGAGCGTTGTGTAGCTCAGCAGGCGAAACCAGTAGAGAGAAAGATGGGTCAGATCTGGGGGAATCCATTGTGAGAATTGAGGCACAATATGCCTGCTTTTGTATCCCGTTCACGAGGGTTCCGTTCACGAGGGTTTCCAGTGCTTTATATACAAGTGAAGGGAAAATATAAATATTGCTCTCCTGCCATATATCAATTTTTAGCCCAGGGGCTACTCTATAACAAGTTAGTATTGCTATTTTGTTAAGTTTCCAGAGAAGTATTACATAATTTCCTATTTACAGGTATGAAATCTTCGTCTTTTCCATGGCTCTGGATGAATGAAATTATGCTTCTATGTTCCGTTATTGTAGTCTACTCTATATCTAATAAGATTTTTCAGTTCCGGAAATGCCCCCCCATCGCTGGTAATTCGGGAACAAAGTCAATTAATGTGCCGGCCTCACAAGCGATTTTCGAATATACCTTGTAGCGTCGTCAACCCTCTCTCTGATCTGGTGTTAGACGGTCCTGTCCTTCTGGAATGCGGAGGACGGTGGGTGTTTCCAGTCCATTTGGATGACACTACCAACCACTCCAAATGTGCCAAATGTCATGAGGACTGGGCCCCAGATCGCGGGAACGAATTGGCCCTTGCCGAGGTTCCTCCTCACTGAGATATACCGGAAGAGGCCATATCCAAACGACCAGACGCTGATTGCCTGGCACAGTCGACTGGCAACGAGGTCAGGGCTGTTCCCTATCGACGACGGTGTATAGTTCTTCAGGGTATGCTCTGGCTTTGGATCCGTGCTTTGGCCAGAGCTTTGGGTGCTCGTGGAGTGAACCTGGGAGACCTGGGAGACCTGAGGTAGTTGGACCGTGGCGCGAGGATTGAATAGGTGTTCAATAAGACCCAAGCGACCGAAAGCTAACCCCATCGCTGCAAAGGCCAGCCCCATACGCGTCCAGGACAGAAATGTCCGCTCATTAGCCTGGTGGTCACGCAGTTGAGAGCCGGTGTTGGCAACGGGCTTGGGCAAGAGGCGGCGGAAGAGCGAGGTCATCGTTCAGGTCCCGGGAAAGGGGGGGGGGTTCCTTTCCTGACTGGGGATCCGGGCAAGGGAATCAGGAGCCAATGATATTACAATGGCGCCTCTGGCTAGTATAAAGAGAAGCAAGAGAAATGGTCACGGAATACGACTAAGCTATGGATGTTGATATATCTGGCAAGTTGGTCGTCTCCCCGTTCTTCCCGCCCTTCCGGTTTCTCCGCTGGATATCTGTACAGGACAGACGGTCTTGTCCATCGCTTTGAACCGCAAGTTCTCCGGCCCTTTGCAAGCTTCAGGAATTAGGGTTAAAAGGTATAGGATTTCTTCATCGCCGTTGCTTGCTGAAAATCCCTTCATCCCATTCTATCCCGAGTAATCAATCTCCGGATGTCTGATTATCGCCCGAGAAAATCTCCGATGATTCGGCCGAGTGCAATGGCCGGCCTCCCGTCATAATCAGTTCAGTCGCCGATTGCTATGGGCGGTGGAGTTGCTCTACTGGAAATGGTTGGCGGAGCATCATCTACAGCTGATGATTTTATTATGTATTATCCTCGTAATTTTCATTTTGTCACAGAGTATCAAATCCCGGGACTCGATTTATCAAAAAAGGGTCATTGCAGGTTGGGTCGATGTAAGCCGAGAGAAGTCTAGGAGAAAAGAGGTCATTTGCACTCGCCCCGGGACTCAGTCCACCGAAGCCCAGGTTGCCAGGATGGTCGGGTCCTGTAGTCGTTGGCAAGGTGTTGCTGCCTTGGGAAGATGGAGAATCGACCCAACTCGTAATAGTTTGGGTGGCCGCCTGTCGCAGGTATCGATGCGCCTCTTGCGCAAGTGACCAGCTCTTCTTCTTCAAGAGCTTGAGACACCCAAGCACAAGAACAACCCGGTTACAATGATGGTCAAAACAATCAGAGGAGTGGCTTTCACTCGTCGCAAGCTGCACCATTCCACACAATACCAGGCTGCACACAATGAAAGGACTATAGCCTTGCGCGTTGGGACGGACAAAGAGAAGATTGGATAATTGTTTAGAGGATTCCGTAGCTTTGACATCGTGGACGTGGCGGGTCAGAGAAGGCGATAGCCGGAATGGGGTTCCCGGGCAAATCCTGAGCTCCGTATTGGGAAATTTGGGTCGCAAATTACTGCGAGGCAAGTGTAAGAGCATAGCAGCGTAGTGGATTGTGATATGAGCTTGGAATAGCATTTCGTCGACATTGCCATACTTGTCCACGACGTCCACCTTGTCTCGCGGGAGGTGATTTACCCAGCTGACGAGCGCATTGACCAATGCTTGGAGGTGGTCGTTATGGGTCTCAGGCAAGCTATTCAAGACAAGCACCCGGGCAAGAATGCGAACGGCTTCGATACGGTAGCTATAGGACGAATAGCGGAACAATGGGGCCTCTTGGTCATCGTCCATGAATATTCGCATCCTGAAAGCCGCAAGCGTTGGGGGCGGCGGGATCGAATCGGGAGACGCATAGGAAGCGTCTTCGCATGGAAGCGCGACATCATATGGTACATTCCCGCACCGGAGATTGACCTTTTGCTGCAAGCTGGCCATGTACACTTCGGTGAAGAAAAGCTCCCACCACGTCCGCCGTAAGCTCTCTGCCTCGGGTTCTTGGCTACCTGAAAAGGTGTTTGCAAAGTCTTTCCGGTACATGCCGAGCTCCAAAGCGATATCAACGGCTCGGGAGAAGGCGTGATCTGCCTGTGAGCTTTGGTTGCGCGCGTACATGATGATGGAATATAGGAGGAGTGCCTGGACCATGCATGGTGTTCTCTCAAGGCTCGTGGACAACTCGACTGCAGTTGCCTCATAAAATGTGTCATTGGACAAAACCAATGAATAATGGCTGCCGATGAATTTGACAACTTGCTGTAAATAGGAAGGATACTGGCGGCCTTCGTAGAGAGTTGGTGGAACAAGAATTGGGTGGCCTGAGTGGAAATTTGTATAGTACAGAAGCACCAAACGAGAATCGGGAACAAATACTCCATTGAGGTCATCAGAAGGGGGTATAGTTGGTGACTGTTGCTCATACCTGATTGAGCCATGATCAAAGGGTCTAGATATTGTGTCTATGGAGGTGGATGTAGGCTTTGGGGTCTGTGGTTCAACAACTGATTCACGATTTGCACTGTGATCCAGTCGATGGGTATTGGCAGGTTTGCGCCTCCCTCCGCGTCGGGAAGGGAGATAAACACATGCAAGGTGGGCGTCTTTACAGCGAGAACAAGAAGGCTTTTCTGCATCACATTTGATATGATGCTTCCGGCACTCGGTGCAGGCCAGTGGCGCTGGGCGAAGCATTGTATGTTTCCGCAAGTCAGTCATATAAAAGCTCAAGAGCTTTGTTGCGTGTTTTCCGATCCTATCATATCGAAAGATCCAATTCAAGTTCGCAATGACCAATTTGAGCATGCATTTGGGTTATTCTCTGATGCTTGAATTTGGCCGCCACCATTTCCACTCGCTCTTCCGGATTCGTAAAAAGCACCTCACGATGCAGGCGAAATCAATAGTTATCAATATGGATTCTGCTCGATGACCTTAGGGTCTAATTTGCACAACCCAAACTCCTCGAACATGGAGTTGATGGTGCTGGATAGAGACTATGTCGAAGCTATAATCTGACCTCGCGGAACTGAATTCCCATTTTGAGTTAGTTTTTCCGGTTTGCGCCGTATGGTTCTCACCGCCCGCTGGCTGCGTATCAGTATACAAGAATTGTCCTCGCCTTTCTGATTTCTTTTTGTTTCTCAACTGCTACAAAGATGCCTGCCCCCTTGGCCCCTTTTCTCGTCGGAAATTGCGGCTGCACGTCGCTGGATTCGTCCCCTCCACTTCCAGATTCCCTACCGCGTCTATTTGGAGCCCCTTCAGCTGAAAAATTTCCCTTTCTTTTTGCTTGGATATAGCGAGATGAGTCATATGTTCGGTTCATCCAGCCGCTACCAGCAGAGGATTTTTCCTCGCCCAAGAAAGCCTTGATACTCCAAGCCCCGAACAGGCTCTAACCAAGGCTGATTACGCGTTACCCCTTATACCTACCAAACCTCTCCCCTTTCCGGCGTTGCCCGTCCTGGGCCTTTGCTTTTGGCCCAGCCGTGCTGATCTCGCATGTTGCGGCATACAATTGGATTATATAGACGGCGACGACTTGCAACATCCGGACAAATTATTCTCTTTGATGTGGAACAGCGGCGATGTGCGAGTTGTAAGGCTTCAGTGACCCTCCGAAGTATGGATGACAGGCCGTGCCTCAGCGAAACAGCCATTCAAGGTACGCTCAGCCACTAGTGGATTGTATTACGTGAATTCTATCCAAAATCTCTCAAATCATACTTAGCCAATAACTTGATTTGTGCGCCTGGCTCAAGGGAAAGAAAAGAAAAATGCGCTGCAAATAGCCCTCTAGCCGTAAATAGATCTTGTCAGGGGAAGAAGCTCAATTTAGGATACTAAAAGCATTGTGACAGTTTTCCTGGATATTTAGCCTCATATATCCTTTCAAAAACTGAAGGTTTAACAGTTCTTTCCACTTATATACAATACGGAGTAGACTCAGAACGTATCCAATTTATGTTTGCACTGTTTGCACCAAATTCGAATAGGTATTGGCTCACTTCTCCTGAATTTGTGAATTAACCAACTTCCCCAAACTTGTCATGATGCCTACAACTCGACAACTCCTTCGAAGAAAGATCACGTACTCAGATGCCAAAGGCGAAGAGTTCAATGTTCTTCATCAACTTAAATACCATTCCGAGCAAACTAGATTCTTCGCTCAACTTCATGACAGACGTGAATGGATGAAGGCTGCTGTTACCCACCATCTTGGCCTGAAATCGTCCGCGGAATGCCATGTGGCAGACGTAGAAAACTGGCTTCATGGCAGTTTTAATGTCTGTGTCCCCGTCACAATTGATAGTTGGCACGGCAAGCGTGTTCTCATGCGGTTTCCGTTACCTTATCGCCTGGGGGAGAGATTCAGACCTGGAAATTGCGACGAGAAACTCCTGTGTGAAGCAGGGTCTTATGCATGGCTCCAAAGGAACTGCCCCGAAGTGCCAATCCCAAGATTATATGGCTTTGCTTTGTCCACAGGCGAGACGGTATGGATTGCCTTCGATGTATCCGATTTCTGTCACTCATTTACTAAACACAGTTCACTCGACATGAATTCCTGCCATTTTTCCCTCGCTATTTCCAACTCCTGCGTCAGAAAATTCTATCATGGGTAAAGGATTCAACTCCTTCAAACTACGCCCGCCATCAGAACACAGATTCAATTTTTGTCGAGCATATAGTCGACAGCGGCTACCTTCTGATTGAATTTATTGAAGAGACACGTGGATCTATGCTCTCTCATACATGGATAGAAGGGCAACATGACCTAAAGTTAAGGACAAATTTGTTCCGTGATCTCTCCCGGATTCTCTTGAACATTACTCGGATTCCCTTGCCGCGGATTGGTTCATTTATCATTGATAATGATGGGTTTTTGTGTCTTACAAACCGGCCACTTTCGATGGAGCTCCAACAGTTGGAAAATGAGGAGATCCCTACTAATATACCTCGGGATTATACCTATTCAACTATAGACTCCTACGTGGTTGATATACTTGGAATCCATGACAATCGTTTTCGGTATCAACCTAATGCTGTCAATAATCTTGGAGATTGTGCTTACCAACTTTCTATATTAACTGCTATGAGGACAGTTTTTCAGTCAATTTTTAGTCGAAGCTTTCGACGGGGCCCATTTATCTTCTGTTTCACAGATCTTCACCAGAGTAACATCTTCGTTGACGCGGAATGGCATATAACATGCCTAGTAGATCTGGAATGGGCTTGCACTCAGCCGGTCGAGATGTTCGGGCCTCCTTACTGGCTCATAAATAAAGGCATTGATCAATTGACTACAGCAGAATACGACCCAATTCGACAGGAGTTCATGGAAGTCCTGTCAATGCAAGAACAGGACTTTGACTCTGCTATAAGTAACTATGGAGCAGCTGACCTACGCCTCTCGGACTTCATGAAACGATCCTGGGAAAGAGGAGCGTTTTGGTATTCACTAGCTCTCTCAAGCCCTTCAGGACTTTTTACGATATTTAGCAAGCATATCAAACCTCTCTTTTGCCAGGACTATGAGGAGGAGTTTGGGGTGGTAATGCCCTTTTTTTTCGAAAGGAATGTTGGGCACATTGCAGGCCGCAAACTTGCAGACAGAGAACAATATGACAAAAATCTCCAAGAAGCTTTCGAAGACAACTCAAACTGAAACTGCCTCATTTCCAAACGCTATTTCTTCCCAGAACTTTCCTGGTTCCCACCTTGGAAATGTTGCTTAATGGCTGAATCCAAAGATCCCATGGCTTTCTGTTTATGATTTTCTTGTCTCTTATCTTGCGCAGCTTTGCCCGATGAGCTTAGCTGCTGAAGAGTTCGGACATCTGCTTTGATCTGTTATGTACACCATGACCATCACTAAACAGTACTTGGCAGGTGTAGAATAGTGAGGTACAAATCATGCGAGAGGAAGTAAGAGGGACGGGTTAATAGTAAAATCCAGGTAGAAATGTGGCCGTAAATAGTGGTAAAAGTGGTTATTTTCAGCCTTGATTACCGGTCCCTATATTCTAGTTGTAACTGATGAAGAACTGTTCCAAATTAGGTAAGTGAACAGTATAGCTGAGTCATCATAATATGCACATGCCACGTGATATACCCCTGCATGTTGCGGCGTCATCCATTCCGAGTTGACAACATTATGGAAAGAAGAGTCTGAAGACATAAGACTGTCCTTGTTGACCTCAATTCCATTAGCAGGTATTGGCAACCTTCTGTGAGGCGCTTTTCAAGAGTTTCGCGACATTGACATTGAGAAGCACAAGAACTTGCTAGCCTCCACTCCTTCTTCGCTCCTGCTCAAACTAACCACGTTTCATTAACTTGAGCTACTAGATATACATCTCCAGACAATCCCACTCGTCTGAAACACTTCATTCATACAAAATCCAACCCAGACTATCCAACCGCCACAATGCACTTTCCACTTCTCGCCACCTTCCTCACCCTCGCCCTCTCCTCCCTAACCCATGCCGCCGAGCTCGGGATCGAGACCACTCACTCCGTTAGCTGTACGCGCAAAACTGCCAAAGGCGATGTAGTGCACATGCACTACCGAGGTACCCTCGCTTCGGATGGGTCTGAATTCGACGCGAGCTATAACCGTGGCTCTCCCCTCAAGTTCCCTCTCGGTGCAGGCAGAGTCATTAAGGGGTACGCGCGTGCTTTTCTTATTTTATTCTTGAAGGGATCACGCATTGTGTTCGGCCATAGCTGACTGGTTTTAGATGGGACGAAGGTCTTCTAGACATGTGCGTTGGGGAGAAGCGGACTCTTACTATTCCGCCTGAGTATGGGTATGGAGATCGCGGGGTCGGCCCCATCCCCGGAGGAGCTACGCTGGTGTTCGAGACTGAGTTGATGGAAATTGAAGGAGTGTCCAAGGATGAGCTGTAAAATAGCTCTTTCATTGGTAAAGTTGGCGTTCGCTGGGTCGAATGATGGGTGTTTCTACTGTCCATGATGATAATCTAAGATCTACATATATTGCTGGTATACACAATAGCTATCTGGCCGGGATAGGATTACTTAGCCTCAAGCCGGGCTTGTCAATTTGAATGCGACTGCGAGTACTCCGTACCTAATTTTGCCAGACCGTAACCGTACAACTAGGCAAGGATTCCGTGTGTACCGACACCCTATGGTTGCCTACCCTATTATTGCTATGCTGTCTTTCCCCCAAATGAGGCGAGAAAGAGATCTAATCCCCACAAAATCCTTGGCTCGCGGGGTCGTCTACGGTCTTTGTGCCGGTTCGGCTCGGTTCGGATTTCAGGGGGTTTGTTGATATAATTATGTATTTGGCTTTGGAATCGTGTGGTTTAGCCAACAACAATGCACTCTATGCTGGATGTCAACGGTTAAGATTCCGGGGAAGCTTTTCGTTTCAGGGTTTGGCATTAAACACTGTAATAGCAACTACCCGTGTAGCACTGTAGACATGTTAGTTATTTGTTAGCCCTCCTAAGCCTCTTCTGCAACTCAATTCTAGATCCGGCTCAGCGTTATTTTCACACGCAAAAATATCCTCGTCACCGCTATTTCACCACGGTATAGTTCTTTTTTGGCTTAGGAGCAGTTTTGTGGCGTCGAGAAGCTTACAGCTAGCCAATACCGCCGTGAAGGACAAGAAATGTAGGACCCAAACACACTAATTGAAATGAAGCCCAAACCCCCAACTTCCGAATTTCTCTCGGCTCCCTTTTTGATTTACAGAGAGAGGGTGAGATAGCAAAACTGGTACAATGGCGACACAGTGAGCAAATCGAGCAGGGGCCTGATATTATTCATTTACCCTCATTCGGGCTGCTAAAATCCCCTTGTCAAAATGTCCACCAAAGCCCCATATGAGATCCAGGAGTTGCAGCCGACCCAGCAGATGCTCGCGGGGTTAAGATATCGAAAGTCCCTGCACTTTGTGGCCCAGGCAGCCGTATGGACCACTGATATCTACTTTCTTCTCCGGGTGGGCGTCGTCGTCACCAGCCTGGGTCAAACCTGGCAAATGTGGCTCATGATCATGGTCGAATGGATATTTGCTCGTAAGGAGCCCCCCTGATCCCTCTCCCCAGGATGAATTATGGGCCTTAGGTTGACTTGTTAGGTCTATCCCGTCAAAGCCAACTCCTTACTGTCGCGACGGGGTGTAAGCCCCCGTTGCTCCGGAAGCAGCTGCGACTTCGCGGTACTAAAAATCTTCCGCGGGTTGACGTGCTGGTGGCCTGTTGCGGGGAGCCCCTGGACATTATCCTGGATACTGTGCGAGCGGCTTGCTCCATTGACTATCCAGCCTCGGAGTTCCGAGTCCTACTCCTGGATGATGGAGGATCCGAGGCACTACGGATCGCAGTCTCCGAATTGCAGTCCAAATGGCCGCAGCTCTCCTATCATACTCGCGGAAAGCATTCAGGCCGCGTATTTGCCAAAGCGGGGAATCTGAACTTCGCCCTATTCTCATTGCAGGAGGACTTCCAACCGGAATACTGCGTAGTCTTGGATTCAGACTGCCTCCCGGGCCGGAACTTCCTGCGTGCCACATTGCCTCATTTGCTGCAAAATCCACAGGCGGCATTGCTCACAACAAGACAACACTACTATAACTTGCCTCAGGGGGATCCTCTCTCTCAGTCTCGCATTCATTTCTATGCTTGTCACAATACCGAGCTCGACTACCAAGGCATCGCGATAGATGCGGGATCCGGAGCGGTCTTTCGACGGCAAGTGATCCTCGATACCGGCGGATATCCCACCTTTTCCTTCTCGGAGGACTGGCAGCTGTCCTTAATTTTACAAGGTCGTGGACATACTATCATCCAGGTTGAAGAGCCTTTGCAATTCGGCCTGGTTCCAAGCTCCCTGCAGGGACATGTTGCGCAAAGAAACCGATGGAATATTGGACACTCGCAACAGCTGAATGCGCTACGTCCACCCACAAACAAAAGCATCCCCCGCCAGTTGCAATGGAGCATTGCCCTTAATGGAATGCAAATCGTCCTTGGACTCGTCAGCTCCTTTGTTGGATTCTCAACGATTCCAGTGTTGTTGCTGTCAGATCATCTCATTCCGACGCCATCGCCGTTGCTGGTGAAAGCCCAGATGGCTATGGCAGTGACGCACATGGCTCTGACATGGCTCTATGCATGGTTACAAGCCGCCTACACAGGATTCCGAGTCCCACTGTTTTCTCACCTCGAGAATAGCTGGCTTGCCGGTAGTAAGTTGTGCACCCCCCCCCCCCCCCCTGCCCATTTAAAAATCATATTTTGCACCCGGTTGGCTAAACAGGAACAACCAACCCCCGTGACAGCACATCTCTTCGCCATCCTAAGATTCCAATATTTTTCCAGCAAGCCCAAGGGGTCATTCGTTACCGGGAGCGTTGCCAACTCATGGAACCGAGCAGGCTACGCATCGTTGTGTCAAAAGGCCCAGCTGCTATGGGAGAACGGGGTTATCTACGCCGTTTCTCTACTCCTCGTCACTCTGAGCGCGGCCGCCTTCTCGATCTGGAGAACCATCACCGATGATACTGGGACTCTGGGGACTTCATTTGTGACCACCTTGGCCTGGCCACCGCTCCTCCATATTTTCTACCTTGCCATTACCAATCTCTGGGTCCCCGTCTCGTATCTATGGAATCCTCCCCGGTACCCGGACCGTGCATCCCAGCTCGCTAAAACGGAGCAGGGCATTGCGTTCCCGCGCGCTGAAGTCCTGGGTAAGCTTTCGTTTCAAGGTCAGTATCGGTCACATGGGTCTGGATTTGCGGTGGTTGTTGTTGTGGTTCCTTTCCTCCTAGTGTCATTATTGATTGCTGTGTTGGCCGTATGAACAGGCGCCATTTTGTCATCCGGAAATTGTTGCTCATAGTGAGCATTCTATAATGCAGGGAATCCAAGGTCACTGGGCAATAAGAAACTGTCGGATGATGTTACAGTGCGTGGCTTTGCAACGAAGCATCTGGTGATTGTGTTCCTAGCTAGCAGTGGTTCCTTCTCCATCAAGCGGGGACGAAGAAAAAGATTGGATGGTGTTTTGACTAGGGTTCTACGAGGTCTAGACAGAAAAGTGGATCAAGTATAAATGGTATATATTCGTTCATAAACAGCATCGATCTCAGTGATGACTATCTACAAAGGTTTCCTGCAGGGTCGTACCAGACGACACTACACCCTTTACCAATCCTGAGCAGAGGCCTCGTGGAGCTGTTGCTCGGCGTGTCTCTTGGCCTTCTCGCGGTCAATGAAGTCAAGGCCCTTGGTCTCGAATTCACGGTCGATGAAGGCACCGGCGAAGCCAGCAAGGAGCTCCTTGGCCTTCTCGTGGCTGGGGGGCTGGCCTAGGATTGAGGGTCAGCCGTCGTCCTCAAGTTGACAGTATTACAATATTGTGCCGGGTTATACTCGGATTTGAGAGAGGTGGGACAGGGTAGGGAAAGCAGGCAACGCACCGTTTTTGGCGACGTGGTTCTCGTAGGCCTTCATGGCCTCGTAGGAAGCAGCGCCGGCAATAAGCTCATGGCTGAACTTGGCCTTGTGCTCGTCGTTGTTGCTGTCCAGGTTGCGGTACTGGTCGTAGGACTGAGCCTGGTCACTGTTGTCATCTAATAGATGAGAGCGGGGGGGGGTCAGCACTGGCTCAACTGTTGGTAGCATCTAGGTGGAGAGAGCTTACCGAACCAACCCATGGTGATAGATATGTAGGATAGTGTTTAAAGAAACGTGAGAGAGAGAGAGAGAGAGAGTAGAGTGGTAGGTGAATTGGAGAGAGAAGAGAAAGGAGGAGGAGTGAAGCCCAAGGAGCTGTATTTATATTGACGAAGACGGCGCATGGTCCCAACAGAGGCGCGGGGCATTCGACGAGGGGCAAGTTCCAAAGCAGTTAGTCCTTAGCAGTACTCCGTACACGGCGAGAAGAGTCTCTCGCTCTCTCGCACACCACAGATGGTTGAATTGATAGTACGAGTAAATGTAATACCATCGAAACCCGCCTAAGCTTTCTTCGGTGGATCGCCCCGCTGCACAGGACCCCAAAAAGCTGGAATGGACGCGTTGGCGCTAAATGATTGGCGGCGATCTCCGCCAAAGCAATAATGGGCTTCTTTCCAGGACGTATTATTGAGTCGCAGGCTTCAGCCGAGAGAGAGGGAGGGGGAGGGAGGGACTCGTTGGGAGGCTTGCAAGGAAGAAGGAGCTAGGCCCACGGGTGGTGTAAATTACGCGCCAGGACCTGGCTTCTGGAATCTGGACTCCGATTTTGAGCATGGAGAGGAAATCTGGACGGTGGACGGCAGGAGGAGAGTTTTTGACTGGCTACTACTAAAGGTGCCATTGCGCCGTCGTCAGGGGGTTTCAATGATGAGATCCGTGGCTTTCTTAATCCAGCATTTCGTAGAATTATACACCCCCCGCAGAGGACAGAGGAGTGGCGGAAGGAACCGGAATACTCCAAGAGTCCAAACCATTTGCCATTCAACATTATTATTGTTATTCTAGCAGAGGCATAGCCACAGTGGTGTGGCTCACTTTGCCCCTCTCTGGATGTTGGATCAGGGCTGGGATGCGCACATGATTGGAAGTCAACAGGACCTTTCCCACTCTTCTCTCGTTCCCGATTCTCACCGACTTCCTTAATTCGCGATCGGCTAGGATGGCTGAAACTAGCCCCAGTCAAGTATCAATACATACAGGCTGGTTTTTGGTTTCGTTTCGCCTTCGCCACATTGACCCCTCTTTAGCCCTTTTCCCTGGACACGAACGGAACCCAGTAGAAGCACTGTTGGGGTTTGGGTGTCCAGAGTGCAGCCCAAATATAGCAATTTCCTGACAGAGCACGGAGTACGTGATGCCTCCATGCTGGGGCTCAGTCCACATCACCCAGGCTGCGAATTCAAAGTGGATCAGGTCAGATAGTGATGCTCCAACATGCCGTGTGTCGCTGAGTCACAATATGCGCTGATCAACATGCAATACGAGATCTTCATTCCCAAGGTACATCGGTGTACGGCGCACGGCACATGCGCGGGCTGCGGTGTCTGTTCGCCACCCAATGAAGTTGTGCTATCTGAACGAGTTGCGTCAGCCCTGCCGGATCTCGAGGGCCAGAGGGAGGTCTTTGTCACTGGGCGCGCCGCGGACTGCAGAGCAGCTGCAGCTAGATCGTGGAAGCACTCTACAGCGGAATAGAGATCGACTACAGCATCCTCTGTGCTCAGACCTTAATCTCTCCTCACTTTCTCTAAAATACTAACCTGCCCCGTTCAAATATGCACTCGGCCTCCCATACTTTACTTCTTGTCGCCACTTAAATAACAGCTTGAATTTCTCTACCAAAGAAGCTTAACCATTGGCCAGTCAGCCTCTAGCCTGAGAGTAAACTAGGTCTCCGCCAGATACCGTCTTCTACACCACGGTAGTACCTTCAGTATTTCTATCCTCAGTTTCATCTTCCTCATATTCTCGCTTCCATCTCCCCCTCATCGCGCTAAGCTTTTCTTGGCCCAATCCCTCCATTCCATCTTGGGCAAGGCATCAAAGTCAACATAGAGTACGGAGGACATTTGCCCGTATCGTTACTATCAAGTCGGGGTTATTGGCTCTGGAAAAAAAAAAAGGTCTGATAAGGGTTCCGAGCACGTGCGATTTGTTGATATCGCGTCATTCCCCCAACTTTAGGGTTTGCAATCTATAGTCCAAAAAAAAAAAAAAAATAGCAAATTCCACTTTATATATCATGTCGAAGCCCGGAGTGGGGATTGGGTTTGAAGCCGATCCTTGCTATCCGTTAGTTTCCGCTGGATTGTGACTTGGAATGCGTCGTCAATAGTTGTTGTTCTACATGTCTCAACCCGCGTATGTTGCCCAGGACAAGGCCGAGAAGGCCCCCGGCGAGGTCGACGAGATCGACCAGGACTTCTCCAGCTCGGACGATACCTTGACTGCCATCATTGTTGCAGGTAAGCTTTTCTTTTTACCCTCATCTTTGAATCCTCTGCCGCCTACTAATCAGGGTTTGGCACATCTATCTGCCTTTAGATCACCAGCATGATATTAAGCTACGAACAATGTCATGGCAGAAAGCTGCCTGGTTACTAGCGGGGGAACAAGTGTGTTTGGCCATTATGGCCCAGTCATGGTCTCTCTCGTGAGTTGGGAACTACATAACCCTGAGTGGCCTGCAATACTGAGAGCGATGATGCCGTTAGGGTCTTGGGGTGGGTTCCGGGTATCCTCACCATGCTGGTTGCAGGGGCCCTGTTCTGGATAACGTCCATTACGATGCACAAATTCATCATGAAACATCCCCAAATCATGGATATCTGTATGTTACATCCTCGCCGGTCAGCCAGTTCCGCGGACACAAGAATCTCATGCAGGAGAATGGACAGGTGACTTTGGCTACTATGCGTTCGGCAAGAGTCGGATTGCATATACCTTTACTGGATTCATGTTGTTGGCCAACAATATTCTTTTGATCGGGTTTCACATTCTCACGGGGGCAAAGATCCTCAACACGCTGTCGGACCACTCTTTATGCACCGTGGTGTTTTCCGTGATTGTCATGCTCATGGGTATCGTGATGTCGGCCCCCCGTACTCTGCATCATGTGTCCTTCATGTCCATGTTTTCCGGTAGGCTAACTCCATCGGATTCCATGGCACGTTCTGACCCTCGTCCCCTCCAGCGGCTTGTATGGGGGTGTCGATCCTCCTATTCCTCATCTTCGCCGGCACCGAGAAGGCTCCTCTGTACGGATACAATGGCAACTACCCGACTGATGGCCCGGTTCGCACCTATGCCTTCCCCTTGCCCGGAACCACCTGGGTCGCCTGCATGAATGCTGTCCTGAACATCACCTTTCTCTGGGTTCCGCAGATTCTGTTCCCCACCTTCATCTCCGAAATGGAGAGGCCGCAAGACTTCCCCAAATCGCTGGCTGTCCTCGCCGGCATTTCCGCCGTCCTGTTCATCGTCCCGCCGGCGATCGGGTTCCGATATCTCGGCCAATATGCCACCGCTCCCGCATTCGGCAGCCTGGGGGCTGTTGCGGATAAAAAGGCCTCGTTTGCGTTCGTCATTGTGCCCACCGTCGTGATCGCCGTCATATACGCCAACGTGAGCGCCAAGTTCATATACTGCCGCATCATCATGCGGCAATCACGACACGCACACAGCAATACCGTGGTTGGATGGGCCGTCTGGGGCCTCACCATGGTGGTGATCTGGATCCTTGCCTTTGTCTTTTCCGAGGTCGTTCCCAGCATGGGGGATTTCCTGTCGCTTCTGGGTGCCGCGTTCGACTCCTTCTTTGGCTTTATCTTCTTTGCTGTGGCCTACTGGCAACTCCATAGGCAGGATCTTTTTTCCGGTCCGCGGAGGGCGATCATGACTGCCGTCCATGTTCTCGTCCTGTGCTGTGGATTGTTTCTGCTGGGTCCTGGGCTGTACGCTGCGGTGGAAGCGATCATAGCGGATTATTCAGGAGGCACTGCACCGGCCTTTAGCTGTGCCAATGCAGCGATTTAGAATTTCGACCATATGGTGCTTTCCCTGGCCAAGTGCGCTCTAATCTAATGCAGTAGACTTGTTCAAGATGAGTCCATACATTGGCCGCCGCGAGGAGAATCCTGCATCCTCCACTACTAGTGAGGAACTCCCCTCCCAGCATGGGTAGCAGCAGGTAATGAAATATGCTTTGTACGCTGTTCAAGAAATCTAAAGTATATTCTTCTATTCATACAGGGGAAAGAAAGAAAAAAAAAAAGATAGCTAGACCCAGTGAGCTTTAGGAATCCGCAGTCAAGATATGCTACTTCCACCAACTAGAGATCATGCTATGCTATTTTAACCGATGTGAGAAATGCCACCCTATTCCACGCACTGGTAGTACCACGGGTTCATCACGGTGCATGTGGATCCCGTTGCACAGGCCGTGGCTCCGGTCCAGTTAATCCCTCCGCACTGTCCGTACAGCGATTGCGTGGCACTGGGTGCGTTGGCGGTTGATGTCCCTTCGCCGGTGGTGGTCGATGTGGCCTTGGTGGTAGCCAGGGAAGGAGCGGCCGAAGTGGCGGTTTCTTCTTCTTTCGCGACAGTGGTAGCCTTAGCCGTGGCTAGGGTAGTGGCGACAGAGATCGTCGTAGTGGTGGTGGTGGTGGTGGTGGAGGTGGCTTTCGAAGTCGTGGTCGTGCTTGATGATGTTGACGATGACCTCGAACTGTCCGCGGAGCTCATACCAGCTGGGGTGGTGTCGGTCTCGGTCTGGCCGTAGCAGATACAGCTTTCCCAGTCCGACGCAGCCTGGCCAGGGCATGCCACAGGTTCAAAGTCCACCACCACGTTGTCACCGAACACCTCGCTCTCGGCCATGATATCAAAATGGTAGCTGTAACCATAGTCGTTCTCCGAGCCCACCTGCGGGCACCATTTCTCGTTGCCGTTGTAAGGGCAAAGGTTGGTAACCATGACGATGATGCTCTCGCCAGAAACTCCCCCCGTGCCGCAACCATCACAGGCAGAGCTACCGGTTGAGGTCAGGTTGTAGCATTTTCCACACCCAGCGCCGCACCAGGAAGCTCCATCGGTATCGAAAAATGCCTGCGAGCCAGCCGCAGTATAAACACCGGTGGTAATGCCGAGCTATATGCGAGGTTGGGTCAGTAGGAGCGGGTCGATTTCAGAACAGGATGAACGGACCTGCCAGGAGTCGAGACCGGAGGAGGTACCGCAACCGCAGGCACCTTCCTGGCCATCATAGTACCTCTAGGATTCAATTAGCATGGGACAACGCTGGTCTAAGCTCGGCGGGATACTTGCAGTTGTGGTGGCAAGGTATGCTGCCGTCGAGGCAATAAATTGCAAGCCAACCAAAGCGAGAACTCCTTTCATGGTTGATGATGTAAATAGAGTAACGAAAGGAGAGAGAAAGGAATGTAAAAAGTTCGTTTATAAAAGAGTGTCAGAATTGAATGGATAAATGCACCAGAAACCCGTCGTTCTTGCTCCTGCTGATGGGCCGCAAGCAATATTTAAACCGGCGCGGGCATATAGACATATTAAAACATGCCTGTTAGGACCATGCAATCCACCCGCAGACCTAGATACGTCGAAATGAGAGAGTAATGCCTGCCTACTCGGTAATTTCGGGGTGCTGGACGAGTGGCCTGGGCCATTTCCGCCCAATAAAATTGATATGGATAGGGAGATCAGTCGGCCAGACCATGTTTTTCCTTAGCGGGAAACAGAAGTGCAATCCAGATGGATCCAAGCGAACCGTTCGAGAGGTTCATTCATTTGAAACATTAGTCTGGCTGCCGGAGGAGCTTCCAGGCGGGTAACCTCCCGATTGATTGTATAGGGGCAATTAATATGGAGATAGAGTCCACAATGAGTAGGGATTCATATTAAATGTGATTCCTCCATACTCCGTACTCGATGTGCAGCTTCACAATCAAGCACTACCAAGTGGTAGCAACCCAGGCGACTCCGTACAACAGCATCGAATGCCAGAAGGACTGTAGTGTCTCCCATTGCGGCGAATACTTGGTAAGCGCGGTGGGACAAGCCGTGAAGCCTGACAACCGAGCCATATCCCAGTCGACAGTTGGCTGACATGGCAACCTGTTGGTGGCTTCATGGTGGGGATCAAAGTCCTGAGTGCAATCAGACGAGATTAAACGGGGCAATCATTCTTATATCCATATTCCATAATGCTTCAGGCTGTCACTAAGACATGCTCCTGCTCTTCCGTTGGCTGCACAAATCCCTAGTAAGATCGCTGCTTGAGTCAGAAATGTCTCAGGTATAATAATAGGATTGGCTCGTCAGGCTTTGGAATAATGACTGGTCAGCAAGAATAAATTAACCTGTTTCCCCGATAGGTGGATGGACTGTGAATACTCTTATATCACATCCATCACATACGCCAACTTTCCGCTCCTCGTTGCTTCTTGACAGACGGGTCTGAATAGGGGGTTCGGACGTATAGATACTCTGTACTCGGGACTCCGTACTCTGTAGTACTCCATATACAGAGTATCCTTTTTCAGGGGAACCAGATCGGAACTAACTCTGGTTTCATTTCTACAGGAATCCGGCTGCTTCGGGGACTACGTTCGACGTATGCCTATGGGGTTGGACAAAGCATCCAAGTACAAGCTTCTGACTAGATAGACCCGCAGCTTTCTACAGAGCTGGAGATGTGCAGGTGTTTATACGGAATATAGCTAATACCATGTTGCATTAGTTGCTGTGTCCTAAGTAGGATGAGGTCCTTTCTCTTGTACGCGGAGTATGATATGCCCAGGTCGCGCCTCATTCCGGCCTCCTCACGCCTTCTATCTGCAACCTCGTAACGGACGGTAGATAGTAGGGATCAATCACTGACGCTCTCCATCTTATGGATTTCATGAATTAAGCAAAACTGCGCCCTGTTAGCCTCCCTGATCACCTCTTCGGGCGTTTGACCGATAGAACCTACACATGACGGCTGGGATCACTGCCACTAGGCATAGTCGACAAGGGCGAATTGATCGTGCGTTATCAGCTACGACAGGCTGTGCTGGGGCGGTATAGTCTGGTAAGTTCGGATTGGTGATGCTGTCATCTAGACTTGCCTCCTTTGCCTGCGTCAAAACGCCAACTTCACCAATGTTGTTCGGCGCCTGCAGCATCCCCTCCCTTTCCGCTTCCTGTATCGCAGCCCACCAAACTGATGCCATTTCTTTGTATCCAGAGTCTGTCGGATGAGTTCCATCGGCCAGCTGGTCTGATTTGATGAAATAGCTCATCTCGGCTAGGACCACCCGGTCACCCTGCGCTCGCCGACGTGCGGCGACATTGCGATACTGACGGCTGATTTGTTCTGCTATTCGAGGTTGCTTCGTGTTAGGCAGTAACGTTGATAGAATGATAGTGGTTCCGTTGATCTGGTTGAACAGTTCGGTGAGCAGAGCGTCTATCCGGTCCCCCGCAGTATCTACATGATATTTTTGGACAGCATCATTTGTCCCGAGACTGGCGCGGTGCAGAGTCAATAGGGAACACATTTCCTGACAGACGGACGTGTACATACTTGAGGAGAATTAAGTTCGGCTGCAGCCAGGTAGAGTTTTCCACTGCCCTGGCTACGTGATCGATTCTGAAGCCGAAATGACCCTCATGCTCCTAAATCCAGTCAAGATTCGCCCAACATACTCAAACGGCTGCGAGAAATGGGCTTACCTTGTTTTTCATGGTCCCGTTTTTCAAACTGCCCACCATGTCGACCTCCCAGCCAATGTATCGGAGCTGCTGTCGAATCCATTTGCGATATCCGTTTTTGCCTGTCGACCGATAACCCAAAGTGATTGAGGCTCCCAGCGGCATCACACGGAGCGGGAATTCCTTGAGACTGCGAGCCTCGAGCGAAGGTGTGTTATCCGCGTGAATTGACGGATTCTTTAAAGACAACCCCGAGGCTAGTAGAGCCACGCTCACCAGCAGGGCGAGACACACATGTAGTGTCGAGACTACCTGTACGGAAGGTCCCATGGCTTGAGTCGCCGTGAAATGCCCCGTAGGCTGGGAGGTCACCAAGAACAGAGAATTTAGTTCTGGTTACACAGCAATAACTAGGTCACTGATAACTGAGGATCGTCATTCATTGTCTGTGAGGATTGTGCCCGAACACAGTCGGTGGGTGGCCTTGGGTCGCGCTGGCTGTCCTCTGTAGCCACGGGGAATGAACCCATTTTAGCTCAAACCAACACCATAGATTCAATCGAAACTAGCGCTCAGCCGTCGGGATATTGATTATTCATTTTGGAGGTTCTATCGCGAGGGATTACCCATGGTGGTCTGTTTATCCATGTTGATTGGCTTGCCCCGAGCCAACTCCTGGACCCTGAAGACCCTGAGTGAGTCCGTTTTAATATCGATCAAGTTCGGTTCGGTTACCCTCAGTTTGTGTAAATAGGCGTGGAGTACTCCATATTCTCCCAGGCATTCGTACTACCGGACCAGCCCGAGCGAGGGATTGTTGCCAGTATCTCGTGAACCCTTCGCTGAAGACGCACCAATATCAGCACAATACAAGCAAATCCTAGTGGATTGAACAAATCAAACTGCCTGTGATTAGTGGAAATAAACGGAGCCTGGGTAGAAAAACAATCCCGCTAGCATTCAAACAGCCCACGGTTTTGGATTTTTTTTGGTCCTCGACTAATCGTCAACGGGTTAAGTGGGAGAACTAGAGTCAAGTTCCAGACCTTTTGTTTCCGCCGGTTCCACCATGAAATTCCTGAAATTCCTGATTGGAAGCACTGGGGGATTACTTCGCTTACTGGATCACCGCGCAATAAATGCCTAATTTGGTCGTTCGGGGCGGCACCTCCTGACAAAGATGGACTGAGGGCTTCTAGCCTTCTACTACGGCCGAATAGAGTACGCCTACCGAATCAAGGGAAGCTTTGGTTCCTGGATGGGCCCGGACTCTAGACCTGTGAGCGTGGGATGATCCATGTAGTGTCCGGATAATGAACCTTTTTTTTTTGGATTTTACTTGTACTTGGTTTTAATCTGTGAACTGCCGCTTCCAATCAAGGGAAATCCTGTTGTCCAGGAACGAGACAAGCTACCAAGGACTGCATTTATGGAGCCAGACTCGGTCTTATATTCTAGAAGGACAGAAGCTTGTCTCGGTGTAATAATTTCGGAGTTATTGCCTCTGCATGTCCTAAGTCACGACGGGTACGGGCGGATTGAAAGAACGGTATAGGTACCGAGTACGGAGTCCCCGTGTGCAAGGATTAGTGTCGACCCATATTATGCGCTGTACTCCTGTAGTGACAGATGGGACTGGCATCCTGGATCGTGGCCGGTGAAGTGAAGAATTAACACCGCGCAGGATAAGACGCCTTGAGAGCTTCAGCGGGAACTTTCTCGGGGTAGTGGTTAGAGAGAGAAATGCACGGCACAGTTAAGCTAGTACTCAATAATCCTCGGTCTTAACTCGTTTCTAGTTTGGAATGGAGGGGTTCTGGACTGCAGGGCCATTGCTTAGGTGCTATCCTGCGTGACAAAACGTGTAGTGCCCTCTACTGACGGTTGAATTTAAATCAACTTTCTTATATGGATATTGGCTGTATGAAGAACAGCGAAAACCTGTCGAATATCAAAAATCCCTGTCGGCAGTACCACATACAGGGGGGATTCCTGTTCTTCATCCGGTCGAAACTTGTCGCTGTGCGCCTTTTTGCCTTTGAATTGAAATTTCTGAAACACACGCCTATTAATCGACCGCGTAAGCCTATCCAACAGGACTGGCATGCCGGTGATTTCTTTGAGATCTCCCAAGGGTTCGAAGCCGAGGCTAAGGTACGAGATCTCTTCTTGCTTCAGGAAAACCAACGTGGAATATATGAGTAAATCGCTGACGCCTTTTGGTGCTTCCGGTGCTGTCACGCATGGATCCAGATGATAGCCCTGATGGGCGCCAATCCAGCGAAGCGCCACGAATCCATTGGCCTTTCCCTCGGCCGAGCATGTGTAGATGTACACCATTAAGTGTGGAAAGTCGAATAAATCATAGACGGTGACAAATGCTTGGGTGATTCCGCTACGTCGGCGTCGCCACTCATTATAGATGTTGCTCAGCTCTTTCTCCAAACAGAGATCCTGCTCACATGACGGAATGTAGATTCGGAGGGAAAGATTCCTCTTGGCTGGATGGAGCAATTGCTTATTTTGCACAATGATTCGCTTTCCGCACTGTTCCATCAAAACGTCGTTTGTCATTGGATTCAAAACTCGTTCCACCCCGAATTCTATGGTTGTCCACCGACGCTGCCGGGCATACTTGACGAACGTGGAGCTGATGCCTATGAAAGCAAGTTTCCAGCCGTGTTTTTTCCGGTACCCTTCAAACTCGTCCAGCACATTCGAGAAAAGGTCCGATTCACACAAGGGGTCTCCTGTGACGATGGCTACATCGTCCTGCAATTTATAGCACAAGGCGCCGGTCCGCGACTTGGTCACGAAAAATCTGTAGCTTGGATCGAGGATTACCATATGCGAAGCCCTCCCGTAGTGCGTTGCAAGCGTTTCGACAATTGGCAGGATATTGGTCTCATTGGTGGCCGGATCTTCCGCAGGGGATGACGACTTGAATTTCACTGAAGCGGTGAGCATGCGCAGTCTGTGTCTGGAGGATTTCACGGGGCGATAGTCGCGTCTTTGAGGCAAGTTTGGACACGAGAAGTTTTGATTTCCCAACCCCAGGGGGAAAGCGGCAGTAACGTCAGTATGTTCTCCTGAATCAGATCGCCCCGAGGAGATGGAATGTGGCGGATGATGCACCGCCAGCAGGCAACACAGGCCCTGCTCGCGTGGAGCGAAGTAGTTGTCTAGTTCACGAGTGAGCAATTTGCCCACCGTCTCGCTCAGGAGTTTCTTAGGAACATGGGGTTGCTTTTTGCCCGGTTTCGAAGCATTGGGGGGGTCCTTGAAATCTTCTGCGCCCTCATTCTTCCGTGACTGCATTGGGCCGACGTCGCTAATGTATGGGAATCACTGCTTGCTTAAAGACCTCTGGCCGGGGGGAAGCGGAGGGATAAAAAAGGCCGTCTATAGCAACACAGGCGGTAATCCTATCTGATGACGTCCCGTCAGTGGCTGGGACGACGGATCAAGTATTCCTTTGGTGGTCGACTGGTAAGTTTTGAAGCTACCGGAGGCCACTGTGGTATCTAATTGGCAATATCTCGGAGGTGGCTTACGATATGGCCAGTGAAAATCGGTGGCACCCACTAGGCCATGGAGAGATGAGACAACATGTACTCGAAGAATACCGGAAGTAGAAAATTAGAGATCGAGAGCAATCTTACTGCGCGCAGCATCCCTGGCGATTGAATGATTCAGGCAAGCATATTCTATGGCCGTGATTGGATCTGGGGGTTCCATCATGCCGCTTCTATTAAATTAGTCTTTCCGCTCCATGCCGACGGGTGACGTTTTGTTCAGAGGAGCGACCCGAACCTTCCGAAGAGTGATTTTCTCTCACTTTTTTGAAGCTCGTGTGCTGTGTATATCATGCGAATGGTCCCCTAAGCTTTTGGGAGTAAGATTTTAAGCATGCGCGATAGGTAATCGAAGAGGGGCAGGTCTTGAGAATGTTGCCTATTTTACACCCTCTTGGACTGCTTGCTTTTCTTTCTTGTCCTCCTCTCTTCTCTTTGGAAATCAACTTGACTTCTTTTGTCCAGGTTTATATTGCTGCCTTGCTATTTATTGACCTCTCGCCTCCCGACGGGTCTGTGGCCCCGTCGTCCGCGTCGTCTGATGCTCCCCCCTGGTCTATGTTTGAATGTGTTGGCTCTAGTGTTTGAGCTTTTATCTCTTCAAGCCGTCCCTGGACTCGTAATTCAACATGAGCTACGGCGTCTTCAGGGGATGTTTTGTTTTTCAGCAAGAACCCTTGTATGTCTGCGGGAGAAGAGGTATTCTCAGGAATCTTGTCGGGAAAGACTGAACCTCTCTCCGGGCTTTTCTAGGAAGGTATAATAATGCGTATCTTGACCGTGGTAGGGGCTGCGAAAGAAGTTCTCAAACATTTTTATTGATACAGAGCGGTTGGCAATCAACACACCCCGGCCGTATGAGGGCTGAATCCAATCGATCCAAATGGTTCGTAGTCATGATGAGCACCCGACCCGGCCCTCCTGTGCCGCCACACCATCTATGATGTTCAGCAGTGCAGACAAAGATAATTTGTTTTTCGCTTGGCTTCGTACGAGTCAACATCCTCCAGCAGCACCAAGCATTTCCGGGGCAAATTCTGGAACAACTGGGCAAGCCCATTTTCGGAGAGCTGTCGGGAATTACGGTCGGATAGCCAGCAGCAGCAAACGCCAGACTTGATTTGCCCGTGCCTGGTGGGCCGGAAAAGATATAGCCTCGACGAGACGGAATACCTCGATCACTATACCACCTCCGGGTACTTGGGTGCAGATATTGTTTATGTCTTGGAGAAAAGCGGTCTTTTGTTCTGCCTCGTGTTTCAGGATAAATAGACTCCAGCCCAGGCTGCGCTTCGATCGTGCGGCTATCCCCCTCATCGTCACACAACTCAATGTTCTTCCCGTCGGAGTTGTGGTCGCTAATCTAGTCCGCCTGTCCGCTAGGCATGGACGTACTTGCTATGAGACGAAGGAGCTAGTTGTAGGCTTCATCGTGCGAATAAACGTCAACGCTCGAGTAGAAAAAAGGTCCAGAGAAAGGCTGCCATAGTGACCTACTAAGGTTTGAAGGACAAGAAGTAAACGAGGTTTTGAATATTCCATTATTTTCCGATGAAATGGCATAAACTCATGAAAATGGTTGCTTGAGATACATGAAGGTTAGAGAGTGAAATGGCGACCTCAATACTGTGGCTCACGTGTTGCTAAGCGCTGGGTGGTGGTGGAAGTGAATGGAATCCAACTTTTTCTGACTACTAACAATTTGACAGGGTTAATTAGATTCACATAAGTATAGACTGTATTTCTTTCTATGCTTATAGGGGATATAATAGTATAGAATACTTATAAAGTATAGTAGGATATCCTAGCATGATAGCTGTATATAATATAATACCTAGGTACCTACAGGAATATCATACACTACTACTGTGTACTTGGATTAGTTAATTCTATAGGTAACTTTTGCATTTTTTATTAGACTAATACTCGTAATGAAGAACGATTATATATCTATTTTTATTTATTTTTATGTATTTTCTTTTGTGTTGTAGTGGATAAAATCATTTTGGTGTTGAGATGCAATGTATCGGGTCTCACTAGCCGGTGGCATCTCACTAATAGGTGTGGGATTCTAGATACGCTCCTGGCACATCGCTCCAGTGATCAAATGTCTCTTAAGCCCACCATCCACACACTTTCGAAGTTCATCGAGCATAAGAGCGGGAGGCGGGGGTGTTGGCTGCAAGAGGAGCAAATCCATGTTGTCTCGAACAATATCGTCCCATTTCAGAGTGATGCACTGCTGAGCATGGTCTCTCGGGATCGGATAGAGTGTCTGAATCCATGTCAAAATAGTGCAGAGTGGAAGCTATGTATTATTAGAATTACCTTCCTACCGCCTCTCTTTTGTCTGGTCCCAGATGCAGGATTATACTCGTGAACCTCAACAAATCCAGCCTGACAGTGCGTATCATTCAGCCCCAGAGGGCTTAGCTTCACGAGTATTACCACACGGATCTTGCCCTGAGAGCCTTCCAGCAGGAGATCCGCATCTGCTATTAGCTGGTTATACGTCTCGGAGAATCTGACTTTGAGAGCAACACTAGGCTATACTCCGCGATCTGGGACAATGAAGCAATCCGGCTCTTTTGCACTGCACTATTAGTACATACTGCTATGACAGTAAGACTGTAAGCGACATACCTCCCGGAGAAGCGGCCACTGGACCCTTTCAAGGTAATGTCGGGGCGAGGACTTAATGATCCGCGACTTATGTATCCTTGTACCCTCATCTCGAATAGCCAATCTTGGAACCAATCAAAGCCGCTCCCATGCGCCCATGTTGGCATTTCGACGGCAAAAGTTTGAGTGGAAGAATCGTAACAAAGCCTTTCATTATTCCTGTCAGGGCTTGCACTCAATGTTGTGGATCAAGATACTTAGCCCTCGTTTGCTCCAATAGCGAGTCGAGAGATTCGTAGAAGCTGGTCTCATTGAATTGAACTGACTGCTCGCAAGGGTGTATTGACCACCACCCTTGGTTGCAATGTCGTGTTTGATTCTTTCGAGAAGATGCATGATGATGTGCAGACAATGGAAAGGTATGAAAATATCAGTTTTCTAGCTAATACAGTATTATATGAACACAGGTAGTTCTTCAGTGATTCTGTGAGACCTAAAGTGGTGGGAGAAAAGAGAAGAGGAAGGGAAGAAAGGAGCGAGAAATGAAGATGCTGTCAGTCTTGCATTATGACGGTACCTACTTCCCAACCATCCCCTTTCTTGTTCAAATTGACTTGAGAGAAACCCTAGTTACTGGAGTAGTTATATATGGATTGCTTCATAACCCTTCAGGGGCAATTTCTAGGCCAGTCTGGTATTTGCTGGTAACCCTTATGCCAGTCAGCCGCTAAGCCTCCTTTCTTTGTTTCTTTTTCCAGCCCTCTACTCCGTATGTATAGTCTATACGAGATATGACCCACTCTTGCCAGAAGCTTTGCATCCTAACAGTTCACTATGCTATAGCCTCGGGAGTGTGAGTCACCTCCACAATCTGGCAGCCAACAGGGGCTCGGGAAATGGGCCTTTTGTGGAGTAGCGCATGTGAATATCTTCCAATAAATGGACCCTTTCAAACGAAAGGCAGTCGTGCTCCAGTAAGACGGGGGATAGGGTGAGGCTGAAAGTGCTCCTATCATACCGAAGTTATGTTGCTCTCGAATAAGTAGTTAGTTGTTATCTAATATAGATATTCAGACGCTTCCTGGGGTTGGCCCCCAGGGCTCTACCCTAAAGGATGGCTCAATTCAAAGGAAACGAGATGACTACCCGTATGAAGTGGAGATTGGCCCCTGAACCAGGGTCTTTTGTCTCGAGTGGACTATCCAATCGTACTCCGTCCTAACCATTGTCTACGGAGTACCCACAGGGGGCTCAAAATTCCTTCCAGCGCGTCGCTATATAGAACCTGGTAGGGCCCCGGGATCAAAGCTGTTTGCTTTTTGATTCTATTATCCCCTATCTACTGACCTTCATACAACGAAGAATTGATCCACCATCACTTTCCCACGAAACCCCAGCCATCAACATGCGCCTTCTTTCTGTTGCTCTCCTCGGCCTCGCCTCCATTGCCGTTGCTGATATCACCTCCTGGAACCAACTGTTAGGTGACATCCCGTCATGCTACAAGACCTGCCTTGATGACTACTACAAGGACTCCGGTCTGGAGACCAAATGTGGTAGCCCGGACAGCGCCACAGCCAGCTGTATCTGCAGCGTCAAAGCCCCTATCAATGATATTGCCGATGAGGCCAGCACACTCCGGTCCTGCGTCACCAGCGGTTGCTCGGATCTCAGCTCCTCGGACGAGAGTAACATCCAAGCCTTTGCCCAGCGTTACAATGAGCTCGTAACTCAATGTACTAGTTCCAGTAGCTCTACGAGTACGTTCCCCCCCCCCAAGTTTACAGTATCTGCCATATCAAATGCTCATGTATCGTCTTTAATAATAGCTCATAACGGCGCTGCCTCCAACCTGCCTGGCTTCAACGCTATACTCGCGTCTGGCACTCTCATGTTAGTTGGTTATGCTCTGTGAGCTTGAACACTGTCGGTTCCCCAGAGCACTCTCATGATGAGATCTCGATGTTATATGTATGATGCCCAGTGAGGGGTTTATTCTCTCCTTGCATCAAGTCTATCTACAACGGCCGTTGCATAGTGATACCAATACAACTGGATTTTTTGAGTTTTACGCACATCAATAGCGTGCTTAGACTTTTCAATTCTTCTATGATACCCGACGGTAGGCATAAGTTGAGTAAATACGTATGTACGCTCCCTGCTATAGATGGGTGTATCCCATTTATTCCGGCTTAGCCTCTAAGGAACAGTTCCCATGAATTATGCAAACCCCCAGATTCAAGGACTTGATCCATCATTTACTGCGCCCACTTCGTATTGGCACCTTCGCCGGTGGGAAATCCATGATAGGGGTGAGGCCTTGCATGATATGAAACGGCTGAGTTCCGATCTACATAGCCCGTACATATATATATATATATATACCCTAGTGAAAGATCTTCTGTTTCTACCTGTTTTGATGGCTGCTGGCACCTATCTAAAGCATGCGTGCTACCCAGAATTGAAGGTTGAAATCAAGGAAGCCCATTTGGCGTAAGTACTGGGCACGATTTACAGTTCCACGCGGAGGGGACATGCAGCAACATCGGTGATCCCATGAAGTCGACTTGTCCGCGACCAGCCATCCTAAAGGTGCAGAAGGGCGTGGGTCATATTTTGCTATAAGAATACTGACAATTCTTTACTTCCGAGAAAGGGGGTTTAGGGTGCGACACCTGGCCTATGTATGAAGAAAATTACCTGTCATGCAATGATTAAAATTGTTACCTCCACCGGCTGCGGTGAAGGAGATAAGAAGAAAGCGAGTAAGAGAACAGTAAGGTAAATAACAGGCAGTCTATCTATGTATAAGGTCTATAAGCTAAAGCAACAAATCAAGAGATGATATAGTATGAGAATATGTGGGAGGAAATCAAGGAAAGTAAAGGAAGGTGACACAATTTGAGAGAAAGCACGGCGAAACAACAGAGACTTAGGGAACGAGAGGAAATAAGAGAGAATAATGAGGTAGGGTCAGGGCATTCCCAATCATGCGGTGACGAGAAATGATATCTGTTGCTTGGAGGAAGTAGTCGAGAAGCAAGACAGAGAGAGAGAGAGAGTGTGTGTGTGTGTGTGAACTGGACTTATTCAGCTTTCTTGGAAGCCTTCGTTCTCAGTTTCATCAGGATAAAGACCAGCGCATATCCACTGATGGCGAAAATCACAACAATACCGCCGTTTCTCCACCCGTAATAGTAGTGGTTAATGTCGAGCGTTGATAAGAATTCGCTTCCGCTTTTGAACTCGCACACGCGGCAGTTGGAAGTAGCATCGGGGTTGATCAGATTAACGCGCCATCCCCTGCCATTCATATACTGGGAAAGATAGTCTTGACAGGTCCCGTTGAGGGGATCGAACACTGCATATTCGTCTTCATTGCAGGTCACGTCGGCACCCCAGATGCCAAAGGTTAACATGCCCGAGACCACATAATTGAATGGGTTGAGGTAGTAAAGCCAGTATTTCCAGAAAACATTGAGCTGGGTGTAGGGCACGAAGACACCACAAAACAAGAGCAGTATACTGACAACGAGTGGGTTGACCAGTGCTGCAAACACAGGGTTGGGCGCATACGCAGCGATAAACTGTCCAATGCCTGGAGAAAAATGCACAGTTAGTAATAAGGACGTTGGCCAAGAGAAGACGAGGATTAATAGCTTACCAGTATAAACAAACTCAAACCACATCATAAGCCAGAAGATTGAACCAGATCGGTTGGAATCATGAGGGAAGAGACGGACACAGTAGTACCAGCAAAGGAAGTAGAGTACAGCGCAGACAATGAGGTAGGGGAACTCGGAAACGATCAAGCCAGTGGTGAATGCAACCCACGAGTACATCTTAGACTTCTTCTCCCTAGCATCGTAAATATCACGGCGCTGGATGAAAAGAGGCTGGAGCTGGTTGATACAACCAGGGGCGACGAAGACAAAGTGGAAAACCGTGAACATTTTGAGGTGTAATGCAGTCACACTGGGACCAACTCTCCAGAATGAAAAGCCATTGAGCAAGGCACTGATAACGTGTAAGGATGCTTTGTTGTTGATATAGTTTGTGTTTCGGAACAACGAAACATTCATACGCTGAGTAACAATCTTCACCTGCTCCCACATCGGCATGGAGAACTCATAGCCGTCGTCATGGGTTCCTGGAGGCTTAGCAGCAGCCTCCGAGATCATCCCATCCAGTTCTGCCATCATGTGTTCATGTTCAGGCGAGTCGAGCCAAATCTGGTGCCAGTCCTTGTCCTTGACAGTTGCCACATTGCCGGTGACCACATCAATCATGAAATCAGCCGGGTTCGCATCGTTAGGGCATTGAGCCCCATAGCCCCCGAAATATTGTTTAATAGTCGCGGCATTGTCTCCAATATCACCAAAATAAACTGTTTTGCCTCCGCGAGCCAGGAGCAATAGCGTGTCAAATTGGGCGAATAGTTGGGCGGAGGGTTGATGGATAGTAACCAGGACCGCTTGACCCAGATCAGCGAGCTTGCGTAGGAATCGGACGGTATTATAGGCAGACTGGCCATCCAAACCAGAGGTTGGCTCGTCAAGGAAAATAAGAATGCTGGGTTTAGAGACTAGCTCTACTCCAATAGTAACACGTTTTCTTTGCTCAACACTGAGACCATTGCCAACAGAACCAATCAGGGTATCTGCCAGATCATGCAGCTCTAGAAGTTCAATAATAGTCTCGACATACTTGAGTTTCTCTTCCTTGGGTACATCTCGGGACTGGCGCAGAAGGGCAGAGAATTCCAATGCTTCCCGGACAGTGGCATAAGGCTCGTGCACATCCAATTGTTCACAGTATCCTGCCATTCTTTGGAAAGATACTGGTAGGGGACGGCCGTCGACGAGGATTGATCCTTTAATAGTGCCATCTGTCTTACGCTGGGCGAGAACATCAAGCAGGGTTGTTTTTCCAGCACCGGAGGAGCCCATGAGCGCGCCCAGCATACCTGGTCGCACCCATCCGTGAATGTTATCCAACAGGACACGATCCCCACTGGGGGTTTTGACTGTATATGTCAGGTTTTTCCAGGTGAAAATGGAGGTGTTTCGGGTCAAATCAGGTTCGACGGCTCCATTGCCGGTTTCAGCCACACGGGTTTTTTCCTTCCGGGACTCTTCATCGGCCTGTGGCCGACGCTTCTTGAATTTCTCACGGGGAATCAGCAGAGAGGCGGCCCCGGATCCATCTTTCCAGAAGGAAGTGCAAATGATCGTGAGCCCGACGAAGAATGCCCACCAGCCCCAAATAATACCATAATTCCGCCACAATTGCGTGTGCTTGTAGTGGAGCGACGAGAGATATTGATCACCAGTCACATAGTCTGCGCCAGGAAGAGCACCACCCACACCGGTACAGGCTTTATGCCCCGATGGCACATCCTCATAACCAGGACCACTCGGCACTAGGTTATCACCTTCACATGGAATGATTTCGTCGTGGAATTCATTGGCAAGGGCGGCCTGGAAGGCATAGGCAAATGGATTGGTGTAATACAATTCGAGGAACCAGTTCTTAACCTTGGGCTTGGGGATCATATAACCCGCATACATGACAATAGCCTTGACAGCTGTACCGGAGATTTTGGACGCGGCTTCGAAGGTGCTGAATCCGGCTCCGATGCAGCGAAAGAGCGCGGTGAGACACTAGGAGAGTAGGGATTAGCAAGGGCTATCCCCCAGCGAATATTGAAGAAGGCGACGGAGGTCAAAGAGCCATTGGGGATCTGTGGTCTATAACCACAGGATTTCAACAGTGATAGGATAGGGCCAAACTCACCAGGGTGATGGTGAACAGAATGAGCCAAAATGTCCAAAAGGCAGCTGCGGTATGCCTCAGCCCACTCATCCAATATATCACCACCGAAAATAGACTGCATTGGAACAATAACACGGGGAAATCCGCTGCAATCTGAGCAATGCAGAATGCCGATGGGTGATACATGGCAAACGCCTTGTGCTTGAGTAGGACTGGACGACCTTTGAATGACTCGGTGACCTCGGACATAGCAACAATACAATTATAAAGAAGAGAAAAGAAAACCGCTCCGCCCCTAGTAAAGAGACCCAGGGAGTTTGGCGGGGAGTCGTAGAAGCAAGAACCTGCAATGAGTGCCATAATGACAGAAAGGATTTGTTTGGCCAGGAAAGTCGACTTATCCCCCCATAGGATTTGGTATTGGCGAATGGTACAGGCAGTGACTTGGCTGAAGAAACTGATTGTCAGAGGGCTACTATTGGGCAAATGATTGGACTTTTCCCAGCTAACGGATTCTTTGAAGTCGGCCGTGTTCTGTTGGGCAATGCTGCTGCTGGGATAGTCATAGGCGGTTGTCATATGTTGGTAGATCTGCGAGTTCTTGTATTCCGCTAGAATCGCATCGGCATTCCGGGGAAAGCGATTTTCATAGCCGGGCTTGATTTTGCGTTCGGTAGGGACAGTCACACCCGTCAAATAATCTCCTGAACTGGCTTTAATACAGGGGAAAATGGGTTGGCCGAAGAATCAGGAGCAAAAACTTACCGACGTTTGCGCCATCTGTATAGACAAATCCAAGATCTTCCATAAACCCTTTGGCACTGGCGGCAGGACCATAGAAGATCTGCTTTCCTTCATCCAGCACCAGGACTTTGTCAAACAGATTATAGATCCCGTTGCCTGCCTGATAAAGGGTCACGATCGTGGACAGGCCCAGGATGTCGGTCATCGCGCGAAGTGACTTGGCCCATTCCAGTGCAGTACTCGCATCCAAACCACGAGTACTGTTATCCCAGCAGTAGATCGAACCCCGTGTGGCCATGCACTCGATGATGGAGACACGCTTTCTTTCTCCACCGGACACACCACGGACAAATTCATTGCCTACTTTAGTATCGGCCGTATGTGAAATCTTCATTGCTTCCAGAAGGAATTTCGTGGTCTCCGCCGTATGTTCGGCGGCGGATTTGGCCCCGTCTGGAAGGTGGAAGGGAACCTTGAGCTTTGCTGCAAAATCCATAGTCTGGCCGACAGTTAGGCGGGGGTAAAAGAGCTCTTCCTCCGTGTTCATGATAATCTGACCACGATACTTGGCCGCCTCGTCCGGGGTCATGCTTCCGAATCGCATATCTCCCGTGATGGTATGGTATCCCTTGCGCATGTTGGCGAGTAGCTTCAGCAGCGTGGTGCAGCCAGATCCCGGGCGACCTAGGACCAGCAGCATTTCACCGGGCTTGACACATCCGTGACTGTCCTGGAGAATAGGTCTGAGAGGTGGTTTGCGGAGGTACTTCTGGGCCATCTGCGGCAGATTGAATTGCGATATGACATTTTCATTAACAGAGGCCTCCGCCGTGGGGACCTCGACGGTTAGGTTCTGCCAGGTCACACCCAACTTGCGTGGCTTGAAGCCAGCGGCTTCATCCCGTTCCTTGTTGCGAACGACCTCCTCTGCCATGCCCCATCCTGAACCGCGGCCGGGGGTTGGGGCGATGTCGGTGTTATACGGCGAAGTAATAGTCTCTGCACTCGCAGCTTCCGGAACGTAGGGGCCGGGATAGGGCTTCTTCTCGTCCGATATACCGTCGACATATTCGGTACTTTTCGTCGGTGAGTCGGACGTAGACGGTTCTTCATCAGAATACTCCATGATGCCTGGGGTCGAGCAGCGTAAGTATAGTTTCTGATCCCTCTTTATTCCACGACGTGTGAGATTCAATTTGAACCTGGGGCTAGAAGAATAGTGGACAAGTCTTGGATAATAAAGAGGGATCCTAAGGAAGACGTGGAAGTGTACGTTGGCTGCTCTTCCAGACCATACGTCTCTCGTCCCAGGGGTCTGCAATTCCAAGTGGTTCGGGCTGGGTGCCGTTGGAAATACATATTTATATGTCCTCAATCTTTCTACGTGCAACTGGCCCGGGACTTGGAAGTGCTCTAGAAGGGGAGAATCTCCGGGGGCCCAGCCGCAGTTCCGGCTGTGGAGTCTCAGCTCAAAGGTATTGTATACCTGTCAATTACGAACTGCAAAATATCGCGCACTGATCCACCTTCCTAGGTAAATAGGAGACAAAAGGGGGGGGGAGGCACATCTAGCTTAGTATGGATCACTCTTTTCACACAGAGTGGATGTTGTTGTACCCGTTCAATACCGAGTTAGGTGGGCATCTTGTCATAATCCTTCCGTGACTACTGCAGGCTTTGGAGCAATAATGTCTGTCTCTGGCAGCGACTAAGTCCCGAGAGGGGCAAGATTAAGCCATGGGCGACTAAAGATAATGAAAACAATCCAAATCAATCTAACTAAATGGTGATCATGATGATATTCGTTTAGATAAGAGCCAAAATGTAGAACTATACAATCCTGTACACTAAACCACCAAGTGGGGTGGAGACGAGAGTCAGAGAGCCAGACCGGCATCATCCGAACTAATGTCGAGCCCGATCCACCTGCATTGAGAATTGATTACAACAGGGCCGGTTATGATTGGTTCTAGTCACATATTCATAGACAACCCTTGATGAATATAAGATGATAAGGACCTATAGGCGGTTCGTGCGGACCACCAGGCACGTATGTAAACTGCCGGTTTGCCGGCACTCACCAATACCTGCCCGAGTTCTAGTATATTTCTCTATTAGGCAAGATGAACCAAAAATTACACTGCCGGAGAGTGGGAAGAATGAAAATCGTTGTGGTGATTGACTACTCCTGGGTTGGAGCGAGCTGGGGGGTTCGTGACTCCGGAAAAAGCCAGGTTGAGACATCCTGAACAATGAGAGATAACATAGACAGGGAGTGGCTTTGACCATTGTGTATGAGTAAACTGAGCCATTATTTGCAAGGATGCCGTGCTAACCCAAGCGTGTCATTCTGGTTCAATTTACGGGACTGAATCTCCGGATCGCTCGCTCCGTTCGGGACAAAGCTTCGTATCCATCGATTAGGGACCTCGGTAATCGATGAACAAGATCCTCCGGGCCAATGGATCACCTTGTGTCACAGCGTTTGCCACGCGCCTTAGCATAGTCTGGAATAGCTTCACTATCTGTATTTCCACAATTTCAGTAATTCCGGCGTGGATGAGTCTGCTCTTTTGCAATTTCAACCCCCCATCCTTTACACTGGGATCCTAGACTGGGTAGGCTGGGTTAATGACGCAGCTCAGCAGGGGATGATTTTTTATCTCTTCACATGCTACGACTCAGCTATCGGGAGAAAGGAGAATGGTTGTGGCAATTTTGCGTCACTTCTGGTCGTGCAGGCACGCTGCATAAGTTAGCCGAGTTGTTGATGCGAGGTGATGATCGTCAAGAGAGTCACAAAAGACTCCATATTTAGTTGCTGGCCAAAGAGATTGCTTTCCTTGTGGGCATTCTTTTCTGTCCCGCTCAAACCGAGCAGTTGTTTGCGAGCTTACCGCAGGCCTATCAATCCTGGGAGGAACAACCTGGGAGGAACAACCTGGGAGGAACAACCTGGAAGGAACAACCTGGAAGGTCCCAGTCCATAAATGCCAATTGCTTTGATAGGCTTTCCACGCGTTTCGCCATCAGGATGCTACCTGAGTGGCTGGATCGACTTGAAACATTCTCCTAGAGCGGCAGGTCCGGGAAGGGGCGTCGAGCTATTCGTCCAAAGGGGGCTTTGCCAGTGGGTTATCTGCAGTCCCGCATCGATTCCTTACTCCAATGGCCCAGGTAGGCTGCTGGTTTACATCAGAGGGGGGGATGGGAATGGCATTTATATGAAAGGATCGGGCCCAGTGGGCAATTGTGCGAAGTAGAACCTCAATCAGTAAACCCTGGGAGTCAAAAGGGCCAAGAAGGGAACCTACCGAACATGAAGGGAGGAATCACTTCAGATTTCCATTGGCAATGGGACCAATCCCATCATTGAAGCCGAAACCAGGACCAGCACGCCCCCAGCCCATGCACACCAGCGCGGACAACCCGAGCCCCCACACCCTAGGTAAACGTACGGAGCAGGGTTGAAAACCCAAGGTAGCCCCCAGCCGTGGATCCAATACGATGGAGTAGGCATCTACCATGTAACCGTCCTTGAGCAAATGAACATCAGGGAACGGCTTGTTGAACAGGGAGAATCCTGGCAGTCGATCATGATTAACGACTGCTTCCTCCACGCCCAGATGGTCTAGATTGAATTAAGCTCCGTTCAAGCCACAATTTTATAGAACCGGCAGCCCCACATTGGCCAGACCTCGAATTAGAAACAGGGTGATCTGGACTCGGTATAGAATCCATCAGGCTGACTGGGTGGCACTGCTGCGGCTGGGCGGTTTCTGGTGTAAACCAGATTACTGGCCCTGAGGATATCTTGGTTGATCAAGAGAGAAAATCACCCACTTGGGATATAAGTCCAAATACATCTTCATGAAAAGATAGTGGCAAGCAAAGCAGGAGTATATAAATAGCTCTGAGTCTAGAAACCATCTTCATTAACCCGCATTGAGTAAGAGTAGGAGGGGTTCAGCACGGACTTCACCAATAGATGGCCGAGTAGTGGCGCCCTGAAGGATGATTCTAAATAGTCCAGGAGGTAACCTTCAATCCTCCAGAACCTCTCTCACATTTCTGAATCTGACCTTTCGGAATTGTATCGGTTTTGTTTCGGCACTGACAGGATCTACAATGCCACAGCACGAAGATCTTTGATCCTCAGAATACTAAAAAAGACTCGCGGATAATCATTAAAGATATCACAAAGATCAAAACAGACCAGTCCTGTATGGTTTAGCTCAACATCCAGGGGAAAGTAGTGTATGTAATTCCATGCCTTGACTAGCTTCTCTTTGCTATCTACGGATCAGGGGGAGTCATTTCTACACCGTAGATGATGAAGAACATCTGCAATCGAGATATTATTGCAGGAGGCTTCTGATTGTTCCAACAACCATAGAGTTAGGGCAAACCGCCTTGACTATATCACGGAAGACGGCATCCATCCTCCATAAATTCCCTCTGCAGCAACAAGTATATCCTTGGAGACTTTGGTCCGTAAGAGAAAATCCCGGAACGAAAACATACTCTGCAGATAGCTTAAGACTAGTAGCTGTATTTCTATGACAACATGCCGGTAAGTTTACAGGATGTGATGACAACAGCAATAATCTAGACTGCATCTCAGAATTGTTCACCCTGAAAGTTTCAGATCTAGCAGATCAACATGGGAGAAGATGCCGGAAAGAGTAAAATCCAGACCCAACTATTCCAGCTATTATAGAGCAAATGGGAGTCATTTCCGAGAAAATGCCGGGCCCGCAATAACTGGATCCAAATGGAGACTCCAGACACAAATAGAATAATCGATAGCAAATGGGTAAGTGGCGAGGACACAGTTGATGCAAGTGTACTTCGTCAACGACTTGACGGAAAAATGTTCCTGTTGTGTACCCTTTGTTCCAGGAAAGGAAAAAGAATAAAAGAATAAAATACAAACCCTACTTGACGTAATGTGGCAGGGGAATGATATCCAGAAATCAAAACCGTGGTGGGTGCCCTATGATGTATACAACTCTTGCGTTGTTTCAATAGAGTCAATGATCTCCAGGGACGACCAACATCATTCTAGGTAGCTTTATTACCAGCCATTTATCCTCTTTACTCGTGACTTATATTCCTTATTCAAGCAAACATTCCTCCGTTCATAGTTTGTTGAAACTTACTATATATTATATTGTTCAGCACAATGACGAAACATAAATCAATCGGAACCCCAGAACATGGCAATTTAGACCATGAAGTCCGCAGGAGGGTCCGCACAGCGTGCGATCGGTGTAGGTTAAAGAAATCCAAGGTAAGTAGGCTAGATTGAAGGCTTCCAGGGTGCTGACCAGCGGCAGTGTGACGGAGCCAATCCATGCAGTCGGTGCAAGACACACAATACTATCTGCTTCTTTGGGAAGAAGACGAAACCTCATTACCAGATGTATCCCCAGGGGTGAGGATGAGCCTAGCATTGACATTTCCTCTCATCGTTTTACGTTCGAGCTTGAGGGCTGACCTGGATATCGGAAAATAGATATGTCAACCGACTCGAACAGCAAGAGCAGTACCTAGTCTGTGGACTTCGAATATTGTATCGACAAGCTTGCAATTGCGGAGCCTGGCCTGGCGAGCCCCTGAAGTGTGAATTAAATGGACATCCTCTTACACACGACATGCTGACGCGGCTTGGGGCATTGGATTATGACAAGAATGCAGTACTTGATAAGAGTGAAGACACCATGCTACAGGAATGCCGGAAGAATAAAGGTCATACGCAGCTTCCAGTCTTCTCGAATAGTAGCCCGAACAGCGTACAATCGCTGGCACTTTCATTGCATTTTTCAGATCCCTCTCAGCGACAAATACCGGCTAAGCTGTCCGCAATCAGTGATACGTTGCCAGCGCAGAGCCCGAGAGCACTCATAAATGCTGAAATATCTTCCAACCCCCATGAAATACTTACACCAGCATCGATGGAAGAAGTTATCTGTGCCTGCCCAGTACAAGACCCGCCAGATTGGATGGCTTTTGGCTCGATTCCTTCCGACAGAATGGATACGCCAGCCGCTGCCCAACAAACAGACCTCTATTTCGATTTCGAAACATGCCCAACTATGCTTAATTACCAATTACCCACCGATGGTATTGAGTTGCCGGATAATCCTGATAGTTTTGACTTACTGTGTGGCTGATTATGCTCGGGGTTGCTCAGTCCATTTTCCGATTGGGCCTTGGGTATAGAAACCGAGATATATACAGCGTGTCATAACGAGATGATTACTGTGTCATAATCCCTCTATTTTGTAAAGCTCTAATTAAGCATTGTATATTTCCACAGATAGATAAAATAGGGGTTGCCTTCTATCAGATGATAGACCACCACTATTACCAGGAGGACTGTTCAAGACAAAGTTGCTCTTGCTGTGCACGCAGGTACCAATCGTTCGACCTGGCTAGAGCAGCCAGCGACTACAGCGACTATGGCCTACGTGAAGGATATAAGGACACTCATTCCATATGGAGATTGTTCTCAGCTTGCGATCAATCAAGTGAAGAAAGTATCCCTAAGTTACGAGCTCGACCTATGAAAAACTATAACCCATAACCATAGCATATGTACTCGGTTATCTCAGTACTGCCTGGTAAGATATATATGGTGCATATGGGTTTGGTCAGAGTGATTCTTTGGTCCAGTTGGGAGAAGCTTGTTTAAATGACTTGGTCTTGCAAAATATTCAATATAATAAATCATATCCTTGAGATCCCTAAACACATGTAGTTTAACATAATGAGGCTAGACTTTCACCCGGAGCATGGTGATATAGATCTTGTTATAGTTGCATGCGGTTGTCTATACAACCATTGCTGTGAGTTAACAAATCCCACCATACTTGGCTTGCATGATATATCAGATATTAATAGTAAATATATGGTATCCTGGCCTTGCTCTCTGGGGAATAGTATGAATTATAGCAATACGATTTATTTGCTGTATGTAGAAGAAGAGTAAGATATAAGATATAAGGGGTATATTTGGTCCGATAACCTTTTATATACCGGGTAATAATTTCGAGCTTGTTATTGCAGTTTAGGATCTAAACGAACGTAATGTCTAGAGCTTATGAATTCTAAGATGTATCAATGCTTTGACTTATACCTACTCTGCATCTCCTATCCGGATTGAAACCTTTTTCCAGGATCGAGCTGATGAAGTTATCCAGGTGATGTCACAGATGCAACAACAGGGGAGATAAGACTATTGTATTGTAAGCTTTATATGCCCAAGTTACGTCAATAAACAGAAGAACACACCTGGATTCTCCTATAAGAGGATTGACTGTTGGAATTCCTTGCAGGGTGTGTTGTATAATCTACTAGAAACGAGAGCAAAGAGCCCAAAAGATGAGATCTTCGCATTGCAGCATGTCAAGGCCAGTGATAGCAATCATATCTAGATACTTCAGATGCAGGCTTGAGGTGATCCTGAAAGAAAAACACATATGGTCGTAAAATTTTGAATACAATGAACCTAACTAAAATATAGTAAATGCCAACGCCACAAAGAAAATAATTATAAACGTATTAAGCCCTTGCAGACAAAAATTACCCGACTAGACATGAGCGGCTTCTTCATCGTATCTAGCACCGTGCAGGTCCTTGAGGCCCACCAGGAGGGCCCGGGGGTCCATCGCGGGGGGGTCCGTCTGGTCCCCACGGTTCTGGTCCGTGATGTCCTGGTCCACGAGGACCGTCCCGCGGCGGGCTGGGGGCGAATCCGGGAGGTCCATGAGATGGGGGGCCATGAGGTCCTGGGGGTCCGGGGGGCCCCGAGGACCGCGAGGGAAGCCAGGGAATTGGGGCCCTGAACCACGGCGGAATCCTGGCGGACTCTGAGAGGGGGATTGAGGCGCCTCTGGAGCAGGCTGAGCATCAGCTGGCGTTTTCACTGGCTCTGTTGGCTCTTCCTCCGGAGCGGGTCCTGGTTTCTGGACAGGAAGAGGTGATGGTTTCTCCACAGGAGTCGACGGTGCTGTGGCTGGACCAGGAGCAACAGGAGTTGCAGGTGCAGCAGCAGCAGGTGCAGAACCTACCACAGGAGTGCTGACTGGACGCGGAACGGGAAGGCCTGGCAGGCCACGGGTGGATGGCAGGGTTGGCAAAGCAATGGGCTGACGGGGAAGCGCAGGCCGGACTGTCGGGAGGGGAACGGAAACGGGAGGAAGCATGATTGGGCCGCCAGAAGAGGCGGGGATATCCTCGCAGATGTCGTGGTCGCCTGGTTGACGCAGCCAACTGCCGGCCAGGCGGATCTGCTGGAGCACAGTCCAATGATAACGGGCGTGATCGTAGGCCTTGACCGCGTCGGCACGGGCGGCCTTCTCAGCCATCTCCGCTTCATGGAGTTGGTCGTGCAGCTTGTTCTTCTCCTCCGTGAGAGAGGCAGCTCTTTGCTCCAGCCGGGTGACCGTGTTCTCCAGCTGGGCCTTGTCGCTGCGGGCAGCGTCGCGCTCGCTGTTGGCAGTGGCCAGCTGACCGCGAACGGCCTGCAGCTCGGCCACGGCGCCAGCATACTGCGCTCTCAGGGCATCGGCATCGGCTAACGCGGCGTCAGCAGCAGCATGGGCGATCCTGAGGTCGGCAACATGCTGCTGGATGGTCCCCTCAAGCTTCCGGATGGTCTCCTTGAGCTCATCAACAAGGCGCTGCTGATCCTCTCTCTCCTTGCCCTTGGCATCCAGCATTTCGTCCAGCTGTTTCCTCAGCTCGGCGATTGTCTGGTCGTCGGCGCCCAGCTGCTTGAGGATCTCAGCATACCCTTGCTGCCACGCGTCGAGCTCCTGCTTCAACCCCTCGTTTTCACCCTGCAGGTGATGTTTCTCGTCCGTCAAGGAGCGATTGTTCTCTTCTAGAGTTCTGTTCTCATTCTCCGCCTCCTCCGCGCGGCGATTCGCCGTCGCCAGCTCTCGTTCCAGCCGGTTCCGCTCCCCGTCCAGCTCGCGATTGATGTCGCCGAGACTATGCACCTGGTCTGTGAGAATGCGAATCTGGTCGTTCAGGGCTGTCTTTTCCTGTTCCCACTCTTGTGCGACGCTGCCATGGTCTCCGTATTTCTATATTGCCATTGTCAGCGATTAGCGCATCCAATGATCTCATGGATATCGATATGCATCCCTTACCTCTTGAGCCATCAAGGCCATCCATCCAAGCCGCTCCACAAACGCATCCGTCCAGGCCACGAGATCCCGCAGGTCGACGGGGAAGGGGAGCATCTCGTTGGTACCAGGGAAGAGGACAGGGCGGACCGGTTTCTGGCAGTCGAAGGTGCGCGGGACAACAGACCCGGGGGCTACGACGGGCATGCTGGGAAAAGCGGGCATAACGGGCATTGCAGGGAGAGTCGGCGGCTTCGGCAGAGCAGGTGCAGACGGTGTAGTAGGGAGCCTAGGCAGCCCAGGAAGAGCAGCAGGCGCCTTCACACCATTTGGCTTTGTTGGCAACGAAGCGAGGGGCTTCCTGGTCGTGCCGTTCAGCCCATCGGGTCTGGTTTTCATCAGCAGGGGCCTTTATCATTGACGGTAAGGGAACTGACGCTGTGAGAGCCTCGGGGTCTCCCAAGGAAGCCATATGATCGATTATGGCAGACGGTGGTGCAGTTGTTGAATTGTATGGATCCCAAACTGGAACTATAGAGCCGCAGTCCCCCAGTCTCTCTCTAGATACATATACTATGAACGATGCATTCTCAGCTCGGCAATGGTTGCCTCTGTCCTGAACTACGACCCACTGCTGACGTGAACGAGGCGAGCTGAAGAGCTGAGTTGACCCGCCTGTGATGGAGATGTATGTATATCTTTCGGGTGTACTGAAGCTGTACTCCAGCATTGACAGTACATTACATACAATACATCAGGTCCTGCATTGTATTGGAGAAGCGGGCCGGCCCTCTCTCTATCCCCAATGGTTCCAGCGGCAGAGACAAGCTCGTCAAGAATTGCGGTTCCCGCAGAAAGGATTCGCCTTGGAGCGCCCCCGCGTGTCTGACCTCTAGACTACGGACTAGAGTATATTTTAGACTCGGCTCTAGACCGAGCTGGAGACTAGACACGTAAGGACCAAGGTGATAACTAGGCTGAGCTGAATCAACTATCACTTACACTATCAAACCTAGTCTTATAACTCATAGGTGGCCACAACTCAGCACAGCTACAAGACCGCCAAAATCTTAGGGGCCCGCAAGTAATACTCCTCCATCCTATCAATATACTGGCCCGGAGGCGCCACGCAGGCCTCGAGCCCCTTCCAGCTCGCGCTCGGGGACATCTTGGGGGCATGTGCCGTGCCAAAGGCAGGCCGATCGGTCACGAGTGCGATGAAGGCCTGTAGCGCGGGGAGGGGGTTGATAGTGGGTGTTTTCCAGGCATTTCGAACCGAGGAGAAGTCTTCACGGGGGGCAGTGCCGCTAGGGGCAGTAGGCGACGCAGCACCGCCGGTAGAGCTGGAAGTTATAGTTGATGTGCAGACCAACTCACCCACTATTTCCGACGCGCGACCGAAGAACTCCTCATCCAGAATAGGGAGCTTATCCTCAGCTTCTACCGGGGGAGGGGCGGCGAGCCGTACGCCCATTGTATGCTGGATAGTTTGCTCGGAGGCATTCAGCGCTGCAGGCCCGTCATCTATTATAGATACGTTAGTAGATCGTCACACGAAGTATATATATATCACATCACGTCTTGGATGGATGGCATCAGCGTGCTTACATCTCCCCCACATGGACGCAGGGACCTGTTTTGGAACGAAAGAAATGGTGAAATCTCTCTCTGGCCGTGGCAAGATCTCGAATTCGATCTTCGATTCAATTAAATCACTATCGCGCAACTGCATCGGTCGACTGTGGATTGCCTTTGAGTCCGTGTCGAGCGATTTCCCCGCATACACTGCTGTTGAGATCGGGGTACGACTTTGTATGCTCAAGCAGAGGTCGGCACTGCGGACCAGGGAACCGGGCTTGCTGTTAGTAGGATTGCTGTTCTGCGGGATGAGTCCACTGTCCACAGCCATGACGTGGTTGTTGTCTGACTCCTTGGAGCCCTTGGACAGCAGATCCCAGAATTCTTGTAGCGTGATCGGGTTGGCTTCAGGATGTGAATTGCCAAACGAGACATGGAAGGTGACCACATGGCACGAGAACGAGGCGGTTCCCGCCATGGGAGGTCCATGAAGGTCGAGATCAGCCGAGAGACTCAGACTAAATTTCTTGGACAGCCAGCCCCGGCCCAATGTGTAAGAGACGCCGGCCAGGATGCCTATAGAGGCCTCGTAGTGCAGCGGCTCGAACTCGAGGAGAAAGTCGGCATGGGCCTCAAAGTGGGCTTCGAGCTTGTCCATGGCGAAGAGAACTTGAATCGACGCACCTGCCATGATCGCTGCGGGCGTGATGGCATAATAAGCCCCTCCGCAGATGGATATATGGGCGTCGTATGCCCAGGAAATACCTAGACGTGCCGGGGCCGTTGGGTAATGCGCCGGCCGTGTGAATGCCGGATGGAACCCGCCCACGGAGAAGCATAGATCCCCGCTGTGGCCGGAAGCAGGAGACCAGACGCCCAATGCGAAGCCGCCTGTTGGATGACATTTGGAGCTGAGCAGGAAGGACTGAGGGCTGAGTTGGCCCTGGATGATCAAGGTGCCATGGGAGAGATCGAGCGTGGCAATTAAGCCGAAATCTAGGAAGGCAAAGGCTTTATCGACCGATGGAGCGGACTGGGGGATGACCGCTGTCGCATCAGCCAGGATCGAGAGCACCGGGTCCCCCTGGGAGAGCTGGAGAGACACGACGGCTGTAATATCGACTAGTTCAAAGGCGCGCAGTTTCAGTCCTGCCGCAAACCAGAGCGCGTCCGTCTGGGGTACGATGGTCTGGCCGTCCGTGAAGGTACCCAGCATCTGCATGGGGTCGCCCGTGTTATGCCCGCTGTCGTTGGAGATTGTGAGGAAGGGGAACGTTGTGACGGCGTCGACTTTCGGTAGATTCACGACAGAATTATATCCGAATCCGCCCGAGATCCCACGCAGCTCAGCCACTTCAAAGTGCATCAAGGGGCCCGTCAGCGCGCCGAAGATGAAGAAAGACTTGAACGGCTCGCTCTTTTCGGGTTTCTTCGGCGTGACCTCGCTGTAGGCCCCGACAGCGGCGAAGCTATACGACGACATGCCAATAACAACGCCGCCAGCAAAAGTGTCGGATGTGACGGTCTCACCGGAAGTCTTCTGGTGTAGGAACAGCCCAGCAATGTGCAAGGGGCTGCGGTCGTAGGCGATGGCGAGCCCGCCGAGTGAGAAGCTGGGCTTGATGCCGTCGAGGTGAGGCAGGTGGGCCTGGGACAGGTCGAAGTGCAGGGCGAAGCCGTTCATGGCCATCTCGATGGGGCCCAGTTTGACCGTGGCGTTGAGGTGGACGGTCAGGATGTGGTCGGTCATTTGCAGGCCGATGTTAGAAATGGAGAGTGTTTTGATCTTTTTACTGACTGGGGTCATTTCGGATGCAGGTGTATCTACCTGTGAAATTTCACCGTCATCGGTCTTCTCTGTTTTCTTCACATCAGCCTCTGCAGATGATACCTTTTCAACTTCGTCAGTCTTGGTCGTTCCACCCTCTTCAGCACCAGTATTCTCCTCATTCTTTGCAGTGTCAGCGATCTTCTTGCTGGCTGGCTTTCCAAACACGTAATCAATAACAACAGTTGGCTGTCCATCCTTGTTCATGGCAAGCATAAAGTGCAGCCCTTTCTTTAACACGACATCTGTATCCTTCGGACTGTTGCTCTGCCGAACCAGTATTTCAGTCGCCTTCTTCGTATACAAGATTGCATTGAGAATGCCTATCTGTGCCGCGGTGAAGTCCTCCGTAGTCCAGATGAACCCCATCTGATCAAACGGCTGAGGCAGGTGTCCCACGAGTGGAATATTTGGCAGTTGCGGGAATTCATTGATTGACAGACGCAGGAGCCGTTTCGGTGCAGAAGGTGAGGAGGAAGGCATCTGGGCAAGGTCCAGATGTAAAGAGACGAGGCGGACCTCAAAGCCAAATACGACGCCTACGTCCGCTGACTGGGTGATTGTCAATGTGATACTGTCATCTTGCAGTTCCTCAAGGGGCACAGTGACGTTGCTCACGAAATCGGGAAGGAAATTCTTCGCCTCCACGCCGAGTAACCGTTCCACGATGCTCTGGATCGTGGTGGTCTGCTTGGCTGCCTGGGATGGGCTGGATTCCAGCGAGGCGACGAACTCCCAGTCTCCGGCACTGTCATGCTGGAAGACAAATTGCAAGAGTAGCCCGCCAACCACCAGGAATCCAGACACTGAAAGGTGGCGGTTCGACGTTCCGCCGCAGGTATAGTTGACGATCAAGGCCGGGAGACGCACAGCAGGCATCATGCGGACAATCTCATCGCGAACCGCTTGGGGCAGTAAAGAATACAGATGTGCCGATGATAGTTGGCGGGCTGAGGCCGAGATCGTCCACAGGGGAGATGAGTAGGAGAGCTGCATGGCGAGTGAACCTGAGGTAGTAGTTACTGCTGCTGCAGTGGCTATATCTGATGACGATGGCAATGGGGGTGGAAGATCCACGCTCGCTCCAATAGAAAACGTCATGGAATCTTTTTGACGGAGCATATAACGAAACGAAATGTTCAGTTGTGTCTTCTCTGGAACCATCCATTCAGGCGAGTCGGTACTAGTAGCGGACTCAACGACGGCATTCAAAGATATTTCTGTCGTCGACAGCGTCACGCCTAACGTGACAATCTCCTGCGGCACCCACGAGGGAACTTGAGCGATGGAAAACCCAGGATACAGATGCACCAGGCTCAACCTGGACTGCGTCTGTGACGAACGCTGAATGTAGATGGCGTGTTTCTCTTCCGCCGGGTTCAACAGTCTGCCCAATGTCATCTTTGGTTCAGCAGACTGACCGGGGGTTAGGTTGGGCCAGAAACGGCCCTGGAGGGAGATCTCCTTGTTGAGCAGTGACCACTGGAAGGTAAAAAGGAAGGCAGACCGGCCGGAGGGTACACCGAATGGGGTATCGACCTCAAGGGTCATCGATATCGAGGCCAAGCAATCATTGGTGATTGTCAAGGAGAATTCATGCCACATAACGGTATACTGCTTTGTGGGGGATTCCGCTTTTCCAGATGGCTTTTCATTTTCTGTTTTTGATGGCTCAGATGTTTCCGGCGTGATTCCCAAATGATTATCCAGACGATCTTTCAGCTCCTGAAACGCAGTGTGAACGCTCGACTCTTCTAGCTTCTTCTCGACATGCTCCGCAAACACCTCCAGCATCTCCTCAAACCCGACTTCTCCCTCATTCTGGATTGTGTACGTCGTTCCGTTCGTGCCTAGGAATACATACAGATCGAGTTTCGCCTGCTTGAATGTAGTTGCCGCGAAGGACACGGAGCCGGCCAGGAAGACTTCACCGTTGACTTCTGGATCAGGTCTGAACAGACCAAACCGGGCACTCTTTTTCACAGTCACGGACAGAGCCACCTCAGCATGCTCAGGAAGGAAGTCCATCAGCGTTGCTGGGATATCCTTTGGGTCCAATTCGAATTCTAGACGTAGAATGGCTTGTCGCTGTTGCGCAAAGATCCATAGGCCGTTTCGGGGAGTTCCCGTGTTGGTGAGTTTTATCGAAAGCAGACTTAGTACTTTGCTGGCCCAGGGGGAGATATGGATTCCTGCAAGAGCCACCAGGGAGCCAACCGTTACGCCCTGCGTTGGGACGTCTTTAACGCCGAAAACAATCCCTCCTTCATGGCCGAACAATTCGAGACCCGCATCGGAGGCATCCCAGGACCCGAATTGACGATGAAGAACCTCGCGAGACGTAGATAGATTGAGTTTGAGTAGAGACGGGCCTGTTGCTGGTGCAGGATGGACGAGGTCGCATTCGATACTCTCGATAGTGAGGTTGGCGGAGCCAGGTCCAGAGCCTGTCAAGGTGACGGTCGTGGTGTTGATGAACTGGGCCAACCAGGAAGATGTGGTATCGGTTGCAGTGAGTGTCGCCGTGAATGGTGCGCTCGGGGAGATTGTGAGCTCTTGTTGCAGCTGCCATGCTTGTGAAGGTAAGGCCTGGAGATAGATGGCCCCGGCAGCATTGGGAGATAGTGAGAGATGACCTCGGGAGGCATCCGAATCGCCTGAATGCGGTCGAATAGAGGTCATATTCAGATGCGGTTTGTTTGGACAGTTGTCTTCAGTATCTCATCAATAAAATCTAGTGATTTCAGTGCCCAGCTATATTCTACCGCTATCCACGATTCAGGTTTCCATCTTGCTATCTAAGAGGCATTTTAGGCTGGACTAGGCCGTCTCAATAGCGTTCCTTCACGATGCGCCACTCATTTAGGGCAAGGCGCTACTCGCTCGGGTTTACCTGAACCTGGCCGTCTAGGGCATGTGTATGCAGGTACTAATATAGACCTGTAATGAGGCCTTTTTTGAAGAAATTTCAGCCGACGGTTATGTATATACAGTATATACAGTACAACATGAATACCGTACACATCGGTACGTTCTGGCATACAAATACATACATAGTAAGCCTTCCTGTGCCTTATTCTTGATATTAGTAGGATATTAGTATTATCTTTCCGATGGAGGCTGCCGGCGACATATATTCGATCGAGAGCTACCAAGTTGCCGTCCCCGGCGGCGATTGCTCCATCCACCTGCTGATCGATCACTCCAACGCACTGGCTGCCGCCCAAGCAAGGGCCCAGAACAATGTCGTGGACTATCACTCACTACTCCGCAGCATAGACGGCCCAAAATCAAAAGAAAAACGAACGATCAAGGGAGCCGTGCTCGTGGATGGGGGCTATGACGGTGGTACAAGCTACCAAGGCAAAAAGGCGTGCGCCTCTATTGAAAAGGCCATTACGGACATCGAGAGCCGGTTTGAGCTCGGCACGGGTGGTCTGAAATTTGACGCCTGGTTGGTGACGCACTGGGATCGAGACCACTACTGCGGCACACTGCAGATGATCATCACCGACCTGACGAAGAAGTATACCGATGACCCGACGAAGTATAACCGTGACCCGAAGGCGATCAGTGACGAGAACGACACGCAACGAGCAAGGTTCAAGCATTTCAAATACCAAAACGACAACGGCCCATGTTTGACGACCCTGTATAGCCCGGTGTTTAACCGAGACGCCTACGTACCGGTGTACAAAGACCTCCATCATAAGAACCCAGGAAAAACCGACATTCCCAAAGGAAGACACTGGCGGTTGCAAAAGAGCGACAAAGACAAGCTCGAGGTGGCAGTGGTGTTGGAAAACGACGGTCAAGCGTACACGGAACTGACTTATGCCAACAAGCCGACAAAATGGATGGGGGCTATTTGCAATGTTGTTGAAGGGTTCGATGACCTTTGGGGCACAGATCTATTTACAGGCAGGCCGATCAGCAAGGCTACCCTCGCCGGCCAACCGGTGAAGTTTGAGGATGTGATCGACGTCCTCAAAGAAGGTACCAGGACCGCTCCTGTGTTCCTAATCGTCGGTGCCGAGGGCTGTCTCATCGGGGACACGATGACCAAGACGGCCGTCCTTACTGCCGGAGCCCACGCGCTGGAGAACTACATCTCGATCATCTCGCTGATCGTGTGGCCGCCTAGCGATCACAATCACCAAGGTCGCGTCTCGTACTTTAACGGGGGCGATGCGGAAAGCAAGACAGAGAAGAGGCTAGCGGATTGGATGAATAAAAAGCCTGTTGCTGTGCTGAAAACATCGCATCACGGCGCCTACACGGCGACTCCGCCGGAGTTATTGGATGCGTTCAAGCCGAGCAAGGTGCTGATCTCAGCGGGTTATGATTATGGGCATCCCAGTATGTCTCTGCTCTCTCTTCTCTTCATATGTATGGATCCCTGCTCACCTTGACTCACGACAGACTGGATGGTGGTGACGACTCTGTTTGCGTACTGGGATTCTATGGTGAAAGGAGATAAGGTCAAGGAACAGAGGCATGGGGGAGAGGGATTGGTCTTCCCCCTGCGCTATCCTTATTACCTCGAGGGCTTCCGGTACAAAGACGACGGCAAAGAACCTGCGTTGCTCACCACCAAACATCTCAACATGAATCTCAACTTGCCAACATATGAGCACTTCCCGCTGCTGAACAAACCGCTGCGAGGCGACATCCCCGGGGAACGCACGCAGATCCTCCAGAAGGCCTATGACATCGGCAGCCAGACTTTTCGTGACTGGGCTCCTGCAGAGGCCAAGGAGTTTTGCAACACTTCCTGGAACACGGTGGTGAACAACAACAGCGAGGAATTTTTCAAGAACTTTGCCAATAGTGAGGGTTGGGAGAACTTCAATGCACAGCAGAAGCAGAAATTTTGTGGATTATTCCTGCTTATCACGATCCTGGCCGAGTACTGGTCGTACATCTCGAGCGTGGACAATAAATGGGGGCGCAAGCACCTGCAGAATGGAGACCGTCGCGAGGCCATCTTCCTCTGGACACGCAGCTACGACAGCGAAGATTTTGATGGCCGCGTCGACATCATCGACAACTGGAACAAGTACACGGACACCCGCGGGCAAAAGCTCCAGGTGGGAGATGGCATCACCCGAGTGGAACAGGTCAAGCCTATCATCGGTTACGCAAACATTCTCAAATACCTCTCGTCCGTGGCAAGTAATATGCCGGGCAATGGAGACCAGATACCCTTCAACTTCTGGATCGACCCTACACCCGAGCCGGTCAACTTCTTGGACGAGGGCGACTGGGACGATGGAGACGAGGAGGAGAAAATGCAAGCGGTCGAGATAGTCGAGGGCGCTGCCAAACCAAAAGAGTTAGGGCAAAGTGAGGAACCCAACCCGCCGGAGACTACTGTCATGGACGAAGAGTCCCCTGTGGTGATGGCAAATAAAAAGAAAGATAAACTGCTGCTGGCATTCATTAACGGGGATATGCCCGTGGACTGCCAACCAGTCTATGACCACCTCAACTCAAAGGCATTAAACCACCCTCGTCCAAAAATGAGCGACGCGGATAAAGAAGGAGAGACGGGGAACAACAGTCCGGGCAATGTTCAGGACAAGAAGCTGGTGATTATAGGAGACAAGGGAAAGGAGGGGAAGAAGGCCAATAATCCCTGAAGAGCTGAATCTTCCTGTTGTGTGTTGTTAGGCAAATCCTTCACAAGTATTCTGCCCCATAGTATATAGGATCTAACTGTACATAACATCCAATATATACCTATTAAGGCCTCTCACCTCCATTGGCAATCCTCTCTAGTCACTCCAACAACACCCCTAACCCTCCCAACATCCTCATATACGCCCTCCTCCTCCGTTGCCCTGAAATAAGCCTCCTCAACCAGCAACGGCACCCGCTCACAAGGCAAGGGATTGATTTTCATCTCTTGCAAGAGAAAGCTCAGCTGCGGATGTCGCAGAAGATGCAGCGGGTACTTCTGTACATTCAACGGCGAAATAGTCACCCCCAGATACCTCTGATCGTGTCCATCTGTCGCGTCCTCCAAGCTCCAGTCTCCCTGTAGATCAATCCGATGTCGTTTCCCCATGACCAACCTGCAGGTGATATCCCATAACCGTCCCGGACCGATCATACGCATCTTTGGTCGGGAGGTGATTGGTTGAAGGAGGTTGGTGTTGATCGTCCCCATGGGCAGATATACGTTCACCTCTCCGAGATAGAGATCTTGACGCACGTCTGCGATGGCGGTGAGGGAGAAGAGGAGGTCTAGGGTAATAGGTGCGCCGGCGGGGAGATTGCGGCGTGGTTGTTCGAGAAGAGGCGAGCAGATCTTGCTTAGTTGTGAGCTTGTTATCGGGAGGAGATTGTTGTATGCGGCGTCATTCTTAGGTATGGAAGGGATCGCGGGCTTCAGGGCATCGAGATTGAAGCCTTGGACCGGGGGGAGGAGCGCGGCCTTGATGAGCGGGGGTTCAGGGATGAAGGGTGTCTTTCGTTTCTTTTTGGGCTCTTTATTTTTCTCTTTGTCGGGCTCCAGCTTGTTCTCGGGACTCGTGGTGACTGGATTATTCAAAAGGCGTGGCTGAAGGGGTTGTATGCCGCCAGGTCTTTTATACTCCATCCGCAGCATGAGAATCTCATCGTTCAACTGTACACCGACATACGCAGATGAATCCTCCTGGACATCAGACAGGTCTTGGAGAACCTCCTTGTTAATATCCTGGCAGCATTGAATGAGCTGTTTGATATCAACACATCGTATGGTCCAGTCGTATATTGCTTTCAACGGCACATCTTTGAATCCATCGGGATTCTTGCACTTGAATACAGCCGTGTTGCTACCAGGCGTCCATATAGCTCGATTGTCACTGCTCTCAATCCGCTCCCTAGCCTTCTCCGATTCAGTAAGCGTGAAGAGCTTGAAGGCCATCTCCAGTTTCCCACCCGCGAGGTCGTCGCCCAGCGAAAAGCGCTGGTGGTGGAAGGGCTGCATCATGATTAATGCCGCATCCTCTGTCGTCTCAGGCGTCTCACTTTGATAGTAGATGAGTGTATCTTCACTTAATGTGGCGAAAGCTGCTGGTAAATCTGTGGAATCTTTGTGTTCTCTCTCGATCCGGAGATTGGGATATGCGCGCACGAGCTGACTGCGGAGGACGAGACCCCATCTTGGCCGCCAGGAATATGCCGTGTCTGGCTTTTGATCCTTTTGCATTGCAGTCAAATAGACGTTGAAGCTACTGCGGATTTCGCGTTTGACCAAATCGTCACTTGTCGTCGAGTGGTTGGCGATGCTGAGTGCGCCATCGATCATCGCATCAGTCCAGTTCTCGTCGATATAAAACGTCCGTAAAGCTTCGAGCGGGAGCACAGCCGGGTCGGGGAAGAGATAGATGGCTGGGATGCCTTGGAGGGCAAGTTTCTTCTGTATCCATTGCAGGACGAACAGCCAGTCAGTGGATACTTGATTTGTCTTGTTCTCAAGTTCGTGCTGGGCTTGGCTGGTGGCCATATCCGCAAGCCATTTCCGAACATGATCTGGAAGAGCGGAAGAAGGAGAAGCTAAAGATGAGGATGATAATGAAGAGGAAGACAAAGAAGATTTCGTATTCGCCCACCGATACACACCAGTGTAGAGGGCAGGTCTCTTATGAGTTCTCTTCAAAGCCGCAAAGGTATCCTTACTTTTACTCTTCTCTGGATCTTTGACTGCTTGAGCCATGATATCGCTGCGCAGTCGGAGCATCGCAGCCGTGAATGCCTTGTCGGCAATCGCGAGATTCCGCCCCAGTTCCCACGCAACGCTATAGCTCACATCCATGATCCCCGTGTGAGGATCAAGGATCTGCAGTTCTCGTCCCGCTACGCTGGGCGGGCATTGGCCTGGCGGAAGATAAGAGGGCGTTAATGGGCCGCGGTAGAAAGCGACTGTCGCCTCCCCAGTAAGCGTGCGGTGGCGGGTGAGTGTATACCCCTGACGCAGTCTCTCGACCAGCCATGAATTGGCTACATCTTTGGCGAGATCATTGAGAAGGCTCTTCGGTCGACAGAGAGGCTGTTTGTCCTTGTCCAGACTGCAGAGAATGTCGCGATAGCTAATCTCATCGCCTGGTGAGATGCGGTATGTCCACGCGTATAATGAGACCACCCCGATGGTTTTTACGGAGTCAGTCAACGACCGAGTCTTCAAATTTTCAACGATGCCATCGAGAGATACTAGATGCACGTAGACGGTCTGTTCCTTGCCATCGACAGGTCCTGTCCGGGGTGAGACCACAACACTAAAGGGATGTTCGTCGGGCGTGTCGGACACATGCGCACTGCCTGCCACAGCAACACGGCGGACGTGCGAGAGATACGCGAACGTGCTGATATTACTCATGATAAGATGCTCGAACAGCTCGCGCTTCAATACAATATAGCTCGCGACAGTCTCATCCGCAGCGTCGAGATCGTTAACGTTCGGACAGCGAAAGGAGCTCTCGGCCTTGTCTGCCTGCGCTAACTGCGATACAACCGCTGACAAGGCCCGGGTTGCTGAGGGAATATTTTTATTATTTGCTAGAGGAGTAACCTGTAGCTCATCGGCGGTAAACACTAACAGGGCCATCCAAGTCGGCCGTGTAGGCTTCTGGTCATTCTCGTTGGCGTGGTTCTGATTTTCAGGGTCCCCCGATCTCTCCCACGGTAACTGGGGATCGTTAAGAACGACATGAGGAAGCACCCGGGCATGCTCTGATGATCCTGGGGCAGGATAGATGGAATGGATATCGCTGGGAGGGAGGGTGAAGCGAGGGGCATCGACCGTAAAGCGAATCTTAGAGGTTTTCAAGGGGAGCTTTTGATTCCCGCTGGAGAGTGATTGTCTGGCCGTTAACGTATACAGTCGGTGATCACCTGACGCCCGGTCCCACCTGACGCCCGATTTCCCCTTACTAACTGTTTTTTTGATAATTTTCAATAACTTATATCTTAACTAATATAGGTTTAATTAAAGCCGCGATAGAAGCAATCAACTTGTTAAAGATTAGTGATTTAATTAATTATACTAAGATTGTGAAAGAGTTTAGTATTAATTAGATAATACTATTAAGATGCCACTACAGGGTACAGCATTCTAAAGACTACTAATATAAGTAATAGTAAGTTCTTACTAACTAATATAAAAAAGAACTAATAAACTATATTAATAAGCTTACTAAGCAAGACCTCTTTATATCCTATAAGATACTTTAGAATTTTATAAAGGAAATTACTAGTAAGAAGCCTAAAAAATACTAGCCTGGGCACTTTATAAAGTATTATTAAGATAATCTTATCTTAACCTATATAATAGCTATTAATACTATATAAAAATAAGCTAATTCTATATATAGATATACTCTATATTTTAAGTTATTAAGCTAGAAGATATAGTAATATAAGCTATAGCTAGAGAATATTTATAATATAAATAAGAAAAGATTTCTTATTAAAATACTAGTTAAAGATCTTAGAATCTTCTTAAAGTAGAAATATATAATTAGAGAAGAGCTTAAATAATACCTATAAAATAAAAATTATAAGTAAATAACTTTAATTACTTATATTTATACTAATAGAACCTCTTTCTTACTAGATCTTATTTACTAGACTTTTACTAGTAATATATAAGATTCCTAGCTTCAAGACTTTAATCTTAAGCTTTATTCTTACTTCTTTACCTCCTCTACAAGTAATTAGACTAATAATAAGCTAGAATATACCTAATTAACTAATATATTTAACCACAAGACTAAGAACAAGACATACAGGTAATAGAGGCTTCTTATCCTTAATAATTATAGATCTTACCTTACTATAAAGTTTATTAATTACTATAATACTAATAAGATCTTATTAATAATATATCTACCTTATTTAACTTATTTATTATAATTACTTAATATTAGGATCTTTAGCCCTCTCTCTACTACTTATAGTAAGAATCTTAAGGACTTTCTATATAAATTAATAGGCCTTAGTTATATTACTAAATAGGACTTTTTCTACCTCTTCTAGCTAGCCTAGGAACAAGCCTTATTAATAAAAAATATCCTTTCTTTATAGCAAATTATAGGAATATAGCTGCTGAATCTAGAAATAATTCTAATTTAATTTAATAAGTAGAATAACTCTAAGCCCTCCTCAAGTAATTTCTTATATTTTATTCTATAGGTAGAGGACTAGTAGAAGATTAAGAAGCTTTTAAATTAAGTTATTACTAATATATATAATAAAAATACCAAGAAATTAAGCTTAATAATATATTATCTCTCTATAGAGAATATTATCCTAAAATTATATTATTAAGGCCTTGAATTAGCCCTCTAGAATAAGAAGAAGAAGTATTAATATAGAAAACTCTTATAATTTAAGCTTATGGCTCTTAAAAATAATAGTATAGTTTTTTACTTTTCTTAAAAGATTTAATAGGCTTATAATCTTTAAATATAGAAAAATAAAGTTATATAACTTACTAAGGTATTAAAGGAATAAGAAAAGGTCTATTAATAGCTTGTTAAAGAGGAGAAATAATACTTACTTAAAAAGTAAAAGAGAAATTAAGTATTCTAGTAAAAATTATAGCTACTAGAGGTAGAGTAAAAGAAATAATAAAAGGAGGATACTTATCTAGTAAAGGAGGTAGATTACTAGCTTTAAAATAACTTCTAGCAGGTAAAGAAGTCTCTAAAAAAGATTTCTAAAGCTTTATACTAGCAAAAATCTATAGAAATCAGGCTAATAATACTTATAGAAGTCCTAGAGGCCCCTCTAATAGTAAATTATTAAGGCTGTGAGATCCAGCTCCTATAGTACTTTTAGACTAATTAAAAACTATATATAGAGTCTTAATAATAACTATATTTATTTACTAAAAGATCACGTGATAATAATAATTATATGTGGTTAAATTACTTCATATTTAATATTGCTGGTGGTGGTGAAATCGGGCGTCAGGTGGGACCAGGCGTCAGGTGATCACCAACTGTACGTAGTGTCCTTGGCCCGGAGGCCAGGCTCGAAGAAGGAGTGCAGCCTCATGAGGAGTTTGTCTATACAAAAGAGCGCAGTAACCCGTGAAAGAGGCCTGGACAATCATATCTAATGGGCTTTATTTATATGAATCGAGGATAGTATAGTAGCTGTATTTACAAAGGTACGGTAAGCTGTTACCAGTATCTACTAGTAATATCAGGATATCTATAATAGTACAGTACATTACAAGCTCCGACTAGTAGTATCAACGACTATAGTCTGCAGGATACAGGGCGCCACCAGCTGAACAGGTGGAGTATACAAGAGACAGGTGCCCGTGCCCCGGAACAGGTAGTCCATGGTAAAAATAGCCGAGTCTATAGTTGCTCACATCCACAGTGTTATATACTAGAGGAGTCTAGTCAAGACATTCATTCTCACAGCTCTCTAGACTGGACGCGCTCGGCTAGAGACGTGAGACGAGGTGAGATGCCCCTCGCTGTGGTCATCCCCCTACAGGTTGACGCCTTCCAGCTCAACGAAGCCGTGATCAACCAGGGTAAGGCCTTTATCGCGCCCTTCTCACCCCCCGACTACTCCTCTCTTGAACCCGGCCCGCGCCTCCAACACGATGCGATCCCGCATCTCAGTCTGCGTGCCTCGTTTCCAGCGAGCATCAATACCCGTCTGTCGGATCTCGACACAGGAACGGCACGACAAGACCGGCTAGGCATCTACCTGCACTGGACGGTGCCGAAGCCGTTTCGTGTCGGTGTCATGGCGACTGAAAGTGCACAAGGAGCGGCACATACTGACAAAAAGAAAGAGAGGGGAATATCTGGAGATTCAGAAGTAAGACGCGCCCTATAATATTAACGATAGTCTTGAATCTCACTGTAGATTGTAGTTCACTGCACTTCCAGACAGATGGGTCATTATCCGCCGTGTGGATGAAAGTACCCCCACGCTTCGCACAGGAAAATATTTAGCATTCGTCGTGGAAAGCAACCGGATCCGTCGCCTGAACGTGAATCCAACCGACCTGGCTGGTTTGGATCTCGACACCGAAGCGGCCCCCTTTATAGACCACAAGGGGACTCCTGATGCACAGCATGGAGTTCTCCTGGGCATCAAGCACCGGTTATCACAGTGGAGGGAGCAATTAAATGATACGGATAGTGCGAGTACGACTACAGATTTCCATCTGCCCCTGACACTCGCAGACTCGGCGAATCCGTTGTTCACGGATTTTCAGCACCACGGGATGAATGTTTTTGGCGTGCATGATGATCTGACATACTTCTCAGCAGAAAGTAATAGTCTGTGCACGCTTGAGGCAGCGCAGATTTCGTATCAGGTTGTGGGATACCATGCTCTACGTCGCTATGACCCCATTGCGACCAGTTCTGAAGCTGCAAGCACAAATCAAGATCTTCTCTCGACACATGGACTGTCATTGGCTGTGAAGGAAAAGGCAGTGTCCAGAGACGAGAGAAAAGAAGAGGAAGAAGAAGAAGAGGAAGAAGAAGAAGAGGAGGAGGAGGAGGAGGAACAAGAATGGTTATCAGATGATTGTGGGATGCTGCGCTCTCTCTGTCATGGCACGGTAGATCTCCGCTGGTCCCGTAAGAACAGACCGGCAATAGTCCCCGCCGACAAGGCTGCCGAGGCGTTTATACAGTCCCATCCGGTAGCAATTGGAGCAGATCTGGTCGACGCGATGGCTGCGATCTTCGAGGCGCCGGCGAAGGAGACTCAGGCGGATCCGGCGCTGGCAGCAGCGTTTCGGCATCTGCAGGTCCTTGCAGCGGATCCGGCAGATGAAGGGAACGATAACAGCAAGACGCAGCAGGGGAAGACTACGGGGTTCAAGCCGGTGCATGGAGGACATATCTGGAAGGTGAGGAGTGAGGGCAAGAATGAGCCCCAGGCATCCAGTCAGGCTTCAACCATAACACCTCAGGCAGCTCAGGCACCCCTTCTGCACCAGCTGAACGCTGCTCAGCGTCTTTTCGATGCTGCCCATCGACACTCTCGCCTCCTGCAGCATCTGCTGTTCTGCGAGTGGTGGAAAGCCCGAGCAGCCGGATTCGGTGATAAATCCGATGGGGCTGGTGCTGCTGCGACTGTCGATGATGACGGCTTTGAGACCATGGGGAGCTGGTATCGGGAGCATCTGCCTGAGACACGCACGCGAGTGAAAGAGATCCTGACAGAATTACTTATATTGCATCTGAGAGAGAAAGAAGAAGAGTCCTCTGGTGGGACGGGGGAACATAAACGGCCAGGACTTGTAAAGGCTCTTCAAGATTTGATATCATCGCTAAGCAAAGGGAACCCCGTTGAAAAGATCGCGTCCAGTCGCTTCTTCAGGGCGCAAGACCCGATGATTCTCCTCTCGGATATGGAATCCGGGTGGCCCGAGGACTCAGAGAAGGATACGATCCCCGTTCAGCTCAACACGCAGTTTTCACGGCGCCAGACAGCGTTAGCTGGCCAGGATGACGCGTGGCAGCTGTTCCAGAATGAGCTGATTAACTTGCCTTCATGGGTCCATGCCTGTGTAGATGACCTGCGGCACGGATGGACAAAGCCTACAGGGTCTGGCGATGATGATTCAGCACAAACATGGTTCCCCCTGTTCATCGAGTGGGAGGCTGATTACTTCCATATCCCCTATCAACACTGGATTCTGGAAGAGACATCTTCTGGGACTGTCCGCTACCGGATCAACAAGAGTGTCGATCTTGCCAGCGTGGCAGAGACAACTCGCCGCGGACTCAGCGGCAGGGGTAATCTCCTTCCTGAGGGTGCGCGTGCATTAACCACCCTGGTCGAGCAGGTAGTCAGCCGGTCGAGTCCCGATCTGCTGGAGAAGATCCTTCCCGGCGAGCAACGGAAGGCTGTGGACCAAGCGATTGCAGGGCTAAGCAATGTTCTCTGTGCTGAGCTGCAGGGGCTCGCCGACCATCTGCTCACGCTTGTACGCGGAACACACGCGATCCCGGGTCCGAACGCTGACAAAAAGGAAACAGCCTCGAGCTGGCTGTCAACCCTGTTCCCCCGGCTCTCTGTTCACGATCATTCGGCAGTGCTGCAGTTCCTTGCCGCGGGTTCCGGGACCGACGTCACCCCTTATACAGCCTTGTTACCGGTCCAGGGTGTATCCCGAGAAGGAGAAGAAGCAGACCTTGCCCTTTTTCACCCCGTTACGCATGGGCAGGTCCGGTTCACGAAGTTGAATATCATTGACAAGTTCGGCCAGGTGGTTTGTGCGTTTGACCCACGGCCTGGTCAACCGTTACGTCCGATTTATCCCAGCGTCAGTCAGGAACTGGCGTGCCAGCGCAACGAGACATTACCGGGTCGAGCATTTGCGAATACAGTGCTTGCAGAACCTGAGGGCCGCTGTCAATTCTTCCAGCTCGGCCCGCGCATCAATCAGGATGCACGGTTCAATGCAGTGTGGGTGACGAGGACAACCTTATCCACGAATGATCGGGGCAATACTTCCACTTCCTCCTCCTCCTCTTCCTCCTCCTGGAGGCCCTTGCTAGAATGGGAGTCACCGATCTGGGGGTGGGTGGTATGTAACTTCCAGGACGAAAGTCTGCAGATCTTGAACGGCGAGGGAGAGTTGTGCGGTGAGATCCTCATATCGTCGAGTCTCTGGTTGAACGCGGGGGGCAACCTGGCCAAGACAACTCCGGATACGACCAATAAAGATCTCGCAGCGTTCATGGCCCGTTTGGCTGGCTCGACGGACTTCCTCGGCCGTGTGTGGGAGATGGTCGTGGACGCCAACGAACATATCCATCATGCCCCCGGCGAGGCGGATTCCCTCCCAGCGCTCATCGGACGGCCTCTAGCGCTTGTCTCGATGGGATGGTCATTGGAGCTGGCCACGCGGCCGATGCCCGACCAGACCGATTATCCTGGCAGGGCTACTAAATCTTTGCTGGATTATGAGTTTGCGTTGAAACTCGGGGATCGGCACAGTCTGCACGACGGGCTGGTAGCGTATACTCCACTGGAGGAGGACAATTCCACTTTTGACTTTGGCAAATTGTTCAGTGCATATGGAAACAATCCAGCCAGTTCCTCTTCAGACTCAATACTTCCAACACAGAACATCTCCTTCCACCCCTACTGGATCAACCCTACCGATTATAGCTCCTCGACGAGCGACGCCTTTGCTACCGCTCATGCAGAAAAGCTGCAGATATACGCCGCTCTAATCGATCCGTTCCAAGGTGTCAACGGCTTCTCGGGGATCCTGCCCACGGCCACGCTGACGGTGCCGCCCTGGGCGCTCGACCGGGCAGTCAAGGCCATGAAGACCGTTCTCCGAGCTGGGCCGTTGTTGATTCCGGGAGATGTCAATAGCACGGGAACCACTACTACTGGTACTGCGCCGGTGGCTCTACCGATTGATCCACCACCCGGGAGCTGGATGTGGATGCAACCTGTGGCCGACGGAACTGGAAATGCAGTTAACCAAATGTTTGGACTGACGGCGGCATCCAAAGAGTTTGCCGTTGCCGATGGGCTGCAGACGGTTGTGGAGGGGTTCATGCGGACTAGTTAGAATCATTAGAATTGGATTCTTTTCCCTGTTCTACAATAGGATAGAGTAAGCAGGGTACAATCGATACAATATCCGGATAATTGCCTTGCTAAATGCATGAATCTTCCATGGGATGGTTTTTGCATCATCTAGATCGCCAGATTAATCTAATCTTATAATTCACTCCTTCCGTTCACCCTATACACAGTCTATATCTCTAATTCTAACACTGTTCTAGCAAAGTCTATCATTTAGCTCTTCCAAGCGCAACCATCAATCACTCCTCCAGTCGCAGGGACCCGCGACCCTCCGCTTTGTCCAGTGTATCCGCAATCCACGATCCGTCTCCTTCAAATAGCATGGCGTCGTAGGTTGTGGCGCCGATAATACAGCCGACAATCGGGGCAAAAAGCGGAACTAGAAAATAGTAGTTGGCTGCGGTAAAGACTTCCCTGCCATAAATAATTGCCGAGAACAATCTCGGACCAAAGTCTCTGGCGGGATTAATAGCCTGATCACGATTTACCATTGCATTAGTTATCACTTCGATCATCTGGTGAACCGGGAAAAAAAAAAAAAAAAAAAACCTACGTAACCAGTCTGCCACCCCAAGGCCGCCCCGATCATCAGCAGAAGCACGAAAAGAGACATCTGCGGAGCCGGAAACCGATGGGCATTCCCTGGATCTGAGATACTGAGCGAGCCAAACATCAGCACAGCGGCGCCCAACATCTCGGAAAACGCAGCCTCCCAATTGGATTCGAAGACGGCCGCGGGATAGGTCGAGAAGATCCCGGCAGAATGGTGGCCGCGCGGGCTCAGGATTGATCCCCCGGGAATAGTATATTCGGGGTCCCAGGCATGGATGGCGGAGCGGTAATTGATGTAGACGATGGCAGCACCCACGAAGCCGCCCAGGAACTGTGCCGCCAGCTTGGCCGGGATCCTTTTCCACTGTCCTGCCGATGGACGTACGATCGCCAGGCAGAGAGTCACAGCGGGGTTGATGGTTGGGCTAGGATCGGATAAGTAGCAGGAGAGACAGACCGCCGAGGCCCAGGCGAGGTTAATGGATAACCAGGTGCCATATTGGTAGTCGGACAGCAGGCATTGGGCGACGACTCCATCACCAATCACAATCAACAGGGCAGTACCGAGGAATTCGGCCAGATATGGCTTGAACGCCTGGCGAGGGATCATCTCGATTCACAATGTGGGACAATTGGAGAAGGAGGAGGAGGAAGAGAAGGAGAAATTTGCCAGGTGTTGTTGATTTATTGCCCCAGTCAGCGGTGACGTCATATTCTTCGGAACTGCCCCATCCGGGATACCGAGATCTTAGAGCGGTTTTTATAATTACAGCTTTACTATCATGGGCTCAGATCTAGAAAGAGTCACTTGTGTCCTAACCTAATAACAGTCGTTGTCCTTTTGCCAACATTCGCTCCAGCCAGGAGATCATGATTCCTGAATCGTGCAGGGCCCATACATCTTCAAGCAGCTCAATCGCCCATAGACTCACCGGGCACCGGTTGAGTGAATAGATCACCCGAAGGCGTTCCTGCACCCATTGTCGAAGAGACACCTCCTCCTCCGTCAACTCCGACCCGGCAATGATCAGAGGAATAGACTGAAAGTTTAAAGACCATGAGGTAGATGGGACCTTCATCAGGTAGGCCAGGGTGTCTCTGGCGTGCTGAACAATCACGCTCCTCCCTTCCGATTCTGTCAGATCGCGGTCGAGAAGGGGGATGTGGGCCCGGGCGAGGGAAATCATCAAGAGACCTTGCTTTCGGTATGCTTCGGCCAGCAATGAGATGGGCTGGTTGCTATGCTTCGGCGCGCTCCAAAGTAGCAACTTGGTTTCCAGTTCGACTTCGAGGAATGGGTCACGTCGTCCAGTGTCTAGCACCTTTCTGTAGTACCGACCAACAATCCCCAGGAGATATAAGATTTCTGTGCAGTAGCCATACATGGGATGGTAGGAGGTGCCAATTCGCTGGACAGCATCTGCCATCAACGGCGTCCCCAAGGGGGTTTGCTCCGAGCTATGTACTAGAAAAGATGTCGCCATGTCCCAGAAAAGATAAACCCCGACCATGAACTGTGTACTCTGGCTGATTTCGCTGGCGGACTGCCGGAGTTCCAGGAGACGCTCTAAGATCGTCCGTGCGCCTACGAAATGCGCGTGGCCAAAATCCATCACATCATGCTCTACCCAGTAAGATGAACATGCCAACAAAATGGTAGTGAAAAAGGCGGCTTCTGTGCAAGATTTCTCGGAGATTTCCAAGTCCTGGCGAAATTTTTGCAGAGCTTTGCCTCTTTCCTCGAGGGCGATGATAGGACCTCGACATGGGAAATAAGACTCGTGACTCGCACTGAACGATTGGCAGATGTGCAACAGGGAAGGAGATTCGGCGAAATATCGGGTCATCAGGAAGGAGAGGGAGTTTTCATTGGGGTCGATCGCCATCATTTGGCTCGTCTTCTCAAACCAGTGTTGCATCAACCGCTTGTTCACGATATCCCCCAGGGCCAACAGCATGCAGGGGACTTCAACCTGCCATTGTGTGAGGCGTGGAACAGACCTACAGATGAATCCGCGACGTTCACATCGGCGGCAGACGGGGTAGGTTTCATCACACTTGACCCGATGGGCACGGCACTCCCGACAACCCTGGCGGCTTCGCTCTCGAGAACGCTGCTTGGGTTCCGGTTGATCAATCGAGTTAGGGGCTGGAGTATTGTGGAACTTGATCGGCGCAAAACGGACCCGTAACTTTGATGCCACCATGACGAACAGGGAGAGGAGGTCTTTTTGTATTTAAGAGGTGTTATTTGGAGGGAGTTGACTGCCATAATGGAGAGAAGATTAGGGATGACAAGATGAGGCGGGGAGAGACAAGAGGAGCCCCGATAAGCTGATCCATTACCCGATTATATTAGCTAGGTTAAGCGTATCACGCGTAGTAGATAAGCCAGTGATTCTGATATTGATCCCGGGGAACCGCCGCTATCCCGGAGCCTGCATTCCGGGAACAACCTCCTCCCCGGTACCAAAAGGCGAGGAGACAAAAGGACAAGAAGATTGACTGGTAGGCCATCTCGATCTTCTCTTGGACTGACTATCCCTTTGACCCCAAGTTGGTCCACCAGACAGAACATGTCGCGGTCATTCTGGCCTTTACAGAAAAGTGAAGCTCAATGCGGGCAAGGAAGTTGAAGGCCACCTAACCCGTCCAGTGCCGCTCCCCAAGCCATGACTAAACCGCACAGGGAGTTACGGATTCTGTACGGGATACGGAGTAGAAGATTTGCCATTCCAGTGGGGACACTAGAATATAGCGCTATTACTATGATAACACCAAGTCCAAAGTAGTCCAATAAAGCCGCAGGACGCCCCAGGTTTCCGAATAACGCTATCCAGGTCAAATCCTGGATCCCGGGCTCGGAAACAACGTGCAAAAAAAGAAAGAAAAAAAAAAAAGGTATCCGGAGATCCATATAGGGACTACCAATTTGAATGACCATTAGACGTGAAAAGAAAGAGGTTCTTAACAGGAGCTTAGAAGAGCTTCCTTTGCAGAATATAATCCATTTTCAGATAATAAGAATCTCCGCCGAAAACACTGATATAAAATTGAATGTTTTCAAACTGTTTTCATAGCTTGATTTTGGTATGACTCGGGTATTTTATTCTGTATTGGTTTAGTAGATTGCATATTATTCTAGTGCGATATTCAAATTATTGTCCCCTATGTACTGGAATGGCAAATCCCACAGCATTTATCCATATCGCCCTACAGAATTAGGATTGGTCCAAACCAAGTGGCGTCTCTTCCTGCTCCGGGGGTTCGATTCGGCTGCTGCAATGCGTCATATTTTGTGGGTTTAATCAGTAGGATGTCCGTCAACTTTCAACATATATGGTCCCAATGTGGAAATTTCTTAATTCTCTACTGGGAATTAAATACCGTCAAACAGGGTCTCCCATCCACGCCACTAATGGCACATGCGATGGATACTTCTCCCGCCTTCCGGAAAGAAAGCTGCTCTTTCCCAATCAATGACCCCCGCAACTGCATCCAGATTTGGATGCAATACAATGTTTGAGAGATCCCAATCCATATGTGATAATACTGGTAGACTAGAAGGGTTGTCTTGGTGTATTATCCCAAACTAGACCTTTAAAAACCGTGACGCCTGGGATTCTCTCAAAAACATTGAATCTATTCCAATTAGTTACACTTTTGAACCATACTTGAATTACTACTTACCCATTCCCTTTGTGTACGAGCTTCGGTGCTGGAATACTCGTGTACTGACGAACAATCTCCAGCGTGCGTAGTTCATTTTCATAATTTTGCGAAATTGTCAACAGGTCAGGCTGATAACCATCAAAACCAAGCTCACCAGGCTCGAGCCTTTTTTTCATAACATGGTCCGCGAGCATGTAGATATATCGATCAAATGGTGGAACAGGTAAAGCTTCAGGCCTGTATTTCTCTAGCCATTCCTTGTCTGTTGAGTATATTATTTCGGTCTTGTGGCAGGGGAATGAATATTGATTCATATAGAAGGAGGAAACAGAGAATAATATTAGTCTATAGCCATGTATCTTATAAGGGCACACGAGCCCTAAGATTCCTGGGCCGTGTAACCCTGTTGACGAATAATCAAAGTAAGTCAAGTACTGTGGCTGCTTATCACACTCACAGACCATGATTTATTGTCTCTAGCTTCCAGCTTAATGAGTGCCATGGTCTGGAAATGTCTAAATTATGGAAATTAGAATGGAACCGGGAACGGCACTTGTGCATGTGGCTGGAAGAGCGAAGTTCTAAATAGTGGAGGATTTAAGATATTTAATATTTGAGATTTGCCATAAATATCTAATGGGGTAAGGCATTTAAATACCTCGAAAATCTATTCTTGCAAGACCTTATGACATCTTGTTTATAGTCTAATCTAAGGGCAATATAGAAGCTACTATAAGAATTAACCAGTCTACCGCATAATATATATTACAGGATTCTATCAATAAACATAGTTTCTTTATATTAGATGATTATTTTGCAGGAAAAAATCCTTATCAACACCTATATAACCATACAGTTAGTCTTACTGCCAAAAAAATTCATAATCATTGGTGTGTAATATAACAGGTATCTGCTATTAATGACTCTGGAAAGGGCCACATCACTCTTACTTTATCTGGGGTTCTTTCCCCCGCCATCACTCGATGAATAAGGATAATAGCTCCGTATTCTGCCTTTGTTTTTCCTGAATATCAAGCTGTGGAGCCACCCATCTATCGGCATCAGTGTCCAGGGATTCTTGAGCAAGCTGTTGCACCTTATTCCAGACTTCATATTCAGCAAATTAGCGTTCGTGCGCACTTATCTCCTCGTTGCTAAATGCATACGGGCATTTTCCAGTGAACCCCAAACTTGACCAGTTCTAAAAGATCTCTATTAAGCATTCCCGGAGTAGGACTAATCCAGTGTCAGATATTTCCCCACAGTGGATAAAAAGTTCTTGGAAAACGCGAGGTATATTCATTGTATTATGCGCAACTATATCTTTAAGAAGAGTAGAAACTTTATATACTTTTGCTTCTTTAGCCTGGGACCATTTATTTAAAGCAATTGTTTTGCTTTCTTTATCCAACTAGCTAAAAGTTACTAGGGAGCTTGGGATGTACAAGTCCTCCTGTATAATCCCGAGGAGGCCTCAGAAACACCGGCTATTGGACTTGAAGAAATAATGGAAGGATAGACAATGACTGGAAATCAATTAGTAACACAATCTATGAGTTCTTATCAGGCGCAATGAAAATATTGCCTGCCAATATGGAGATCAGTGTGCCATAGAGTAGGCTGGGTGAATTGGGCTAATATCCTCCGACGACTAAGTCTCCGCGATCATATGGGGTACCATCAGAGATTCAAGATCCAAAGTTAACATTGAAAATTGGGCCACAGTTCCATTGACACCATTATTTCGTCCTGAAGAATTGAGAATACTAAATCAACCTATTAGTTGTTTACCGTAATTTGCGGGAGAGTATAGTACATAGATAGCCTTAGTCAAGCTTCTCCTTGGCTTGGTTTGCCATTTTATCCCCAGATTTTCGAGCAATCTCCAGTGGGATATTTAGGGTAATCTATCCTGACGCCAAATTAGCATGTGTTCCGTTTTTCTGCCTAAACCTGGCAAGGGCATTATTCTTGGATATTATTTTTCCCGTCCTTAGATTCCCCTGCATCAAGACGAAGTTGGTACTTGCAGTCATTATCTTTCGCCGGTACTGGTGCAATGCGCTTGCCGGGGGTTTGTTTCTGGAACAACCTGTTGTAAAGCCCTCTCTGGAAAAATGCTTTCTCGAGTTACTTCAAGACCCTCAACATGTTTTCTCTGAGGGGGTATAACTATAAAAAAAGGAGTCTAATATAATAAAAGGCTTCGTGAGATATAGCAGCAAGGTCTTCATTATTGCTTTTGCCAGCCAATTATTTATGCTGGCAATAGATAGACTTTTCATAACTGGCTCCAATAGAGTGTAACTGCTGAGTGCTCTTTCCCATAAGGTCTGATCAGCGCAGAGTTGTTGCATAATCGCGCTTTCTCAATATACGTACAGACAATCAAGGTAGTTATTAAGACTTTCCATGCCGGCAGAGGGGTTTTTGAAAACGCTAGTTTAATGCCAGTAATTTGATACTGAAAAATGTATAATACATTGGTTAAAAAGAATTAGTTATTTCTAGATATTATTTTATTTTAATACCTTACGCCTGCATAATATTAAGCAGGTATCTTTACTACCTTACTAGAGGCCTATATAGATCTAAAAAGACTATAGAATAGTATTAGTATATAGAGGAAGAGTACCTCTTGACCAAAATTTTACTATTCCTTCGGACAACCTTATTATGATTATGATGACTCGAGCGGTATGACTGAGTGCGTAGGTCTTGGGTTATTGTACCAGGCGACCAGCACAGGTAGATGCAAGACCTACTCGGTCGTTCATCCATGCTATTATGAACCTGTTGGCCTAATGACCACCATATTATCAAAATTACTACCTAGCAAGATCCATTTATGCACACGAGTATAACTCTTACTTAATAATATATAAGCTAGCTATGCATGACAGCGGAAGACTACTATAGAACCCGGAGTTTTTACTTTAGGGGTGCCAGGAAACTCCTGTTCCTGGAACCTCACAGATATGCCATGTGGCATTAAATTCCCCTTTCTGGCATCCTGCCTTGCAACTCATACTGTTAATAGAGAAACAGGACATTTTCTCTTCTTAGCGGGCTTGTCGAATTTGCTAAACATTATGCTTATGTGACTTAGCTTGGAGGACCAGGATCTGGAGAACCAGGATCTATTGCCCGACGCATGATCCCAATAATATTTATCAATACACCCTCCCTTCCACTTCTCTTGGTGAGATCAAACCAAGGCGTTGAAAACATGTTCAGCATCTGCTTGGGCGTGGCGCTTTCAAAATCAGCAATATAAGCGTCGCTCGTGTCCATTTGAAGAAAGCACATGTAATGCTGCGTACAATGAATGATTATAATGCTGGCCTAATTATTAGACTAGACTGGACCTCAGGTGACATACAGGCAAAGCTAGTGGCCAGGGAACCTTACCTTTTTTGTGAATTATCTGACAGCCTGGCCGCTAATGCTTCGCATACCATCTGGCCAAAACATCCATCCGAGATAACTGGTCGGCTGCCTTCTAGACATTGGAATTGCGGTTTTGCTTCTAAGATTGCTACATGGCTCTTTGCAAGAATGAACCCTTCATCTGAGGTTTGCTGCCGCAAACATAACCCACTGTCATCCAGTGCAACAATTTGCTGATTTCTGATGACTATTTTACGTGCTAGTTGAATTTTAGCATCCTGAAACTCGACCACGTTCGAGTCCGATGCGGAGTCTTGCGATGAAGCGAAGTATAGAATGTATCGAATGACACAAGATGCTAGTCATACGGTGTTGTCTTCAGGACCTATGCCCAAATAGTATGTATGAGAGTCAACATAGCCCAGAGACGAAGTCTGGGAACCATGGAATGAACTAGAAAGCAGTAGTATTGACTTGCATTATGCTAGAATCAGTGAATTCTGCATGGGATGTTCTTTATCTGACGTGTGGCTTGGGCAGACTTTCCTCTGTAGTTTTGTTGCATTCACATTCAGGTTTGTCAGATTCAGATTCAGGTTTTTCTTGAGCTTGTATAGAGGGTGCCTCTTGCTTGACTATTTGTTGCTTCAACATGGCCATTACTGCCCAGACCTGACCAGGTGAGATTCCATAATGTCAAACTTTACCGCTGAGCTAAAAAGGTGTCAAGACAGAGCTTTCTAGCTGATATAGTATATTGGTTCACACACCCCCCCAGGGGGGAAAGACTGGTATTTCCGTCCTGGATAGGTATACTCTCGCTAAGTTGATGGCTGAAGCCTGGTGTTCTAGCCTTGTAAGATCTTTGTTGTGCTGGTTTTTTCCCTGGATATGTAGCTCTAGTGCCTCCTAATTGCGGTCATATCTTCTAATACTGACTTATGCTTAGGTTGTAGGCTAGTTGCTGTAGGTCTGTTGTTGTAATAGGTCTGTTGCTATAGGCTATCGGTGCTGGTTATATTTTTTCTATTTTTTAAGGCGTGCACTATCTCAGAGTTAAACTTGTAATATCAAGGGTTTTTTAGAGGAAGTTATAGGTACCAAATATAGTTACCTCCTAGGCTCATAACTGTCAAACTTTACTGCTGAGCTAAAAAGGTGTCAAGACAGAGCTTTCTAGCTGATATAGTATTATATTGGTTCACATATAACCTGCCTTCTGCACCAGAAAATGCTTGCTTTGTGTTATATGAGCGGGATTGGGGCCTTGCAAAAAAGTTTTGATCTCATTGGGCGGAGACTGCAAGTCTGAGTTGGCTGCATAATTAGAGATAATCGGAAGCAAGTTGGCTTGAGCCTTCCGCCGTATTACACGACAGGCGAGTAGATGGGGCTGTCCCCAGTGACTGGCGGATACACTGTCTAGTTCAGCAAAAGGCTTGCCATTCTCAGACTTGAAGCGAGCGTTGAATGCTGACTTAGAGGCGATATTGCTAAAATATGGAGGATAAGCCATATGTCGAACTTTACCGCTGAGCTAAAAAGGTGTCAAGACAGAGCTTTCTAGCTGATACAGTATTATATTGGTTCACACCATAGTAGCAGGATTGAGATAGAGGTAACAGATGGAGATGGAGATGAAATAATGTAAATATTGCCATGCTTGGATAATCAGGACCAGTGGGGCCGTGGCACGACTGCCTAGGCGGTGAAAAACTGCCTGCTTCGGCCGCGGCTACGTAACCAAAGCAAGTGAAGGCTTCAGCAGGTCCTTTTATAGTTTCTTTATTTTATGATGAAAGGTCTGTCAAACTATGACAGTAGAAGGTTGACCGAAATGGATTCAATTAGGTCTAACTAGGAGATGGAGAGATGCTTGGAGGAAGCATGGAGATCTAGAAGGAAATGGTGGCCTAAATACACTGGATAGTTATGTATTGCTATTGTCACGGCGTAGCCGTGTACAGTCAGTGATCACCTGATGCACAGCCCCATCTCATGCACATTTTGCCCCTTACTAACTTTCTAGATAGCAATTTTTAACTTTATATATCTTATTTAATATAACTCTAATTAAAGTAGTATTAGAAATAATTAATTCCTTAGAACTAGGTACTTTAATTAATTATACTAAAATTATAAAATAATTTAATATTAAATAATTAATATTATTAAAGTACTACTATAGGATTTTATATTTAAAAAATTATTAATATAAATAATAATAAATTCTATCTAATACTATTGTGTCACAGACCCTCCCCAGGGTCTGCGCAAAATTTTAGGGTCTCCAGGGGGGAGGGTCTGGGTGTAAGCGTCTCGCTGGCGAGGCGCTTGGGTATGGGTAGTGTTGGTAAAGGAAGCAAAGCTACATAGAGTACAAGGGCAGTAGGAAGGTATTAGAAGTAATAAAATAAAGTACTTGCCTCTTAATACTTTAGGAGTTATTATATTATTATTTATATTATCTAGTTAAGTTACTAGTATAATATAAATAACTTAAATATTACTATTCTTCTAATTACTCTTAATTACTTAGTATATAGTTTAATATATAGTTATATATTATATAATTACTATAATAATTACCTCTCCTTTTCTTAGTAGTATATCTGCATGCTATATATATTATATTTAATCTAGCTTAATATTTTATTAAGAAGGAACTAGTCTTAGTTAGTATAATATAATCTACTTTTTTATTTAATACTAGAGATAATAATAATATATATAATATTATTTTTATTAATTATATTTTATTAAATAAAATATAAATAATATTATATTTTATTTTAAATAAGATAATAAATAAGAATAAGTAATTTATTAGATATACTAGTAATAAATAAAGATATTATTATAATATAAATATTATAGGAGAATATTTCTTTATATATATTTTTTCTAGCCTAATTTATATTTTAAAAAGTTTCTTCTAATAGATTAATATATTATATTAAGTAGATTATTATTATTTAAGTATTATAATAATAACTAATTATATTATAAATTTTATAATTTTTTTTAAGTATTTTTTATTAAATATTATACTAGCTATATTTTTATAAAAAAAAACTTATTTAATTATTATTATTTCTTTCTTTATAAGTATTTTTATTCTAATAATATAAGTTTATTATATTAATTATTTATAAATTTTTATAATAAACTCCCTTATATTTATATTAATTATAATATCTATAACTTTTATTATTACTAGTATATTTCTTATAATTCTTATTATTATTATTTTATTATTTAATAAGATTATATCCTTCTTATCTTCTATAATTACTTCTAGTATTATAATAATTCTTATTATCTCTTTCTTTATTTTTTCTATTATAGTAACTCTAGCTACTCCTGCTACTATTATTATACTAGCTCCTATTATTATACTAGCTCCTGTTATTCTTACTATTATTATAGCCCTAATTACTCTAATTATTCTAGTTACTTCTACTAGCCTAGCTACTATTATATAGATACTATATTATTTATATTATATTAAATCTTAATAATATATAGATAATAATTTTATAGAAGCTTATTTCTATATATATCTAAATCTAGAATAATAATATACTTAATATATTTACTTATATAAAAAGTACTTCTTTATTATCTTATTTATATAGATTAGTCTTAGGGAAATTTAGATAATATCTAGTAAGATAGTAAGTATAGTAGCCTGTATCTAATAGGCCTATATTATTAAGATTTTTATCTATTATTTTAAGACTAAGAACTAGATAGAGAGATTATTTTAATCTATTAATTATAATATATTTTACTTACTTAATATATAGTATATTAGAGGTAGTATAATAAAATTAAAGAATAATAATAAAAAGGTTTAAAATAATTATAATAATTAGAGATTTACTAATATTATAATATAAGTATTTTATTATTTTTATTTTTATATAGTAAAATTAAGTTATTTTTTTAAAATTCTTTAATACTTATAATATATTTCTATTAAATCTTAAAATTTAGTAAAAAAAAGAAAAAGAATAGTATTATTAATATATTTTTATAATTTTTTTAATTTTTTAACTTTATTAACTTATTATTTTTATATTTTATTATTTTATAATATTTTACTAGTATCTTATTTATATCTTATTTATATAATAGAATTTATTTAAAATATTTTATATATTTTTTAAATTTTTTATTAATTATTAAGTATTCTTATATATTAGCTATTTTTTTTATTTAATTAAGTATTAGTTTTTATTATATAACTTTTATTATATAATAATCTATTCTATCTTTTATTTTTTCTTATTATTAATAATAACTAACTAGGGTAATACTAGTAAATTACTATTTCTTATATTCTATTTCTTAAAGAGTAATATATAGAAGACTAGATAGATTTTTTTATATAATCTAGATAATTATAGATAGTATATTTATTAATTTATTACCTTAATTATTTTAAATAATCCTTTATATTTAATATCTAGCTTCTTACTAGATCTCTATATATAAATATTCTTTATAAATAGTAGTATTTATTAATCTATATAATATTTAGTTAGATAATATCTCTTATTATAGCTTCTTACTTATTATTTAATAATATAGTATAGGCTCTCTTCTAGCTAATAGTATTTTACTTATAGTTAGTTAAGTTATTCTTTTACTATTATAACTATACTAGAGTCCTTAATATTAGCAAGCTTAAATAATACTAGCTAGTAGCTATATTATACTTTATAAGAAAATATTTCTAATAATATATTTTTTATATTATTATATATAAATTCTATTATATCTAGCTAGTCTATCTAATTAATTTATTAGTAATTAATATAGATCTTTAAATAGGTTTTTAATATCTAGTTCTAATATTTTATTTAGTTATCTATTTATAGATAGAATATAATACTTAATTATTCTTTAATTTAAAGTTCTTAATATAACTAGATCTAATATTTACTAGTAAAGAGCAAGCTATAATTACTTACTAGACTTCTTAATATTCTTATTTTAAGTATAATCTCTTTTATAAATATATTAGCTAGTTCTTTAATATTAATATTTCTTATTATTAGGAGGTATTTAGCTCTCTTAGTATATTAATTTATAATTATTAAAATAGTATTATATATATACCCCTTTTATATTAATAGTAGTAAATCTATAATAAAGTTTAGAATTAGATTTTATTAAGAATATTCTAGTATTAGAAGCTTTATAAGCTAGCCTAATAGAAGTTATTTAAGTACTTTTATTTTCTAATAAATTAAATAACTTTTTATATATTTTTTAATATTATATTATAGGGTATTCTAGTAGAATTTTTATTTAATAAGATTTAATATTTTCTCTTAATTAAAGTAGCTTATATATAAGTTATTATAATATACTCTTAATAATTCTTAATATATTACTTAATTAAAAGAAATATAAATAGTCTTATTATATTATATTAATTTATTACTATTAATATACTATCTATTCTTATAAATTTACTTTTATTTAATATTATTTTTAAATTACTTTATTACTTCTTATTTAAGTAGTTTCCCTACTATTTAAGTATGCTTCTAGCATGCTAGATATTCTTTATTAATATTATTCTAAATTTAACTTATATAAATATTCCTATATTATATCTCTTAAAGTAAGTTTTATAAAGTAATTAATAATATCTTATAGACTTACTTATTATTAATTATTTTTTATACTAGTATTCTTTAGATTAAAAATTCTAAATTTTTTAATTATATAATTAAGATTTCTTAGGAAGTTATTATTTTACTCTTACCTTAATTATTTTATAAATTTTTTAACTTTACTTAAAGTATAGGTAAGAGTTCCTTAATTATATCTTATTAAGTAGATTTATAATTCTTTTACCTTAAAGATATATTAGCTAGGTTAAAGTTACTAGATTAATATTTAATTTAGAAATTATATATTATTAAGAGCTTAGCCTATTTAATCTAGTATTAATTTAAAATTTTAATAATATAGAAATATTTTAAATTTATATAATTTATTTATATATATATTATATATAAGTTATCTTTAAGATAATAATATTATATTTTAAAATATTTTATTATAACTAGTAATTCTTAATTATAAGTTTTATACCTTTTTTTTACTTTAATTAATTTTTTTAAGTAAAAGGCTATAAATTATTAAGTAATATATTATATTTTTATAAACTAGATATTATTATATTATATTAAAATTCCTATAATTATAAAATCTAATATATTAGTTACTAGAAATATCTTTTATTCTAGATTAAAATATTATAATACTAGAAATCTAGAGAATACCTACTTTAATACTTTAAAAATACTTTAATTATTCTTTATTATTTTAAAGGAGCTATTTTTTCTCCCCTTTACTATTTTCTTTAGTATATTATTTAGTAGGGCAGTAATTTTAAAGTACTAGTAAATAAATCTTTAAAAATATCTTATAAATCCTAGGAATATTTAAATATTATAGAATAAATATAATTCTAACTAGTTATTTATAATATATACTTACTTAAAATTTATTTAGATTTCTTTAATTTTTATAATAAAGTTAAGAAAATATATTTTTTTCTAGTAAAAATTATATTTTAAAAATTTTATATAAAGATTATATTTTTAAAAGTATAATAATACTTTATTAATATAGTATTTATATTTTTTTTTTATTTATAAATAAATTAAGATATTATCTAAATATATTATATAAAA